CCCCCCCCTTTTTTTTTTTTTTTTTTTTTCCTTATTTTTTTAAAAAAAAAAAAAAAATTTTGTTTGGGGGTAAAAAAGGTTACATGTTTACTAACTTAAACGAAGGGACTAAATATATTTAAAATAAATAGATAGTGACTTTACTCAGATGTCAGGAAATGTTTATAAAGCAGCCGTTTAAATGATGGGAGAGAAGGAGCCATGCGTATGGAAACGGGTAAGGCGTTCCATAGTCTGATCGCAGTAATTTGAAAGGATTTACCTTGGAAATTGGAGCTGTGAGAAGGAACCTCAAGAATATGACGGTCCGATGATCGTAAACTCGTATTTTATTGGGGTTGAAATTAATCTTTTTTAATTCAGGTTTTAATATGTCAAAAAATGACACGGTGCGGTACGCCCTCGCCACCCTGAGCGCCATCACCCGATGCGACTGCCTCAGCAGCGCAAGGTTCTGCGCAAATATTTCAAACTCTGTGCCATCCCTAGCAAATAAGTAACTTGTGCGTTCGTGGTTAGATTTTAAAACAGCTGAATATAGTAAAAGAACCACAAAAGCCTTCAGCTCAGTCATATCTATGTCTTTCAGTTCAGGTTTATTTTGACGAGCAAACTTTATTCTATAAGTGGATTTTTTTTTGTTTGTCCAAGTCAATATTTGTTGAAGCATTTCTTCGTCAAATAATTTATGCCAAATGCTGAAAGGGTCCTTGGCATTTGCGTCTGTCAATTTCAAGGCTCGATTTGAGTTATGATATTATGTTGAAGTGCGCGAACCCTAGCATTGGAGGGAGGACGGCCAAAGGGCTGTCGTTGCGCGGTGGCAAGAGCATCTTGCCACCTCTCGGGTAGGCGCGCATACGCTTCAAGCGATCGCGCCCGTCCTGCCCGAATGGCTGAGGACGAAGCGGTGGGGATCCTTGTCCTATCACGCGGTGCAGATTTTGTCGGGGCACGGATGCTTCGGCAAATACCTGCACAGGATCCGGCGGGAGGAAACAGACTCCTGCCATCACTGCGGATGCGCCTCAGACACGGCGCAACACACCTTGGAGGCATGCCCGGCCTGGGCAAGTCAGAGGACTGCCCTGGCCGGAGCATTCGGCGCGGATCTATCCCTGCCCGCCATTGTGGCAGGGATAGTTAGGAGCGCGGACGACGCTCCGTGGCAGGCCTTTAAGGCCTTCTGCGCCGACGTCCTCTCGCGAAAGGAGGAAGCGGAGAGGGCGAGGGAGATTGCTCCCGACGCCCCCGCTCTCCGACGGAGGAGACTTGGGCGGCGCCGGCGCGATTACGCCCGGCGTCCGCCGTGACCTCGGTCTTAGGACCGAGCCAGGAGACGTGGCCAACAACCGGCCACGTAGGGCGAGCCGCGCGCGGGAAACACGCGCGGCAGGACACACGGGCGCGGGCATGCGGGTCAAGGGCAACTAACCGCCCGCTCGCGTCCGGCAAGTCTCCCGTGGGCTCTTGGAGGTTTAGTGGGTAGTGGTCAAGCTGGCCGACCCCCACACTCCCCCCGCCACTTAAGTGGCCAGGCGGGGGCGTCGGTAAAGAGTCGATTCCTCCAAGTAAAAAAAAAAAAAAAAAAACCCTAGCATTAGAAGGAGTCTGACCATTTATAACGATTTTTCCCGTAATAAAAATTCGATCTTCGTCATTCTGAAAGAGGCCTGCCATCATCAGAACTATCGGTGCTACCTTCATCAGAACTATCAGTGCTCCTCTCATGGCTGCTATCCACATCTGGAATATTCTCCTCTAATTCTTCATCTTGGTCACGTAACTGTAATAGTTCACGATCGGAAACCAACAACTCGTCAATATCATCTTCACTGGCAGATCGGTTTGAAGCCAGCAAGAGGGCATTGAATTCCTCTTCAAATGATGGACTGTCTAACTTCGGCAACGTTATCATCACTGTCTTCTGTCAGGATAACATTGCGATCATCTTCGATTATCATCCTTAAATCATCTTCATCCTGAATTTCATCAATATCTTGATTAGCACGTTCAACAGAACCCTGGCCACAGATTGGCAAGCTCACTTATAACACTATTTACAAATTCCCTGCCGTTGTCGTATTGAAGTATGCACGGCGCTCCTATAGTTAGAAATATATCATTCAAATGGTAAGCCACCTCTATCGCTGTCTTACTTTGTAGAGCGCGTAGCAGAACAAATTGTGTTAGATGGTCTTGGTAAACCATAATAAACTTAAAATTTCTATCTGGTTGTGTCTGAAAATCGATCAGATCTACTTGGCACCTCCCATTCATTTCCGAATGAAGAATGGGCTTGGAGACTAATCCTCTCTTCTTCTTTGTTTTCTTTTGATGACAAACACTACACATAGATAAATACGAGCTTATCATTTATTTTGTGATGTTGGCATATTTTTTTGATGTTTCGGCTAACATCCGGTCACGACCACCGTGGCCGACGGCCACTTGAGCTGCGTCCGTCACATCATAAAGTTCATCGGATTGAAGATAGTATTTTATATTACCTTCACCCCGTGCAATCAGTTTGAATGACGTATTTGCTAAATAGCCAGCTCCATTAATGAATCCCCTTCTCTGTCTTGTAGCTCCGCGATGAACCATGAGAAGCGAGTTCTGATGGTCAATTTCTCCGAGCTCATGTTGCAGTTGATACAGTATACTTTATTTATATTACTGGTGGTGGTGAAATTTAGGTAGAGCATCGTTATGATTTTGCAAATAGATAACATTTAATTCTTCTTGAACAAACTCTAAGGCCTTTTCTATTGTTTCAGGGCGCTTGCAACGTATGCGTGACCCTAGTGGTTCTTCAAGACCACGAATAACGCTTGTAGTGTTAATTTTTTATATAACTGTCTTTTCGCGTCAATGGTTGTCTCTATAGTTTCGTGAAGCGAAACATAGGTAAATATTGTACTTAATAAGTTATTGCATTTATCATACAACTCTTGAGGAGAGCTTTGACCTTGAATTAGACACGCAGTATTCGTTATACAACGCGATTTCGTCTCGTTGACCGGAAAAAGTGTTTATTAAAGCATCCCTTATCCCTTGCCACGAATCGGGAATGCCGTTCGAATTTATTAATCTTCCTGCTTGACCTGTAATCTTATTAAGAATTCCATTAATTAATGAAATATTTGATACCGATGCATGCGGATCATCACGCATAAACTGCCTAACTAATTCGTCACAATTTTTTATAAACCTAGTTAATACATGCGGGTTGCCGTCGAAATCCGGTACAAACCTTAATAATTTAAAAATTGTGTCCTACTCCGAGGTCATGTTCAAAATATAATTAAAACTAAAATCACTACAATTATCGGAATCGCAATTATTCGTAAAATTATCTAAATCTCATAGGCTATCGATTTGCCGAAATCGAGAGGATTGTTGGTGGGTTCCCTTAGGATCAAGAGGTGACCCTCGTGATTTCCATGGATGGAAGATGTGAAAAGGACTTATTATAAAAAGGAAGCAACACAATAGATAATTGTGTGTGTACTTACATGAGCATTCTGCGACCGGCATCGAAGTTTGGATACGCCGGGGCTCCTTGTTTCTAAGATACTCGTAATTGTTTCTTGAGAGAAACGGTCAAGCTCGCAGGTCACGGTCCAAAGTTAGGTTTCTGAAAAATTTCCCGCGATTTATGACGACCCGAGTATCCTACCGACGGCGCCAATTATGTTAGTCGCCACCGGTGGTTGCTAATAAAAAAATATTACATTTAATTAATCCTACTTGTCTCCCTGTGTACGATGCATTAGTTCGACGCTTACAATAATTCTTCTACATTTAATGAATTCTGGGTGTCTCCCTGTGCACGATGCATCAGGTCGACGCTTACAATAATTCTCATCTATTTCTTATACTAAAATGGGTACGGCAACAGTAGCGTCACATACCGATCGCACGGGTATCGGATACGCGCACTATTAGGGCTGTCGCCTAATAAAGTGCAGCTTAGGGCCGGCACATAACATCTGTGTCGCTTGGTTTGTATACCGCTTATATGTTAGATTTTATTATATTGACCTATAGTATAGATATAGGTATTGGACTCATAATTTCCACGTTGTAGAGAACATAAACCTGCCTTATGATGGCAATATCAGCACCGATTTACTTTACAATAACGGCTGCAAGATTGATTATAATAAGAATCTACTCCATCTAGGAAAGTCCCTAGTTTCACGACTCTATCTTCACGAGCCGTCTTATTTAATTTCTCCTCGATCCGAAACCATTATTGAGTGTTCAGTACCCAATCCCGAAATAAAACAAGGAATGATATTAGACCAAAAGATTTCGTCCAATCTCCTTGTCGCGAACTGTTTAGTCGCTGTAAAAGAAAATAATAGAATCAATATATCCGTAGTGAACACATCTGAAGATCCTGTAAATCTAAAATCAAATCTTAACCTTAAACTTACTTCACAAGATTCTTATAAACTCGAAGATTCATCTTCATCTGTCCCTATCAATCATATTAAAATATCTCAGAACACTATGCAACGGACTAAAGAAGTCCTACAACAATTAAGAATTTCCCATCTGAATAACGAAGAGAAAAATGCTCTTATTCAATTATGCTCCGATTACTCCGATATTTTCCATCTCCCTAATGAAAATCTTTCGTGTACTAATGTTGTAAGATATGAAATAAAAACAACTACTGATATTCCAATCCATACAAAAACTTATAGATTTCGAAAATCTGAAGTTCGTGATCAAATGAATAAAATGTTAAAACAAATCATTATTGCACCTTCCGATTCCCCATGGTCTTCCCCCATTTGGGTAGTACCAAAGAAATTAGACGCATCCAACATAAAGAAGTGGAGAGTCGTAATCGATTACAGAAAATTAAATGATGTCACAATTGGTGATACCAATCCGATCCCTCAGATCACAGAGATATTAGATCAACTCGGTAACAGTAAATACTTCTTTACATTAGATTTGACGTCTGGTTTCTATCAAATAAAACTCAAGGAAGAAGATAAGCCCAAAACAGCCTTCACTGTCCCAGAAGGACATTTCCAATTCTGTCGAATGCCTTTCGGGCTGAAAAACGCCCCACCAACCTTCCAAAGATGATGATAATGAATTCCGTTCTTTCTGGTCTCCAGGGTGTGAATGTGATGAATAAAGAATTGAGTTTTATTCTCGTTCACTTGCTAGTAGTTCCGAGGAATTTTCAAGTTGGCATAGTATTTCTTGACAATATGGTATTGACTCATCAAAATCTAAAGAAGTGTGTTTTAGTACATAAATGCGAGAGTACGCCGATAATAAAAAAACTTTAGATGCTTCTTACTCGACGTTTAATTTTGCTCTAACAAATAGTTGACATTTGACTTGCAATGTAATTATAAAAATTACGCCTGATAAAGATGGACAGGCAATGCTGCTTTCAATGCATTTGCCTGCTCATTGATGGAGTCCTTTACTGCGCCGCAACAAAGTGGGACGCGATTAATTTGAACTTTGTTAAATGTAACGCTTGGAAATGTTCTTGTATAGTTTATAGTGAATTTGGTTATAACACAGCCACTAGATGGCGCTGTTTGGTTGTTTTGTCGTTTTTCATCGCGGTGATAAAGTGTTTGTTGGAAAGTGTATATAGTCAAGATTTATTTTATTAAAGTACTCTGATCAGTGTTGCAACCTTAGCGATTTTATCACTAGATCTAGTGAGTATTTTGTAGTGATGGGCCAACTCGGAAAAAACCAAACACGATTTGACTCGAGTTTAACTGGATCAGAGAGTGAATTAGTGATGTTCATGTTAAAAAAATATCGATATTATTTTCGATATAATATATCGTAATGTTCTATCGATACTTTGCGATATATCGAACATATATATCGATATTTTTAAAATATCGTAAGTAATTTCCTACTTACTCTATTAAAATAGTTTCTAATATTAAATAGGGAAGGTTGATATTATTAATATGAGTCACAACATCTAGAACAAATCAACTTTATTTATATATCAAATGAAATCAATGGCCATACGACCCAAAAGTGAAAGATTTATAAATCCCAGTATTTCTTCTCTAAGCTTTGCAAAAACAAAATTTTATTGACCCTTTTGGCTTGCAATCTGCTTCTCTGCTGTGTAAGAACCTGTGCGGCTTTTGAGAAAAGCCGTTCAGATGGAACTGAGCTAGCCACCATGGTTAAATATTTAAAAGCCACATTGTATAACGTTGGGAACTGTATTTTATAGTCTGCCCACACTTCTAATGGGTTTTCGTTAAATCTACTCACTGGAGTCCTCAAATAAAGCGATAACTCATCTGAAAGACTTTCATTGGTATTATTTGTTTTCCAATTTCGTTGTACCAGTTTATGGTGATCACTCCAAAGATCCGATGATAGACTAATTTTGTCTGAGTTGTCAGAGTCAGATTCCACAGTAGATTCATCCTGTTGATTCTTTTTAATCATCTCTTTAATTTTAATGACGGCATTTGCACACGCCATGGCATCTTCAAAATGAAGTTTTTTAAATCTTGGATCTAATATTGTAGCGATAGCTAATGCTGATACCTGCTCGATTGCGCCCATTCGTTTATTAATTTCAGTAAGAGTGCGTTTTTGTACATCCTTGATTAAAGATTCTTCAATGACTAAGTTTTTCAGTTTTGATATCATGCAGTGCACTAATGGAATGATTTTGCTACTAGAGCAATATTTATCGCCAGATATTTCCTTAGTCGCTGCTTCTAGTGGTTGTAGTACGTTAAGAAGCGATGTTAATATAGTCAACTCCATACCAGTTAACATCGGCGGTGCTGTCTTATGACGAATCAAAATTTCACTCACAGCATTTCGTAAATCAAGGAAACGAGCAATCATATAGTATGTGCTGTTCCAACGTGTTGGGACATCCTGAATCAATTTTGTGTCAGCTTGAATTGATTTACGCAACTCGTCACTTGCAACACAACTTTGTTTAAAAAATGTAACAACACTTTTTGCTTTTGTTAATATTTCCTGTAGTTCTGGAATAGCCAAAACATGTTGAGCTACTAAATTAAGTGTATGCGCAAAACAAGGGATATGCTTTTTTTTCCCAAATGCAATTTCGACAGCCTTCACCATATTTGCAGCATTATCTGTTACTACTGCTGTGACCTTATCAGTATTAAATCCCCACTCTTCATATGTTTTAGTGAGTGTTTGTGCAATGTATTCGGAAGTATGCCTTTCATCTAAGTGGTAAACACCTAAAGTTACAACATGAAATTCAATTCCGATGCCAAAATGAGCAGTTACACCTAGATAACTTCGCATTTGTAGATCTGACCAAATGTCACTTGTTAGTGTAAGATTTTCTACACAGCATAATTTATTTTTCATTACTGTTGATAATGCATCATACTTTTCATCTATCCAGCGTGTCACAGAGGTTCTGCTAGGAATCTTATAATGAGGCACTGTTACTTTCAGAAGATTCTTGAAACCTTCATTTTCAACTAATGAAAAAGGTTGATTGTCTCTACAGATCATAAACATTATCGCATTGTTAATTCTTTTTGTTTTGTCCCCAGTAGAGGTATACGCATGTATTTCACCAAAACTACTTTCAATTGATCTCTGGCGTTTCAAAGACAACACCTTATCATAATCCATCTTTTGATCAGTTTGAGTATTGTGCGTAAGTATCTCACTACAATCCATTGAAGACGACGTAGAAGTTGAAGGCGACAGTTGATGTTCGTTTAAGTAAGATTCCGATATCGTAATGGTATCTTGTTTCGAAGTAGTGGAGAATGAATCGGACGAACCCGAATTAGAATGTTTTATAACAGCAGCACTGTTGTTACTTTTGAAAACTTCCAAGTAGACCGCCTTATGAACATTTTTGATATGTGCCATCGTATTAGAGGTATTGCCAGCCGTTTTAACAATTTTTTGGCATAGTTTGCATCTGGCAGATTTCTCATCAATTGTTTCGAAATATTTCCAAACAATACTTTTTTTTGTAGGTACCATGTTAAAAGACTTGCCTGAAAAAGAAAAAAAATGCGTAAGTAAAATCCAAAGTCACAAACATTTATGAAATAAAAACAAATTCATCGAAATATTTTTTATCGATACCATCCCTAATTAACAGACTTAGCGACTAAAACAAAATGCACTAAATACACTATAAGTCTCGGTTAAATTCTCATTTCACGCAAAAATAGGTACATTCACATTCCATTATTTATTGTTCCATGCTATTAAATAGTAAAAATGTATACCTAGTAATTTATAGGTTAAGAACACATACTTACTTTATGAATCGTAAACAGTCGGGTAAGCAAAACACAAAATTCACAGCTTGCTTTTTCAATGCAATATATGATAATAGCTGTTATACTTAATATCACTGCACACACTTTACGGAATTTACTTTTCTTAAACTGTAATAACAAATTAAATAGCGTTTATAAATAGGTTTTCCGTTATATTTGCGCGTTGATAGCACTGAGATGAGAACGAACGAATTGATTATTGAACGAAACCAATGACTAGACAAACAAGTGACCATAAATAGATTCTATGGTCTATGCTACTACTACTAGTGCTGCCGCGTCGTGGAGAGTCTCTCATGTATGCGTTTCGTTATTGCAAAGGCTAGTTTATCAATAATGTATGAAATAATGTTTTTATTGTTACTTAATTCGTCAGTGTTGCACATTTAAAGGAATAAGCAATTCGAATTAATTCGATTTTTGGTATATCGGATGAAATATATCGATATTCAATTCGATACTAGGCGTTTCGATAATATCGGATGGAAGCGATATTATCGCGTAATGTATCGATATTTTTTTAGTATCGATTTATATCGCCCACTACTAGAGTGAATGATTCTTTTTGATTTTTTACCAATTGAAGCCCTCAGATTTGCATAAATACTTAAAAAAATTGGAACAGACAAATTTTATTATGTTTTTATCTGTTTTAATTCTTTATTTTTTTATATTATTTTAGGCTTGTGCTTAGTATCTCCACTAGAAGATTGGATATGAGACATATCATTCCAGCCAAAGACACATATACGATAACTATATCTATGTTCGCTAATCATATCCGCGGTTATGATGACGTGAGAGAGCGAGGACAAGTCCCATATCGCGGAACTATGTTGCTCCGAGGATGCGAGAGATTTAAAAATTTTTTTGGAGCGAGATTGAGCCGCTTACAGTACAAAATTGATTTACTCGCTCTCGCTCCGAGGACAAACTATTTGATTTCCCGTCATACTTTACACAGGCTTAGGACTGTCATCCAAATACCTATTTAAATTAAAAATAGATATTTGATTGGCGTATTTAAAAATCAATTAGTATTTACAATGATTTCTGATCGACTATGTACATGATTATGATTTTTACAATTGTTTTTTTTTACCTACTTATAATTATTAAACTATTTTTTGATTTTAATTTTTTTATGTTTATGTATTTACATTATGTTTTAATTTCATTCCACGTTGCTAGCAATGAAAAGCAATTCAGCTAATTTTTTGGGATGTAGCCTGGATCGTGTTTCGGTCATTATGAGGCCAGCCTTTGAAAATGTGCGTTCACAAGGCACAGATGTTGCTACCAGACTCAGTCTTTTTAAAATATATGAATACAATATTGGATACACAGATTTACGCTCCTTCCACCAGATCAATGGATTTTCAAAGCGAACTAATAAGGGCTCCTGAATGTACTTGTCTAATTCAACAATACCGGCGGCAACAGGGTTACACGGGACAAGTGCGGAAACTTCTTTGTCAAATTTCTGCCATATTTATCTCACGTTAATCCGACTACTGAGGCCGACCTTTTTCTTTAAGCCTGACACTGCCCTTTCGTATTTATTCAAGTCTCGGAAACCTCTATTTTTAAATCGGGGATCCAATATTGTGGCTTCGGCATATAATACATTGGATTCCACATCACTCTTATCATAAAATCTTCTGTGGATTTGAGCTTTCAAACTTTTTATAATTTTTTGTGCTTCGGGCGAGTATACTTCTAAATTACAGTTTGAAATATGTTGATGCAGAAGCCGAGAATATACTATGACTTTTGAAAGACTGACTTGTTTTTCTGTGCTTATTTCGTTGGTAACTTCATAGAATGATTTTAAAATTGGTATCGCTTCCTCTACTACTTGCTATTCTGCGGTATTTAGAGCTAGTTCGTGACGGACTAGCGCCAATGTTGCAATAACTGCATCTTTACGGGATACTACTCGATTAAGCATGTCATAGGTCGAATTAAATCTAGTTACAACGTCTTGTTTTAGCTTCAGTACTGGCAGGTTCATTTGCTTTTGCATCTCCTGTAATTTGAAGTGAGCTTGTGAGCTACGTTTAAAAAATTCCACTATATTTTTCACTTTTGTGACCGTTGTTTGAATTTTCGTAATGCCAACCTGCACCACTATGTTTAATGTATGCGCGAAACAACCAATATGGCGCCAACCACCACTCTGAACGGCTGCAACAATATTGTTAGCATTATCGCTGACGATAGCTGTAACTTTGTTAGAAATTTTCCATTTCTCCATCTCTTCCTTTAAGAATTCGCACAAATTTTCGCTCGTATGTCGTCCATCAATTGTATGCAAGATAGTAAGTTTGAACGCAGATTAGTGTTTGTATCTATATAGTGAGCAGTTATTGCAATAAAACTTTTGTTGGTTATCGATGTCCACGCGCCTGTAGTGAGACATATAGCTAGTGTTGCAGCCACTAGCTGCTCAACTTCGTTTAGTACTTTTGCGTAAAGCTGAGGCAAAAGTACATTAGCCAAAGTTTTTCGTGTCGGAGGGGAACATCTAGGATTTAACAAGTAAATAAACTTTTTAAATTCAGCTCCTTCCACGTTACGAAAAGGGTGATATTATTTGGCAATCAGTTTTATTAACTGCTCATCCAATTCCTTAGCTTTTTGATGCGGGAGCGATTTTGTATTTTGAATGTAATCAGTCATTAAAATTTTGTCCACTCGAAGACGAGGGCAATGGCGCAGATACTAAAATGCCTTGATTCTCTTGTGATGTTTCAACAGTAGGATTTGGAAGTTGCGAAGTTTCACTTGTCATCGCTACCGGCTCTCGTATTATCGGCGATACTGAAATTGTAGGATGCTTCCTTTTTAAATGCCGTGTCAAGTTACCGGTATTACCAGCCGATATCATTATTTTGGACGAGCAATAATTGCATTTCGCCTCCTTAATATCATTTTGGGAGAAATGATTCCAAATCAGACTTGTTTTTCTCCTCATTGCCATATTTGAACAATAAAGTCGCCACACCACGCTGATACCGACTCACACACACTTTATTTTAGTTATAATCTATTATTAAATAATGTTACGCGGCAGCGACAAAAACACTTTTAAAAAGAAATTATTTATTAAGATATTGACTAAACTAGGATACAATGTATATGGAACGAGACTTGAAGTAAGAATGAATATGGTTGGGAAAGGAACAGGATTTTATACGGTTGGAGTGTGGGAAATGGTATCAACAAAGTCATTAACTAACGTTATTTATGAGAACTAATCATGAACCGAGTTAAACAATATTATTTATGAGATATTGAAAAGTAGACATGGATTTTGGAGTGTGAGAAATGGTATCGACAAAGTCATTAAGTAATCATGAACTAAGTTAAACAATGTTATTTATGAGATATTGAAAAGTATGGTTTATGAGCTATTGAAAAGTAAACATGGATTTTGGAGTGTGAGAAATGGTATCAACAAAGTCATTAAGTAATCATGAACTAAGTTAAACAATGTTATTTATGAGGTATCGAAAAGTAAACATGAAAAGGTAATTATATAATAATAAAGGTAAATAATGTAACGATATAATAATATAGAGTTTTGGATTATGTAACAATACACACTAGGGATTAATTAGTAACTTTCTGATGCAACAAACAAAACTAAATATTCGCTTCGCGCCACTGTCGCGCTAAGTTTGTTTATATAGATTTACGCATGCGCGTCTCGTTTTAAGCGGAAATAAAAAAGAAACGACGTCTAGTAATATATTTTTTTATCAAGCGCTGCTCTCGCTGCCTGCATAGAGAACGGACGACCGAACGATAAACAAACCTAATCGTTCTTTCTTTTTCACTCACTAGCCGCTGTGTTGTATTACGCTCTCACTCTCTTCAAAAGAGTCTCTTACTTACGAATGAACGAAACTTAGACGTGGACGGGTAGGATAGATATAGGATATAGTTATTTATTAGAAAGGGAATGAACGATTTATATCCAAAGTGAGACACATATCCGAAGATATAACTGTGTCCGGATAACTCCGGACACAGCTCAAGCTAATATTATATATTCATAATGTATTGGGAGAGTTATACCTACTCACTAGAGAAACAAAAAAAGTTATTGTTTGAAATCGAATCATTTATTTAAGTATTTTTGGCTCGAATTTTAATTGAAAATAATATTTACTATCAATGAAACTATGAAATTATATAGCAGTCTTCTTAAAATAAAATCAGACTCACATTATGATGCAAGTACGTATGTACAGCCACAGATCAAAGTATATAAAACTGTCAAATTTCTTCAATCGACTCTCATCTTACTGTCAAACACATTAGGTTGAATATCAATTGAGGAAATTTGAGAGGTTGTGGTAATCTGATGTGTGGCTGTCTGTATACAGGTACATTTACAGTCAGAGTTCAGTAATCACAATATTTTCAAGAAAATTAGATAATTAGTATCACAATTTTTTTTTCTTAGTTAAATTATATGCTTATATTTTTGTCTTAATTATATACTAGGTACTATAAAGGAAAAATGACAAATTATTTTAAAACAAAAATAAAAATATTTTCCCGACAGTTAACTAACAGTTAGTTATTAACAAAAAACATGGAAAAATCTTATGAAAAAAACTAAAATAAACTTCTTATAATTTAACAAAAATAATATTCTTTTCTTTTTGAAATTGATGTTCAATAAAACATAAAATAACAAAATATTGTTAAAATACTTAAAAAATAAATAATTATGGAATACTGTTGAGAAATAAAATTTGGTCAATCTTTTTTGGTGCTAGACGGTTTCTTCTATCATTGCACAAAATCCCAGCTTTTGAAAATAAGCGTTCTGAAGGGACTGACGATGCTGGTATACATAAATACTTTTGGGCAATTTCGGACAACTGCGGAAATAAATATTTTTTGTCATTCCAAAACTGAAGTGGATCGCATTTTCTGTCAAGATATGGTAATTCAATATATTGTTTAACCATCATAGCTGCAGAAGTGTATGGAGTTTGGTGACCACTGCTCTCCATGAGTTTTTTATCTATAACCCCCCAAATGTCGTCTTTATCCAAAGCAGCAACAATTGAAGTACTTGGGCAGCTTGGACTATTTGGGTTAGATGAAGGTTGGACTTTCTCTGTGCTCATGTTTGATAACTCATTGATTACCCACATTTGCGCATTATTTGCATTACATTCTGACCAAAAACCTTTTTTTTTAAACCGAGGATCAAGGAAGGTGGCTTTTGATGCAGTTCGATTAGTCTCATATACTGCAAGCCTTTTTTCTATTACTGCAGTAAGACTTCGTTTTAAATTCTTGCCCCATTCCGTTACTGGCGTCTACCAAAAAAGTAAAAATCTACTAAATCTGGTCACACTGAATAGTCTCAAATAATCGGCAAACTTCGCTCTATGTCGGTTTTCGAACTCGAGTTATAGAGAATTCAACTCGAGCTGACTCGAGTTAACCCGAGTTAGCTACTCGAGTTGACCATCACTAGTATTTTGGATTGGTTGCGATTTTTCAAATATATTTTCACTAAAATATAATTTGGTGATTTTTAGTGATAATCAAACGGTGCTGAAATTACTAATAAATATTCTGAATGGAATATATTTTGCATTTTATTAAAATTAGAAATGAAAAAGCTTAATCTAAGAAAATAAATGTATACAGAAATATACCGATATATTGGTATAATAATTTTATCACCCTGGCCACCCATTTACATATTCACGGATGAAAGATACCTACGTACGTATGGGATTCAATTCAAATGTCTAAACTGAACATGCATTAATTTTACTAAGTTACAAATTACATAAACAAACTATGCTAAAAGTTGAAAGTCCATATGACATTTGTATTATTTTTGACAATGACAAATAAAGTACTCACAGTTTATGTTGACTCACACATTACCACAGATATTGCTCCCAGAGTAGATTGCACTTAACACTTGACGTCAATTTGGGTGACGTTTGACACTTTACTTACTATACTGGTATTTTGACTGCTGTAGACTTCGTTCGGTATTTGTGGACTGTATGGTTGACCTTCACTCGTGGCTTCAGATTAGTTGCTCCCTGCTACATAAACTGCCTCCGCCCACGGTGACACAATACCTCTTGAATTGATGCGTCGTTGATGCTGCTACTGCGCCGGTGTCTTCAGACACTTTAGAACTGCTTGATGTTTTCCTGACCAATTGTCTTCCTCTGTAGATATAGTCCGAAGTCGATGATGCTGGCTTGATACAGCATCCATCGGCTCCTGTTGATACTTGCGAGTATGTGATAGCAATCCACTATCCGCAAGTGTAATACCCTCTTAACCGTGCGTTTCACTGAGATATCCGATCTCGATTGGACCAAAATGAATGAACTTCTCTGAGCTCATTAGTGGTAATTGGGTTGTTTATTGTGTTTTTTAATACATTTTATACAAACTGCCTATTCGTTTCCGTTTCGTTATAGACAACATTGATAGCGTGTTGTTAGATGTCAACTAGCGACATCTAGTTACAATTTTACCAAACAAACTTATTCACTAACACAGTAGTAAGAATTGATTCCCAATTTCATTATATTGTAGGTACCTACTTCGTCTTACATCGGTTGGGGATTCACAACTAAACACACTGAACAGCATTCTGTTTATAAGAAATTAGCTGAACATATTAAAATCAATTTGTTTTGATTATGACACTATGACTATGACTATTGGCAGTAATGCAAAGTATGCTTTTAAAATGGGAAAGCCTGATAACCAGCCCTCAACATCTTCAAGTCCTGAAATTGACCACAATGACGAAGAAATACCCACAGAAGTGTTTGAAATCGAATTTTAATGATGATGTGGATTATTATTTCAATAATTTTTTTAATACATTATACATATTTTATTTAGTGATATTAGGGATTTCTGAGAAATACGAAAAATCAAAATCTAGTTACTTTTGGAACTAAACCTAGCGACCCAAATATCTGCAAGGTGGCAACACTGACTCTGATTTTACTGTCAAATACTTTCGTTTTATTGTTGCAATAATAGTTAGTATCCCTGGCATTTTTGGGATTTGAACAGTTCTTCTGTTTAATGTTTAATATGTTTAGTATTTAAAATAGGAATAGATTTAGTAAACTGTAATTTACAATATTTTTCATAACTATGTTCATTTAAATTACTTTATGTGATTGCCTTAATCGGGATTCTGGATAGTGCATCTGCATTTGAATTTAATTTTCCTTGCTTATAAACGATTTCATAATTATATTCTTCTAATTTTGAACGCCAACGCATTAAACGGCTACCTGGATCTTTGACATTAAATAGCCATGTTAAGGGTCTGTGATCAGTAACAATTTTAAATGTATTGCCAAAGAGATAAGGCCTAAAACATTTGACAGCAAAAATAATAGCTAAGAGTTCTTACTCTGTTGTTGAATAATTAAGTTCCGCTTTATTCATAGTTCTTGACGCGTATGCGATTGGTTTATCTTTACCAGTAATGCCTTGTGAGAGAACGGCTTCTAAACCATAATTACTCGCATCTGTCGTTACAACAAATGGTTGGGAAAAATCAGGATATTGTAATAAAGATACTGTCGTTAGCTTTTATTTTATTACATTAAATGCAACGTTTTGTTCATTTGTCCAACAGAAAATAGTATCCTTTTTAAACAAAATAGTTAATGGTGTCATAATTGTGCTAAAGTTTTCAATAAATATTCGATAATAACCTATTAAACCTAAGAAAGATTTTTCTACTTTTGCCTTACTTCTTCGCGTCTTAAAAATTCACACTTATCGGGTTATAATTTGAGATTAAATTGTCGAAATTTATTAAAAACAGATTCTAACTTTTTCATATGGTTTTCTAGTGTTTCTGAGAAGACGGTATCATCTAAATATACAAAAGCATGCAGACCTAATAAGACCGTGTTCATTAGTCTTTGAAATGTAGAAGGTGCATTTTTGAGCCCGAATGGCGTACTAGTGAATCCATAGTGTCCACATGTACCATTAGATGATTAGAGTTAATAACAGTGAATCCAGCTTTAGTTGTCGAATCTTTTTCGAGTTTTAATTGATGAAACCCCTGACACAAGATCAAGTGTCATCAAATATTTAAAGTTTCCTAACTGCAGGCCGATTCTACTAATTCAACGACAAGTTGCAGTGACGCTGCGATCAAGTTTCGATTAAGCGTCGAACGGTATTCTCCTAATTTTAAAACTTCGCGTCAACTGCGCGTTAACTGTGCGTCTCTCGTACGTCAGGGAAACAATGGGGGGTGTGACCACATAGGAAAAACCTAATTGCTCAAATAATGTTTTTATAGAAATTGTGGTATTTTAATGATATTTTTTAAATATCAAGTCTTAAAAACATTATAAACATCTCTTGGTTGTTTGTAACTTTTTTTGCATTATAATTTAAGATTATTTTGAATATTATAATTCGGACGTATGACAACCTTAGACAATTCAAATATTCTGATGATTGAGGCGATTTACTCGTATTATAACTGCCGTTTATCAAGGTATTTAAAAATAGTCCAAAAGTAAGTATATAATTTGTTTAGAGCCACAGAATTATTATTTTATGATAAATCTTAGTTAACTAATTCCTATAACAAATATTTTCAGTGACGAGTCAAAGAAAAAAAGTAAGTATTCGCCAATTGGAACTCTTAATAGAATTTTTAGAAAAACACACAGACTTAGCCCGAGGCCGTTTGAAATCAAAGGAAGGACACGCGGTTTCAAATCGGCTTTGGGCAGAATGTGCCGAAAATTTAAATGCGGAGATAGATGGAGATGAACGCTCTCCTAAACAATGGACCAAGGTAAATAATCCCATTAATTATATTGTATTTGATTCATTAGAACTCAATTCTTTTCTTACTATCTAACTAATTTTTATATTTGCAGTGGTATACAGACTACAAATGTAGGCTAATAAATAGATTTAGAAAATTAAAAACTTATCAAACTGGGACTGGTGGAGGACCAGCCACAGTAGACCAACTATCTCCCTTAGAGGACCGCTTGGTTTCTCTTTTGGAGGCTAGAAGGGAAGCTGTTGGCCTTGACGGTACTCCCCAGTCTGTAGTACAGATAAACCCAGTACCAGTAAGTTATGTTTCAAAAAAAATTTAATAATGGCTTTGTGGTGTTTTTGCTTCATTCATCGCTTTAACCTAACTTTCTGTGTTTTGCTAGCTTGAATGTAAACGCTCTTTGGAACTCTCCCAAGTGACAACAGACCAATTGCATGATGACCATCATATATTAAACATGGTTATGTAAGCCATGCTACTTACTTATCATCATCTAATTATTTAGCAATTTCATTTTAAAAAATGTTTCTTTGATCAAAATGTAGTGTATGCATGAACTCCATTAATATTTATATTTTTCCATTTTAGCTGTGAAGAGCAAGTTAATAATGAAGGGTTAGTATTAACAACATTTTACATTTTGAAAAATATATTTGGATGATAAAATTTAATATTTCCTATTATTTTAGAAGTCAAGAGGAACCAAACCAAGCGCCAAGTCTTCCTAGGTCTCGCCGTAAGCGTACTCGGCACAATCGAGGTACAAAATCAGTACAAGGTGTTAGCACAGTACTGTGTTCTCAAATAAATTAATATATGTTTTATGTGCAGATACCATTCCTACTGAATTAGAGAGCAGTAGGAATTCCTTGGAAAAAATTGAGGAATCGAGAATAGAAGTGGAGAGAATGGTGGCATCAGCCTATAATAAAATGGCTGATGCTGTTAAATTAATGGCTAAAGCAACGGCAAAATCGGCCGAAGCGAACTCTAGAATCGCAGATTCTATAGAAAAATTAACAACACGTATTTATTTATAGAAAAAGGGTATTTATCATATTAAAATTCTTGCACCAGTTTATGCAATTACATTGAACTTAATAAATAACATTCTTTTCTGTTTTTAGATGAGGGTTGATGATGATTCAAGTGATGATGAAGATTTATAAACAAACCCCTTCACCTTTATAAACAATAATATAGTATAGATAGCTAATAAAAGTCTAAAAAGTATAATAAAGTTTTTAATACATTCATTTTTTATATAAAAAAATGGCTGCAAACATAGTTAGGTTTCTCTTTGTTGCCATAACCGATTAATCAGAGCTCTTTGAACAGTTTGACCTTCCAGTAAATCTAAATTAGGTCTCCTATTTCCCTGTTCCTGTCTTGAGATGTCAGAACTTATATTAAGTCCTCTTTCAAGAGCTCTGCGTCTTACTGTTAGTTGTTCTTCAATTTCCCTATCCCACGCTGATAAATTAGGCACTGGTAACCTATTTTGGTTAGTGATATTGTGCAGCACAGCACATGCATTGACTATTTCACCAGCAAATACTGGGTCATAGTGAAGAACGCGGGCATTTAACAAACACCTGAATAAAATTAATATGTTAATTTTAATATTAAATCTATCTTAAAATATGTTTGAAATGAAATGTTAACAGGACATACTTTGTACTCAAAGAAAATAATAAATAAATTAAATAGATACCTGAAGCGTGCTTTCATCACACCTATACACCTCTCTACAGTATTGCGAGCTGTCATATGCAGTTTATGAAAGTGTTCTTCGGGTGAACCTGGCTCCGTATTGAGTATGGGGGTAATAAGTGTTTTTCGTAAAGAATAACCACTGTCACCTATCAACAATTTACCTCTTGTTAAAAATGAAGGGAATTGAATACAAAATGCTAAATCCAAATGTTGCTAAGTGCCCTTCTATCATGTATTGAGATCATTAAGTTTATGAATAATGTGATTTACCCAATAAAAATACCTCTTCCTCATTATATACTTGGTTAAGGTATCTTTGCAAAGGGTGATCGCGCCATACTGTGGAATCATGAGTTGCTCCAGGCTTGCTTGGGTCAATACATATAATATTCAAGTCGGCATAACATATCTAAAATCATAATGTAATAGTATTAAATGACATGAAAAATAATAGTCATAAATAGTAATGGAATAATAAATAATAATGGATATACATACAACCATTACATTAAGAGAGTGATATCCTTTTCTATTAAAATATCTCTCTTCATGCTGATTTGGCCTTATGATTGCGACATGAGTGCCATCAATGCACCCTAGTACTCCAGGCAATTTAAATTTTCTGTAAAATCTATATTTTTTGTTAATCATAATAGAAGACAAAGGAATACACAAAAGTATTTGTATGTATGGTTAGTCGTATATTTACCTTCTTTTGATGACATCACGTTCTTCTCTTGTAGAGGGAAATTTAACAAAAGATTTAACTTATTGCCCTGGATATGGTGGATTGACTTACACAGTGGTATTTGCTTTGTCCCACTAGTGTTTGATAAGATCCAGTGGCATAAAAGGCTAATGCTATAAGGACCTATATTGTTAAAATATTGTATTAAGTAGGTTTATGAAAAATTGTAAGTATGTTGTCACAGACAAGGTAAAAAATTTAAACCACTAACCTTTTCTTTAACACTCAATGCATCTCTTCTCTTCAATTTAGGAATAACAGGACTTAATGTTCTAATTAAATTTTGTACCATTGGCTTTGTTAACCTATATGTTTTGATAAACAAAACATTAGGCATTTCGAATGGATCGCTGATATATTGTTCTGTCCTAGCTTGTCGTTGAGATTGATTATAACGATCAACTGAAGCCGCTAGAGACAGTACTCTTAAGGATAGTTGAAAACTCATTTTAACAATAATTATTCACAATTCGTCCTTTTATTTAGAGAAGTAAACAAATATTGAAGTATTGAGTCACTTCAGCTTCGCTTCAATGAAATCGGTTTGAAGTCGCAGTGTTCTGTCAGTTGCAATTGTAATGAGTTAACAGAATACCGATTTCGTTTCGATCCAAACCGCGTTGCAGTGACGCTCGGCAACAGAATACGGAATACGCGCTAGCGTCACGCGAACGTGTTTGACATTAGACGAGAATACCAAAACAACAAAACGTCACTGCAACTGCGCTGCTGCTTAACTTATATTAATACGAGAATCGGCCTGCTGATCTAGAATTTCATTTATTGAAAGGAATTGGAAAAATTTCTCTAACTGTAACATCATTTAATTTTCTTTGATCGAAAACTTAACGCCGTTTCTTTTGACCTGATGCATCTAGTTTTTGGGGGACAATCCACACTGGTGCTCTCCAGGGTGAAATAGAAGGTCGTATTATTGTTTGATCTAACATCTTTTTAATTTGTTTATCCACTTCCTCCTTATGACATTGAGGTAAACGATATGTTTTAACAGTAATGGGTGGAGAATTGCCCGTATTAATTGAGTGTTCAATTGCATTTGTACATGTGAGTAAATCTCCTTTAAGATAAAAAAAATGTCGGAATAACTACTACAAACTTGGAAAAAGTAATTTCTTTTCTTCAGAATTCAAGTGTTGCCATCGTAGTATACGAGTTACGATTAGTATACGAGTCGTTTATATTAAAAATATTTTCTATGTTTTTGCTTGATAATAAGAAAGAGTAATCGATAGGTATTAAAGTTACTTTAAAATCTTTTATTTCAATATTTGATTTAGTGGTATTTAAAATAGATATGAAGAATGGCGTATATGTATTGACACATATACGCCATTCTTCGGTAGTGTCTAAAACTAATGCCTCTTTAAGGTTGTTCTATTCACCTCCTGGATTAGTCACAGCACATTCACAACACTGTTTCAGAACGAGCTGGGATATTGTAGATTGGTTCATGAAATATAATTGGTAAAAAGTGTTTTTAATAGACATTTTATTAGAATAATAATCAATATTTGCATTAAAGTATTTTATCTATTGTTTCATGACCCAATTGAAATTGCAAGGAAAGCGATTTAAATTTTTATGTTGACAGACAGACATTTCGAAAATAGGAATTAGAATTTTCTTTCTTCTCGAATAAATCATTTTTATCATTTTATTTCACCTTTTTATTACAACATTTAACACATAAATTTATACACGATTCAGTAAGACTCAGCGGCTTCGACTGACATGCATTTTTGTTAAAAGAATTAAGAAGCGGCTTCGACTGATATGCATTTTTGTTGTAAGAATTAGTAAGACTCAGCGGCTTCGACAGAGATGCATTTTTGTTGTAAGAATTAGTAAGACTCAGCGGCTTCGACAGAGATGCATTTTTGTTAAAAGAATTAGTAAGACTCAGCGGCTTCGACAGAGATGCATTTTTGTTAGAAGAATTAGTAAGACTCAGCGGCTTCGACAGAGATGCATTTTTGTTGTAAGAATTAGTAAGACTCAGCGGCTTCGACAGAGATGCATTTTTGTTAGAAGAATTAGTAAGACTCAGCGGCTTCGACAGAGATGCATTTTTGTTGTAAGAATTAGTAAGACTCAGCGGCTTCGACAGAGATGCATTTTTGTTAGAAGAATTAGTAAGACTCAGCGGCTTCGACAGAGATGCATTTTTGTTAGAAGAATTAGTAAGACTCAGCGGCTTCGACAGAGATGCATTTTTGTTGTAAGAATTAGTAAGACTCAGCGGCTTCGACAGAGATGCATTTTTGTTAGAAGAATTAGTAAGACTCAGCGGCTTCGACAGAGATGCATTTTTGTTGTAAGAATTAGTAAGACTCAGCGGCTTCGACAGAGATGCATTTTTGTTAGAAGAATTAGTAAGACTCAGCGGCTTCGACAGAGATGCATTTTTGTTAGAAGAATTAGTAAGACTCAGCGGCTTCGACAGAGATGCATTTTTGTTAAAAGAATTAGTAAGACTCAGCGGCTTCGACAGAGATGCATTTTTGTTAGAAGAATTAGTAAGACTCAGCGGCTTCGACAGAGATGCATTTTTGTTGTAAGAATTAGTAAGACTCAGCGGCTTCGACAGAGATGCATTTTTGTTAGAAGAATTAGTAAGACTCAGCGGCTTCGACAGAGATGCATTTTTGTTAGAAGAATTAGTAAGACTCAGCGGCTTCGACAGAGATGCATTTTTGTGTAAGAATTAGTAAGACTCAGGGCTTCGACAGAGATGCATTTTGTTAGAAGAATTAGAAGACTCAGCGGCTTCGACAGAGATGCATTTTTGTTAGAAGAATTAGTAAGACTCAGCGGCTTCGACAGAGATGCATTTTTGTTGTAAGAATTAGTAAGACTCAGCGGCTTCGACAGAGATGCATTTTTGTTAGAAGAATTAGTAAGACTCAGCGGCTTCGACAGAGATGCATTTTTGTTGTAAGAATTAGTAAGACTCAGCGGCTTCGACAGAGATGCATTTTTGTTAGAAGAATTAGTAAGACTCAGCGGCTTCGACAGAGATGCATTTTTGTTAGAAGAATTAGTAAGACTCAGCGGCTTCGACAGAGATGCATTTTTGTTAAAAGAATTAGTAAGACTCAGCGGCTTCGACAGAGATGCATTTTTGTTAGAAGAATTAGTAAGACTCAGCGGCTTCGACAGAGATGCATTTTTGTTGTAAGAATTAGTAAGACTCAGCGGCTTCGACAGAGATGCATTTTTGTTATAAGAGTTAGTATATTTAGTAATATTATTATTAGATAAATATTATGTACCAATGTGATTTATCGATTTCGCAAGGCACTTTTTCGAAATCACATTAAGTTTAAAGTGCACTTACACGCAGAGTCATGTGTTCCACACATAGACATGTTTGTATTATTAGTACGCGGTGTTGGATCGGATTGCGATTGTGAAATTTTGTTGCGCATTTTATTATTAAATTCTCGTTTTTTGCATTCCAGTATCCTATGCCCTACATTTTTGCAATAGCCACAGATAATATGAACTGATTTTGTGTGTTCAATTTTTCGAAAACATTCTGAGGAATTGTGATTTGTCTTTTTACAAATCGAGCAATATTTATTTTTAAAAGACGAAGAAATACTTTTTCCTCCTCGAAGGCCAAAGTTATTGCGTTATTTAAGTTCGCCGGATTCCTACATGTGACAATATTGCATAAATGAGAGTTTAGACCTAGTAAAAATGTGTTAAGAGGTAAGTCTTCCATTGCCGCTATCCTTCCTGGCAACTCCTCTTCGTTTTTACAAGTAAACTTGGTCTCTGCCATGAGACGCATTAAAGAAGTCTCTAAACTAATCGAATATTGCGTAATACGTGAGTGTTTTTTTTTTCACCAAAAGAATAAATTAAAAAGTCTTCGAGTTCAAACCATTCGTGAAAATTTTTCAGACAACATGTCATTGGAGCTTTTCTTTCTAGTTGAGAAATTATACTTTTACACAAGATATTATGTAGATCCTGTAATGCTAATGATATGCAGTTGGTAAGGAAAGCTGGCAAGCTCTCCCTATCCCCAGAATAAGGCGTTTTGAACTTAACCAACAAACTAATTTTATTATCTGATTCTACTTTGATTGACATGGTGTTTGAAACAAATACAAATAAACAATAAGATATAAAATTACGAAAGAGTCACTATTTAATTATTAAACACAGTCAAAAAAAACTTACGATAGGAAAATAATTTTCTGGAGCATATTTTAATCACTTTCACTTTTCACAAATTGCCCTTTTTTTTTAATTTCACTCACTTCTCAATAGGACGAGGGGCGCGAAATCTGAACCTCGTCTTCTCTTCTCTCTCTCTCTTATTTCTCACTTTATGTGTTAGGTTCAGAAAACCTTTGAAACCAAAGTCCCAGTAGAGCTACAAACAATGTCGGTGACGGACAAGGGATGCAGGCTTGTATAGGTATAAATAGAAAGATAGGCTTTCTGTCGATCCATGACCACGATGCTCCTGTTGTTCTTTGGTATACCCTGTCGTTATAACAGTCGGGTATCCCACCGCTGCCACCAAATTTGTTTTAGCGCACCGGGTCGTGAGGTTTTTAAAAAAAAAACGAAAATCCACTACTGGACTTAATTCCCGTTAAAATGCATGATTTTTCCTTTTTTAATATCATAAATTGACACAGGTAGATAATTAAACATAGATAAAGGGAAAAATAAAGAAAAAAATATTTATTTTCCAAAAAGTATATTTTTATAAAAAAAACTTACTGATTTAGATCTACATCAGTATGCATTACAGTTAATAATAATAATGTAGCCTAAGTACTGTACTATTACTGGTCGTCGAATTAGGCTTACTGCAGTGAATGATACTCTTTGAAACAGTTGTTTCTCTGATTTAGACACAGCGGTATATTACATTTGGTACACGACAATTGTGTGGTGCCGTTACAATTGGGCATCTTGCACCGTAATCGATTGGCAAATACGGGCCAATATTCGAATCCATCTACGCGCACATTTTTTGAGGGGAGTGGATGTTGCGGACCTTTTTGCCTTTATAATTGAAGCTCGCGTTCTAGAGGAAGTACTTGGGCGCCCTCTTTTACTAACTCCAGACATACCTATATTGCACAGTGTGTCGGCTAAACAATTACGAAACTCCCCAAGGTTAGGCAGCTGCTTTTTTGTGACACCTTTAGCAATTAATTTTTTTTTCACAAGAGTTGATTGTAGTGAGCTCCAGTAGATGATAAAACAAGCGTAAATACCATTTTCGGCTCTTTATTTAAATTCGATAGCGTCCTAAAAAGCTGTCCATTAGGTCGACTCCTCCCATGCATGTTGTACTCGTGCACAATTTTGGGACAAGGGATGTCAATTTTTTGTTTAGCTTTCTTGTCGTGTCTTGATACTTTTCCAACACGCTCGGCGCCGACGTAAGTCGATAAAAGAGTGACGACTTTTTTATCTTTCCACGCAGTGGCCGAAAAGTCTACTCCATCTGAAAATCCGGAAACGCGTTCCTCATATGTGCCTCTCGGAACAAAAGTTTTCATAAGTTCCTTTTTATCAGGGAGTCGACAATTCGGTACCCTGTTTTGCTGAATAGTTTCGACATATTGTATACCCTGTTTATTCAAATAATAATTTACCAAAGGCAAGGATGTGTAAAAATTATCGAAGAATACAATATGATTGTTCATCCTTGGTATAGCTCTCGCCAAACGTATAACGACGTTATTTGTTATTCCTAGATCAGGTTCATCTTTTTTTTCTTCTTGTCCAGAATAGACCTCAAATATGTAAGCATATCCCATAAGATAACAGAGTATAAAAAGCTTATAGCCCCATTTGTGAGGCTTATTTGGTAAATATTGCTTCAGGAAATGTGCAATTTTAGTGGAACACATCTGCTCATCTATTGAAACTCGTTGGTCTATTGCAACTGATGAAAATGTCTGTTCTATCACAGGCCGAATCTTATGGAGGCGATCGTGATCGGAATGGTCTCGCGAAAGATGTTTATTATTATCGTTGAAATTTAAGTAGCTCCGAATCACCTAAAACCGATTTACAGGCATCGCGCTCTTTACAGGATCGTACCCAAACTTGGAATCCTAGTATGAGCGTACACTAGGAAATTGGTCCACTGACATAAATAAAAGAATACCTATGATTTTTTTTAATTCACCAACAGTAGTAGTGAAAGATACTGAAGGTTTTTCTGTACTGCATATAAGTTAGTTTCGTCTTAATTTCGTTTAAATTATCTTGTAAACGTCGTTTACAAGGTACACCTGTCGACGGCCGGCCAGGTGTGAAGGCAGGAGATGCTCTTGGGCGCATTTACACAGTGCATGTTAGTAACTTCGAATGTTACTGTTTGCGAATGCTGCTGAATGTAGTACAGGGCCCCACTAGCTTCTTGGATCTAAAAACAGTTGATGGCCAAGAACTTGAATCTTTTCGACAAGCGTGTGAGAAGTTGGGGTTGTTGGAAGATGACAACCACTGCCACTGGGGATGCCACAATGGAAGAGGCAGTGCTGTGTCGCTCTCCTTCGCATATAAAAGAACTATTTGCAATATTGATATGCACTTGCGGCTTATCCAATTCGCTTCAACTATGGGATAAGTATAAATCTGCATTATCGGAGGATATCTTGCATAGATTTGAAAGGATGTATCAAGTCAACAATGATCTATGTTTCAATGAAGCACTGAGACATATAGAGGACAAAATAATAACGATTTCCGGTAAGAAATTGTACGACTTCGGTATGCCTACACCAGAGCGTCGAGGAGAGTTGTCGACCGATTTGATCAAAGAGCTAAGCTACGATATTGCTTTATTAGACGCTCAGGTCAGCGAAACTGAACCACGCCTGCTACCCGAACAAAAAAACATTTATAACAAAATATTACAACGAGTTGAGCTTGACAAAGGCGGCCTATTCTTTCTTGACGCCCCGGGCGGTACATTTTTGCTTAATTTGCTTCTAGAAAAAATTCGTAAGGACCGTAAAGTTGCATTAGCGGTGGCTTCCTCTGGGATCGCTGCAACATTGCTGAGCGGTGGACGAACGGCACATTCGGTTTTTTAAATTACCTCTTAATCTGGCTAGCGAAGAAACCCCAACGTGCAACATCAGTAAGAGCAGTGCCCGTGGCGCTCTCTTGCAACTTGTATGCTGATCGTGTGGGACGAGTGCACTATGTCACACAAACACGCCATTGAGGCGTTGATCGCTATCTACAGGTACTGGTAGTGTTATTGGCAGGGGATTTTAGACAGACTTTACCTGTTATCGAGAGAGGCACTGCAGCAGATGAAATTAACGCATGTCTAAAAGCCTCATATCTGTGGTCTAAAGTTGAAAAGCTTTATTTTACCACTAACATGCGAGTCCAGTTATTCAGCGATGTCGAATCAGGAGCATACGCTCAAAAACTGCTAGAAATTGGTGAAGTCCACCTTAACACCGACCAAGAAGGTATGGTTCTTTTCACACAGCAATTTTGTCATGCTGTGGAGACAGAAAACGAACTTACTGAACAAGTTTTTCCGAATCTGCAACAAAATATTCTTGACGAAAATTGGTTGTGTGAAAGGACCATATTGGCACCAAAAAATGAGACTGTTGCGAAAATAAATAAAAAAATCTTGGCCGAAATAAACAGCGATACATCAGTTTATAATTCCATTGACACAGTTATGTCATCCGATGACACTACAAGTTATCCCGTAGAGTTCCTAAACTCTTTAGAGTTGTCCGGGGTGCCATCACACAATTTGGAATTAAAGGTTGGTGTACCAGTTTTGTTAATGCGTAACCTGGATGCGCCAAGATTATGCAACGGTACTCGGTTGCGAGTTACCGAATTAGGAAGGCCTCTCGTCTGCTTAAAACGTAGATCTGCGCTCGAAAAATGTTTACCCTTACATGCCTTGGACGTGTATCTGCGTCAAAACGTACCATAATTTTTTAAAAGGATATTGTGTTTTAATTCCTGTATTTTTGGGTCTACTTTCTTTTGTATCCAAAGTGTACTAAATGAATTTGTCTTAAGGGTCCATTGTCGATTGTTTATACAATAGGAATACGATGTTTAAACTCATTTATTTTGTTCGCGCGTGCGAGAGTGGACACATCCCAATTTGTTACAACAGAAAAGGAGTCAATCCCGAAATACCTGTAAGTATTTCTACCTATTTTTTCTACTTTACTTATTGTTCATATTATGTAGAACTTATAAAAAAATAAAAATAAAAACAATAAATGTTAACTAACGACATATAGGTTAGTAAATGTCCCGCAATAACTTTTCGGTTAACAATTTTGATTTTCATATCGACTTATCTTTGCATTGATCGCGTTAAAATATCATTTTTATATATCATTAAAGAGTAAATTTTATAAGCTTTTAAATGGTTGTTGTAACTGTCAAAGATGTAATGGAGCAATCTGGAAGCAACGGAATGCCACTTGAGAAAGTTGATGCGTTTGATTTTGAGGTAGGATATTTTATACATTTTTTATATTATTAAAATCATGTTTTATTAAGGGCTTCTTACTATTTTAGATGCTCGGGCCCCTAGCTGAGGAACTAAGGCTTGATTCGGGAAGCGAAAGTGAGGACGAATTTATGTCGGTGGAAGAGATACGAGCGGTCCTCGGAGGGTCGGAAGATTTTGTCGATGAGGAGGAGGAAATACCAAATTTGTATAACCATTTTGATATATTATCATTTATTAAAAATTTAGTGTAATATATAATAGACATATAATAATTTTTAAAATAGATTGTCAATAAATTGATAATGAATTGTTATTATTATAATAGATTTAATGGTCTCGTATAGTTTGTGTTTCTTTGTATAAAGTTTAATTTTTTTTTATGTTTATGTTTAAATAAATCAAAGTAGGTATATTGTATAGTATATTAATATTGTAAATAGTAAAAAGATATAAATGTAAATTTGTTTTTAATTTTCATATCCAAGAGTAAGCTTATTTAATTTTCAAAAATCAACAGCAAAGTGTAACATCCTATATAAGTAACCGCTATGTGGCGCGAAATTTGAAATGCTTACACACACATGCATAAGAACACAAGACAATTTTGCGCGGCGATTCGTAGTGGCCGGGCACACGACGGGAATTATGACGAGCGTGGGTCAAGCATACGAAAGGAAGTGAAGGCTACAATTTGAACTGGAGAAGCCAAGGGAGACAATGTTCTTATACCGCGCATCCCAATCATACCCAACAACTTGCCATTCAATTTTAAACGCCTGCAGTTCCCATTAAAAGTCACATTTTCAATGACGATCAACAAATCGCAGGGTCAAACCTTGAAGGTAGCAGGCCTACATTTGGGCACGCCATGTTTTTCTCACGGTCAGCTCTATGTGTGTTTATGCTGAAGGATTAGGATCGTTAAATGTAGTTTATAGGAGCATACTGCAGTAGCTACCTATAGACCTATGATTAGGGCTCTGCAGTGCTTAGTTACCGTATTTCTTGGAGCAAAATATCGATGTGCGAGAAAAATCAGATCACTATAAATTTCATGTGGGTAAAAGCGCACAATGGTCTCGGAGGTAACGAAAGGGCGGATGAAACCGCCAAAGAGGCGGCGATGACGCCTAAAGACTCACCGGACTACGACTTCTGTCCCATTATATACTTCAAGAAATGGCTGAGGGTTCGTACTGTAGAATAGTGGGGTAGCAGATACTGTAACTCGAGTGCAGGGTCTGTCACCAAACTCTATTTTCCGGAACCGGGGTGTGCTCGCAGGGTAATCAATCAAGGTATCAAACTTGATTACAAAACGACGCAATTCTTAACTGGACACGGCGGATTCTCTGCGTACTTGCATAAATTCAAACGCAAGGACGATCCAACGTGTTCTTGTGACGGATCAACGCCGCAAAACGTGATTCACTGCCTGACTGAATGCCCTGTGAGCATGCGTTCGAGGATGGACGTCGAAGCAGCGACAAATACATTAGTAACCCCGGAAAATTTTAAATTCTTTGTGAGCGATACAAAATTACGACCCATCTTCTTTAAGTACTGCTGCGAAATAATAGAAGCCGGTCTATCTTCCGTTTTCCGTTGCCGTTATAACTTAGAAAATAAGAGAAGTATTAGACGTAATATAAACCAAGAAAACGTAATTTAAGTAGTAGGTATAGATATAGATAGCGTTCTATATAAATTATAATAGATAGATATAGATTATAAGCATAAGGATATATAATTGTAAATAAGTAAACCAGGTCCCTTCTGACCGAGGAGGGGGAGACCCCGTCGTCCTTAGCTGTTTAAGCAGCGTATGGACAAAATTATAAAAAAAAAATATTTTGTACTTTATGTTTATAATATTAATTTGGTAAAAAGCTTAATCTAAGAAAATAAATGTATACATAATATACCGATAGATTGGTATAATAATTTTATCACCCTGGCCACCCATTTACATTATGCTTACACATTCACGGATGAAAGATACCTAAGTATGTATGGGATTCACAGAGCAAGAGGGGATTCCCAATTTCATTATATTGTAGGTACCTACTTCGTCTTACATCGGTTGGGGATTCCCAGAGTAAAAGGGGATTCCTAATCTCATTTAATTGTACGCACTATTTCTTAAATTAGTCTGTCAAGTGTCAATAGCTCAGAGATCAAATACGAACTTTAGCCTGCTTGTTTAACTTGTTATTCTTAAAGTGTGTATTTCTAGTGATGTGTTGAAAATGATATTTTGATGAGAACAGCCCCACAATCTAAACCAAACATACCGCAACGAACTGCAAATAATCTCTTTTACACCATTGAACCGACACAAGATAATATGTTTATGGTTTCAGACGTTTATTTCTCTTAAGATTTACAAAATCACTTACTAATTACGATGAATATCAATCAGAATGTTACGACCAAGAAGAATTTTATTATAATGAAAATAATTATGAAGATTGTGTTAACCAAATTGAATATGTAACAAAAAAAAACCGGAAAATGACAATTTTCAGACAACGACTCCGGAGGCGGAAACTCTGAAATAATATATTTCAATCATCACGAAGCATTAAAATTATCAAATATTGAAATCCCAGAAATTAGTTCGAAACTAATGATACAGGTAGCACTAGATCATTTTTAAGTCCCTCAATAGCAAAAACGTATTTTACCGATTACACATATTATGAACCATTTGAAGTGATGAGTACACATGCCCAAAGTTTTCATGATCAAGTAGTTAATATCTCATTGTGTTTAGTCTGTAAGTTAATTTGATATATTTAGTCTGTAAAAATTGATATGACGTATAAGTCTATTGTCTATTCTCGATCTAGAGAGATACAATTCATGTCATGTAACTCAAGCAACGTAATTAAAAGTATTTTGCCAAATTTTGTTTGAATTAATTAAGCATTAACAACATTAATGGTCCAAATCGAGCCGAATCAGAAAAATATTGCAACATATAAAGTGAGCATTAAAAGTACATTAAAACTTAAAAGTTCATATGCAACGTCAAGTACTCATAACCTTCTTACAACACGTGCAAAATGGAAAAATTGATGCGAGAATTAAGTAGTTATGCGAAGAAAATTGAAACATTGCTAATTAATACCAAGAAGACGTCCAAATCCAGGTACACTAAAGGCTATCTAACAACCAGATTAGAAACGGTAAAGGAATATTGGCATAAATATCTGTCGTTTTACGAAAGTTTTATTGAAAATTATGATGATAACGAAATAATTCAAAATCAATATACTGATACAGAGGCGTTTTTATTGGAACTTAAAACCTTAATCTCTGACTGTTTGGAAACATCCCTTAATACACAAGCATGCGAGAATAATTCAGAACATCAATCACAATCAAATAAAACAAGATTACCACTACCTCCAGTGCCTTTGCCTAAGTTCTCCGGTAATTATTTGGATTGGGCAAGTTTTAGAGATATATATTTAAATTTAGTACATAACGATAAACATTTAACAATCATTGAAAAACATCATTATCTGCGCTCAAGTTTAATTGGAGAAGCCGAACAACTATTGAAAAACCTTTCTCTTACTGAAGCTAACTACAATAAAGCGTGGGATACTCTTCAAAATAGATATGATAACAAAAGAATGATAGTTAATACAATATTAAACAGATTTTTACTTGAAAGAAAATTAAATTATGAAAATGCATACAATCTAAAATTATTATTAGACACATCAAAAGAATGTTTAGATTCACTAGAGAATTTAGGAATTAATGTGAACACTTGGGACGCTATAATAGTGCATATTATTACCTCAAAGCTTGACTCGGGGTCTATTAAACAATGGGAACAGTCCCTAGGAGCTTCAACAGATATTCCAACTTTTAAAATGTTGGAAGCACATTTAGAAAAACAGTTTAGAACCTTAGAGATTATTGATATGAATGAGAAAAAAGAATTTAAACAAATCACTCGCCAATCAAATAAACAAACCTTTAAGACTTTTACTACTACAAACAAGGAAACCAGCTGTACATTCTGTTCACAAATACATTTTATATGTCATTGCAAGGAATTTGGCAAAATACTTTTAATTACGTTACTTAAGTTACATGACATGAATTGTATCTCTCTAGATCGAGAATAGACAATAGACTTATACGTCATATCAATTTTTACAGACTCAATATATCAAATTAACTTACAGACTAAACAGGATATGATAAAATCGCTCATAATTCTTTAATTAGGGTAGGTCAGATTCCTGCCCCGGAAAATGGAAGTGGTTATCAAGAATCTTCTAATACCACTGATGATTCCAATATCATGGACATAATAACTTCTCTAATTAAGACTTTATCAAAAACAAATACATTGAAACCGTCCAACGTTGCCACACTACATAAGTTAATAGATAGTATAAACATCAACAATGGATTCAATAATAGTACAATGGAATTGCAGAAGCTTAATTCCTAAAAAGACAGATTTAATTAACATTATTAACAAATATAATCCCATAATAGTGTCTCTTAATGAGACTTGGCTGAAACCCAATATTACTTTTCGTATTGCAGGCTATGTTTGTGTTCGAGATGACAGATTTGATGGGTATGGTGGTGCTGCCATACTCGTTAAAGAAACAATCCCGTTCACACGTTTAGTTTTGCCATCCCACAACAATAAATTCATAAACAGTGTTGGAATTTGTTTAAATAAAAGTATCTCCATTATTTCCACTTATATATCTCATAATTCACAATCTACTTATAATTATTTACAAACTTTAATAGGTTCAGTTTCTACCCGTTTATTGTTGCTCGGTGATTTTAATTCTCAACACCAATATTGGGGAAGTAGCACTACCAATAGTAGTGGGGAACAGCTTTTAGGTTTAATAGATATGTTCAATTTATGCATTCTTAACACGGGTCACCCTACACGCCGTACTAAAGCAAATGAAAATATAAGTGCGATAGATCTTTCTATCTGTTCGCCAGAATTGGCTTCATCTATATTATGGCGTCCCCTGGAAACTTCATTTGGAAGTGACCACTATCCACTAATAATGACAGTTCCAATTAAAAATAATAGTTACAATAAGTAATAAAAAAACACGATTAAAATATATACTTAAAAATGCTGATTGGGGAAAATTTAAAGAGAATGTTGAAAGCCGGATCAAAGACCTGCCAGTAATTTATGCAGGTAATGAGAATTCTTGTTCTGAACATCTAGCTAACATATTTATTGAAGCGGCAGATGATGCTTTTCCGCATAAATCCACTAATGGTTCAAAACTCAAATTTCCAGCATGGTGGGATAAAGAATGTAGTAACGCTGTCAAAGAAAGGAAGCGTATGGAAAGAATTTACGCCCATGATATGTCCGACATAAATTTTGAAAATCTCTCTCAAACTATTAATCTTACCCGGTCACTTCTTAAAACAAAAAAACAAGAAGGATGGAAATATTTTTGTTTATCTTTATCCCCTGATACTTCTCCTGGTGACGTGTGGAAAAATATTAGACGTTTTCGATCAGCTTTCAAAGAACAATCATCTGATATTTCTAAGGAATTAGCTCATAAATTTATGGATAATCTGGCACCTCTTACGGTTCCGGAGTATATTGATAGGATACCCACTGTTACCTCCCTTACAGATCATAATTATAGTTCTTTAGTAGGATGTCAATTTATTTTAGAAGAACTCATAGGAGTTCTTTCGTGTGTTAAAGATTTGTCGCCAGGAATGGACGGGATTCCATATTCATTTTTATCTCACCTATCAGAAACATGTTTAAAATATTATTTAGAGCTAATAAATTCAATATTGATGTCTGGGAACATTCCTTCGTCTTGGAAATCGCAAGAAATAATACCTATTTTAAAGCCAAATAAATCCTCAAGTGAGGTAGCATCCAATAGGCCAATTGCTTTATCGTCTGTTCTTTGCAAAATTTCAGAGCATTTAATTAAAAATCGGCTAGAGTGGTATTTGGAACATAACCGACTTCTATCGAATAGTCAATTTGGGTTTCGCAAGGCAAAGAGCGCCATTGACAACATCTCCATACTAACTTCAGACATCAATATCGTTTTTTCATGTAATCAACATGTTGTTGCTGCGTTTGTTGACATTCGTTCAGCATACGACAATGTTGTTATCTCGATACTACAAAAAAACCTTTTGAAACTTGGTATTCCTAATGTTTTAATTAATTTTATTATATCATTACTAGAACAAAGATATATATTTTTAAACATTGATGAATCTGTCCAATTAAAACGTACAATAAGTAAAGGTCTCCCTCAAGGATCGGTCTTAAGTCCTCTGTTGTATAATATTTACACACATGATTTGGCTGATTCACTCCATTCTACTATTAACATCCTTCAGTACGCGGATGATCTAGTTATATACACCATAGATGCTAATTTTAATTGTGCTTGTAATTTTTTAAATCAAGGTCATACTGACCTCAAATGCTGGCTCGATAAAAATGAATTAGATGTGTCCGTCGATAAAAGTGTCGCCGTTGTCTTTACAAGATCGCTAGTGATTCCTAGGGTTAATGTTAGTTTTAATGAGAAGCAGGTACCACTTGAAAATCATACAAAATTTTTAGGTGTAATCTTGGATAGTAAAATGACTGGTACTCTTCACGCTGAGTACATATGTACAAAATGTGAAGCTATACGTAATTTATTAAGATGTCTTTCGGGAGTTTGGTTGGGTGCTCATCCTTATTGTATGAAATTGGTCTACAATGCTTTGATTCGAAGTATTCTGGACTATGGTATGTTTTTATTAGAAAGCGGTAACGTTACAGCACTAAAAAAATTAGATCAAATCCAAGCTAAGGCTCTGAGAATTATGTTAGGTGCTATGAAATCCAGCCCTATTAATGCTCTTCAGGTTGAAGGGGGGATCCTCCGCTCAAGATCCGAAGGCAATATTTATCTGATAGATTTTTATTCCGTATATTACAATTCAGTAACCATCCATTAATAAACAAGCTAAAAACTTTGAACGATCGGATAAGTACGTCAACTTTCTAGAAAAATAGATCAATGCCTTGTTTAATTATAAGTTACCGTAAATTCATTTCAATGTCTACCCATATTTTTCAGTCTCCAGTATTATCGCTGTATACATATAATTTCCAGTGCCTTTTGATCAAACCGCATATAAACTACAATATAGGAATCAATAAGAACGAAATAAAATCAAATACAAACTTTAGATTTAATATTGATAAGAAATGGTGTAATTGGCATCACATTTATACCGATGCCTCTAAAGCCGACTCTTCCAATCTTAGCTGTGTTGGAGTTGGGATATATCACGTTCAATATAAGATTACACAAAAAATAAAGTTACCGCCTGAGTCCTCTGTATTTACTGGAGAATGCTTTGGACTCCTAAAAGCATTAGAATTTATTTTATTAATGAAACTCCCTAGATCTGTTATTTTTACTGACTCAATGAGTTCTCTGCAATCTTTAGACAAATATCCTTTTTATAATAAACCATATTTTCCTGTTATATTTGAAATAAGAAATAAATTAGCTGAATGTAAGAATTTCGGTTACTTGGTGACTTTTGCTTGGATCCCAAGTCATTCTGGAATCCAGGGAAATGATAAGGCTGATTCCTTGGCAAAGGATGCGGTGCATTGTGGAGATATATATCCATACATTCGCTATTGCCATGACCTCATTTCATTGCCGAGAAGATTTCTCTTTGAAACATGGAATAAGGGTTGGGCAGAGACTGGACAGTATAAGGGAAGGAACTATTATAACATTCAACCGACAATACCAATAAAACCTTGGTTTTTTGGTGTAAAGTAAAATAAAAATTTCCACAATAAGTCGCATGAGAATTTGACATATATGTATTCCTAGTCATTTAGCCAAAATTGGTGTTTTAAGTAATACTACTTGCGAGTGTGGTGAGGAAGAGGGAAATATAGATCATATATTTTTCTCTTGCCGCCTGTATGACCATTCCTCTTTTTATTTCTCTTTAATTTCATCGAATATTCCTCTTCCTACTCGTATGTCCTATCTATGTATGTATCCTAAAAAACATTTTAAGATCATTTCTCATTTTATATTTACCAATGACGTAAAACTGTAGTGTTTATATATTTTTATTTAATCTTTTTAGTTTAAGGTAAAGTCACTAATGCCAGACAGTGACCTAAAGGATGACAACTTCGAAAAATGTTCTTGTAATAAAAACAATTTTAGTAAAAGGACTCTCATTACAATAGCATAGGACGCCTAGCCTATCTATGAATTATTTTTAAAAACTCCCAACAGTTTTCTAAGCGAAATTTCAAAAATATCGTCAGTTGCTGTCAAACATGTAGCGAAGTGAGCGCGCTTTCCTTAATTGTTTAACGTTTAGTTTAAGGACGTCGAAATTTGAAGGTGAGTTTTGAACCGATATTTAATTAAAAAATGCTTCTTACTCATTTGTTAAAGTATCAATGAGGTGTGGAAATAGTGTTAAAAGTGTTTTCCTTGTGTTTGCTAATATTTTTCTAACAAATTATGATATGTCTACTATTAGTTCCAAAAATGAATGAAAATCTATTAGTTGACAGGCGTGTCATCTATTGGTGTTTCCCGATATTAAACTTTTATGTTAGGTTCGGCACGGTTTTGGATCTATTTTCAATGAAAACATTACTGTAGAGATATCAGCTATTTTGGATCACTGTAACTAAAGATAGACATGGTGTCTATTATTGGGGTATATATGATGTCAATTATTGGTTCTAATGTTCCAAACTGATAATTATGCCACAAATAAAAGGGCAGATGTTTCGTTACTTTGAGAATGATACAGAAGCCGCTATTCAAGAATGCCGACGAGGAGTTCCGACGTCAACTGCGGCAAAAAATTCTATAAAACGAAAAATGAGTAGAACAGGCTACATCTCAGATGATAAGGCTATACCATAGAAGACACTTAAACGCCCAGCAAGAGAGTCCAAGCACTACTCAAAATCTTGATGACAACACAGGATCATTGATAGAACTGCCTACATCAAGTCATGATAGGTCACAAGCAGGTTTTTCAAAGAGGGATAGGAGGAAGGGATAATATGGTAATACCTGGTCCATTTAAAAATCGTCGTTTTGGCCAACTCCTAAACAAAACTCAAAAAGAAGTAGGAAACAAAAAGTGCCATTTGTATTATGTTTGTAATGGCAAAGATACCATGAAAAAAAAATAAGAAGACTGAATTAGAGGAAGAGAAAAAAAGAAGAGCTGAAGAAAAAAAAAAGAAAGAAGAGACCGAAAAAGCACGAAAACTTAAGACTGATAAGAAGTTAGTAAAGAAAAGTAAAAATATTATAAAAAACAAACTTACAAAAGGTGACTATAATAATTATTATATAGTCACCATTTTAATAATTATATTTTTGAAAAAGTGCAGGACCGAGTCGAAATTTTTATCAATTTATTTTCGATTTTTAAATTAAAATTCTTGATCTACAAAATATGATTATAACTAGGTATAGAATTAAGTACAAATTCGATAGTGTCTTAGAGGTTGATGGATAAGTATTAATTAAGTTAATTAAGTATATCAAGCACACTGATGCTTTTAAAACTGCAAGTGCTTTAATTAAACATGTCAAGTATTAGTGGATTTGACTGTCTACTTATGTTTATTTTCTTTTTTTGTTATGTCATCTATTAGTGGTTAAGGCAATATTTTTTTTTAATTAATAATCATTTAAAATATTTTCATTATTGATTGGTTTTATTATTGAAGATAATATTTTATGATACACTGTGTTGCTATAAAAAATCTCGAATTGTTTTCTTTAATAAACATATAATTATTTTAATTCAAACATAATGTTTTCGTTAAAGTGTCTGGCATTAGTGACTTTACCTTATATGTACCTAAATTCCTACCATAAAACATTTTTTCCAGGCCGCAATAAGAAACTATGCATTTAAGGGTTAAATCAAATTTAATGATTATTATAACAAAAAAATCCTGTCACATTGCATTATTTCTAAATGCAGAACAAATTAACTGAAAAAGGTTCGCGGCCTCGCACGCTTTTTCGTCACTGGAGTGATGTGAGCGAGTAAGATAGAGATAGCGCTAGGTCGTGTCGTCGGGACTTAGCCGTATATTATAATCTTTTAAAAACAATAATTGCAATATTTGTGTGTGATTAGTGTGCATGTGAGTTTATCTAATGTTAATTGAAACTGATGATATACCATGGAATTTCCGACATCAGGTAATACACAACAGCAAAGTGATATTCCTGTGTATTGTTCGGACAGTGAACCCAAATCACAAGACGAGTTATGTACCAAACGAACGAGAAAAGTGGCCTATTTGTCAAAAAGTTTGTAAATTTTGACGAAGTACAACAATTTCTTCGAGATGAAGAGATTTGGACTGCTAAATTTACCCACACGACAGAAGGTAAAAAACAGTATTACCGTTGCAACAAAGTTAAATACCGAGGCCCTCAGTGTGCAGCACAAATTTATTTGCTTTTTGAATCAAAATCCGATGCTGTCTTACTGTACCGCACAAGCAGCGATCATGATCATGAGACTATTGGGACCAAAAATGATTATGGCATAACCCAAGAGACAAAGAGATAAATTACATTTCAACAAAGAACTTTTGTCTTCATGAAAAGACATAAATGCAAAATTTTACTTTTTTCAGACACTTGCACTGTCCTCAACAGTTTCCCTACGTTGTCCAATGTGGAATTCTTCTTCTTTTCGTCAAATACAACTTCCAATTTGCAACCATTAGACCAAGGGATCATCCATAATTTTTAGATGTTCTATCCAAAAGCTATAGAACCTCTACAAACAGCTAACTGCAAATATCACCGTTCTGACAGCTATTTTCTGATCGACAAGGCATGGAGAGCTACCATAAACTGCAGGAGTTATATTTTATAAATAACAATTAGTTTGATTTCGCACATATACATTTATACAAATCTACATATAAAACAACATATGTGGCTCTGATGATGAAGAAAGAATATAGGGAAACACCATTAATGAAATTAGAACAGGATCATTCTTTTAATACCTCATTTATGCCGTAGTCAATGAAAATTGGCACCATCAGACAGAGGTGTGCCGCCAAGGTCACAGTGTTTATTGGATTTATATTTTGTTCCATACATCATTGAACCACCCTCATATTATCATAATAACATTAATTTCCTAAATGGTTTGTTATTCTAAATCAACATTAACCCTTTAAATTGAACCTACCAATATTTAGCATCCTAAAGTAACCAAATATTTTTGAAAGCATTTTAGCCTTTCATTTTGTTATAAGCGCTTAACAAATACATAGTTTATTTCCAAGGTTTTTCAGTTTTAATATGTCAAACATGACAAGATGCAAATGCTACCGCTCAGTTTTGGTCAAATGAGGTTATTTATAAAAAAAATGTAAACCATTTTTATAGCCCTTTGCCCTAAGTAACTTAAAGCAGAAGTTCACACAGAGAGAAACTGCGAAAACATAATGGGAAAGGTTTCATGAAAAAATCTGCAAATATAAAGACCTTTGCACCAACACGTCACCTTTGCACTCTTGAAGCATTAGAAGGTTGGCTAAATATACAATCTCTACACTTTTACAAAAATCATGAAAATGATATAATTAATGTATAAAAATTTTTTTTAAAGGACTATTTCGTATTGTGTCCCAACGGAACCACGATTACTAACCGGGCGTTTTGGGCGAGCGCTTTAGCGCTAGCCGTGTTTGCGGCTAGACCAAGGGTGCCCCGAGAGGGGCAATTAATGTATAGTCAATCCTACTATGTACTTAATAATTCAGAAAATTTTGTAATTTCATCAGCTTTAAACGTAAATTGTTAAAGAAATACAAAACCTCTTTTTCCAAGCATTTTAGAACACCAGTATAAACGATGCCCCTGTTTTTAACACTTCATAGAACTAACGATTTTTATGAAGTAAGCTCTAATTACAGAAGTTAATTTTGCTATATCAAACAAAACTCAATTACAAATACATTCCAATATTAGCTTTTCTTTAGATACGTCATTTTTAAAACTGACATTCTTTGAAAAATAAACATTTCAACCAAACATAGTCAAACTATGTACGAAGACATCAACGACAAACGAACTAAAGATACCTGATGCTTTCAATTTTTAGCAAGTTTTAACAACAATCATTTTATACGCAAATTAAATGCACAAAGACAAACATAACCAAAACGTTAAAACAAATTATATTCACCGAGTTTGCATTATAGCAACCAATTTATAATCGATCAAATAATAAATTAACGAATTAACATATTGACTGTGAGGTTAGAAACTAGAAATATATAATGACAACGAAACGGAACGCAATAGACATTTCTTTGACAGCAAAATGTAACAGCCAGGTAACAAGGCCTTTAACCCGATCCTTATATTTATACTCTTGTAATATACTTAATAGTATTTTTCCAAAATGTACATACACTACGTGTCACTTTGTTTTTCTGAAGATGTTTCTTTTGTTTTAATATAATTAAAAACTAACATAAAACGAAAAACGTTTTATACAAGTACATCTGTGACACGCTGCAATAATAGTACCGCCATCTATAATAATCGTATTCCTCCATGTTTGTCTGTGATCTCTGGACTCTGTGGTAATCTTACAACATAATATACTTAACAAAATATCAGAAATAAAATATATATTTATTATTAAAACAAACTTAAAAGTTTCTTTTTGAACCAAATTTAAACTACTGACGATGAAAATTATTTTTACCGTACGTTATCAGAAGGTTTAGGCTATAATACCTATATAGCTACACAGAACAAACAGAAAAATTGGAAAAATGTTCCTTCGATATATTTTTTAAATCAAGTTCAAAAACCTTATTACGGTAATCAAATATTATAATAATAATTATGATATAAACAATCTAAATTTTTATTATTGACACAACTACTATTATGGCTTAAGAAATATTTTGTATGAGGGAGCTCAAATTTACAACAATCAGCCAATCCATATGGATAATATATACCTACATAATCCTTGATATTAAGGAATATAAATTACTACCACAAATTTCAAATGAATTATTACCCATACTAATTACACATATAAACTATAAACAAATAAAATATGGCCCAAATTAATTCATTCTAATCTTGGTTTTTACATAATATAGATTAATAGTATCTAAAAACCAACCGCATTGTTATTTTCAATTCGAATGGATCTAAAAAACCAAAATTCTAATATTGTATTTTTTGTAGTTTTCTGTATAAATGAATTTGTCATAATACCTACTTATTTCAACAAAAAAGTAGTCTAGAATCGATGGGAGGGATTGTTGGTTTGGGTAGTTTACCGCAACATATATTAATCAATATATCTCTAGCCAGGACCTAAAGTCGTAGGAGTTCCCAGGAACTACGCAAGTAAGGTTGTCTAACCAGAAATCAAAGTAAATTCGTGAATAAATATTTATTAATACAATATAATACGTAACAAGGAGCGACTAACAACGTTCGAACACAAATTAACAAGTCTTTTTTCATCTTTTCCCCCATCGCCTACCACATACCACTCTTCTTACTCGTGTTATAAATGCAACTTTGTGACAAGGGATGTTTGTTTGTTACTTCTGACATATACATTCTGACATATATATAACTAAAACAAAAGCTTATATGTTACAAAACATTGTTTGGTTCTCTTCAAATATATAATACGACGCGTGTGTCTATACATAAACATACAATGACTTGATTTAATAATCAGTAATAAACGTTGTAATATCAGATAATAATAATAGAAAATCAAAAATAGTTCTTAGCCAGCAGCGTGCGTAAGTTCTACTGAAAATGGTCCAGCCATTGAGTGGTATGCGGTTACACACATCGGTCGTTGACATATTAAAAGAAATCATAGTCTTATCGATAACCTATTAACATTCAACACACGTTCAGTGTTTTAAATAAAGGGCTTTGCTTCCAGTGAATATAATAACTGTAATAATTACATCTGTTAACTAGACGAAACGGAGCGCTAAAGTAATGTTGGGTACTCACTGACGCCAGTAACCGTAACAGTTGTGTGTAGAAATAGTATAGTTTCAGACGTACGGTGTCCACTGCTGGACATGGGCCTTCCCGTTCTTACAAGCTCATCGCTCACTGAAGCAGTTTTCTAGGCATGAGGAGCGATTGTGTAATTCGAGTTGAAAGCTCTCGGGATCGTTAACTTGACACGAGACGGTCTGAGGGTAGACCTCATCAGCCGAGCCTTCTCAGCTTTGATATTTATATTCAACGAGCCCCGTACTATTCGATGATCACTTCCGGTTTTCGTCTTGTGAATCACCGAGACGTTGATGATTATATGTCTCTTAGTGGACATTATGAAGTCAATCTCATTTATTGTCCTTACATCAGGTGAGTCCTGGGCCACTTGCTTTTACCAAAATCCCCCGCAATCTTAGAACTATAAGTGAAAAACAAGAACAAAAAAATACAACCGATTCGACTGAGACCAATCCCACCGGTAAATATAAACCTTTAGTGTATTTCATATTGTATAAGAACGATGAGGGTTTTAGAACGAGAATAACAAAAGTTTACACGCATGTTACAGGAACGACTCGCGAGTGAGTACCCGTCCTAATAAGAGTGTGTACTGAAGCGGAATCTAAACTAAGAAAATATTTTCTAATGTATCGTAATGTATGTGAAACATCACATAATATTTAAACTATAACATAATATATAAGGATACTGTCTCATCTTTTGCTAAGCTTCTCTTTTTATGTGCTTATGAGACAAATTGCAGAAATAACATAGAACTAGGAATATCGGAAAAAGACAGAAGTCTTTGTCTATGGCCAGACATGAAAAAAAGTATTTAAGGCACAAATATGTTGTTATGGAAAGGGTATTTTTATAAAAAAATTATGACAAATTGTATATGATTATACAGAGACGTATTATGGGATAATTTTAATTATCCCATAATATGTCATAAACGTAAATAAGTAAATAACTAACAATGACATTTGCTGAAACTTCGAAAATCAAGTCCAATGATGAAAAATAATACTGTTAAATATATGGCAACCAAAAAGGTGTAATATTAGAATCCGCTTCAGTACACGAGAATGAGTATTTCGAAATGGCCGACTCTGAAGAGAGCGCTCTTAATACGCAATTCTGACATCAACTAGTGATCGATCAAGGGTGACTGTCATTGACTATTGTCAACGATAAAATCTATTGATATTTGCTTTTCCTTATTCAATATACATCAGTGAACAAATACCCAACCAGAAGGCTCGATAAAAGTAATTCTTTTAAATAAGATTGAATAAAAGTTTTATAAAAATCCTCAGTGCACTCCACCGTCAATAAATAAGTTTGAATCGTATGTAAAATAAAGCTTGGAAAAGGTTATTTTGTCATTAATCATCATAATCATGTTTAATGAATTAGCAATGTAATAAAAATGCCTGGGTAACGGAGGAACCCGCTCTAACAAGAAAAATGCATTTAGTGCACTTAATGTACGTGAAGACTGTCAAATTAAACTTGTCAATAAAAGAAATGGGCGAGTTTCTTGCCAGTTCTTCTCGTTCGTTGTACGCCTTTGATTAGAGTCTTTAGTATTTAACTGGTGTGACGTCCATAAGTGTACCCAGTTTACCTACGAATAAATGATTTTTGACTTTAGCCGTCTATAGCCGATCACTGATCTGACTGCCATCAATCACCGAGTAACAGTCCTTGAACTACTTGGTTCACCGTTGATCAATCACTGCGAATACATCATTTGTTCATGGCAGTATCAACAATACATTCAGACGCGCTTAAAACACTGATCACTATATCATGTTAACTAATATTGCATTTTTTACAGCCGAAGAGAAGTGATAGCGAAGGTGGCCTTGAAGTGAAAATATAAAAAGCGCATCTCAATGTTTTGATTACAAATTAAACGTAAAATTATCAACTATTTAGTGTGGAAAGAAGTGACAGTGTAATAATAAAACGGATCTTATATACATATTCTACGCTCTGGTTTTGGTCGCGTTCCATTAAAAATATATTACATAAGTTATACATGATACAGGATGTTCTAAAAAGTTTTTGTTGTTCTATTGTAGCATATAAACGATGTGCAAAAAAGAAATTCGAATTGCCAATCTGCTTTTTGAATAGAACTGGAAATTAACGTTCAAATAACGATACTCAATATTATTTAAACTTTAAAGAACATCCCATGCATAAAATTTCATATAACAGGCCGGTCCACACATTTTCGATACGACGCGGCCCACTTCAGACACAAATGTCCATTTTATAACTGGCAGTATATACACGATTCAATATTTACAATATTATCTTACAAAATGAGTCGGGGAGTTTCAATCGCTTTCAGAAGAAAACTCATAAACTAACTTTATGAATCAATTGAAAATAAAGGAAAAAATATTAAAAGAACTAAACTATGAAAAATATGACATAATATAAACAAAATGTTTGGATAAATTCGTAGTAATTATAATCAATTAGTTTCGGACGGGCAGGGCACTAATGATTAACTGTTCCATTGTAAACAAAATCGATCACTGAAGCAGAAACCCCCACCCCCCCCCTTTTGTTATCAACCTTTATCTAAATATGTAATTATTATTAATGTAATAACTTTAACTTCAACAATTGAATGCCTCCCGACTTAATACGTTGTAACGTAACCTAACATAAGTCTTTTACGAGCGACCTCGTCTATAAATCGAGAGAATTGGTCGAACTCTCGGGGACGCTGCCATTGGCCTCCCCTCCCTGTTTGTATGTTCGCCTATCATAAATGTCAGTCGACCCGGCGTTCATCTGCAAACGAAAGATGAAAATTACTTTTTTGGAAGTACGAGTCCCGCCTTTATCATATACTTCCGAGGCTTTTCAATGTTAGTGTTCAAAGTAATAAGTAAATAGACAATTTTTTTTTTCTATTTTTTTTCTTCATCGGACATGCCAACGAAATGATCATGAATTCAGTTAGATGTGTAAGCTCCTTGAGTAGCGAGGGGGAGGTTAAAAAACATAAACAGAATATTATTTAGTTATTATTATAGTTATTATTTTTACCACATTGCATCTAAACTTGTAACTATTTAATTTATTCCTCTATAAAGGACGTGGGGTAAATTTAGACTACCCACAGTAATAAAACGGACACAAATGTACTTAAAGAACAGCTTACTCAGAACGATTTGTCGGTGCAGTTCAAATATCGTTGGAGAACTTAAAAAATCTCACCCGGGCGCGGCGCGCGCTACGAAGTGAAGTGCGAGGCGGAGGGGCTGTGCGACCGGCTGCAGCTGGCGCGAGAATAGGCCCCCGAAGAGACGCCACCCACGCTGCCGGTACTGTATAAAGATGTACAGAGAGTTAAAATTAAAAGAATCTTATAACATGGAATCGAATTTGCGACAGGCATAGCTTTGAGACAGGGATAAAATTATATTTTTTAAATCAAGAGCAAAACAATAAAGGGGCAATAATTATGAGCTGGTTCCATTTCTACATTATAATAAATCACAAAAATCTAACTACCCTTCTTTCGAATTAATAAATAACATAGCATTTTATCATTTAAAAAAGCCAGATTGACTATTCAATCGGGCGGAGTCTAAAGTGTTTGAATTATAAACATTGATGGCATTTAGTTACCTGTGTCTGTCTGAGTATTCCCTCGCGGTGAGACGAGCGGGGCTTGTTCTCTCACTCGCGCAAACGCGTTCTGTCCCGCTCACACCGCTCATGCCACTTACTGAAACTAATTATACACAATCATTTATTGTGCTCCATGCGTAGGAAATTACTACACACCGTGAGTTTTTAATATTCAATTTTTTTTATGTAAAACTAGCTGTGTCAGCGAATTCATCCACGTAGAATAGTTATTTTGGGCATCCAAATTTGTTTTTGCAAACCTCCTTTTCATCTTTATAAATTTATGCTGTTACCCACGAAAACGGTCGGGTCCTGTCGTTCTTGCAGATCAATCTTAGAAAATTAACATATAGTGTCGCAGAGATTTTTTAAGATAATTTATGTTCTGTTCTGTTATTCATACATAATATGTTTTGGGTATCTGAAAACTTTTTTGCATCGTACGCCATGGAAACTATGATGAATAATTTTCTTCGTCATATCATTGTCTTTCGGGCTGTTCGGCCGATGTGAGCGAGAAGAACAATTAATTCTTCGAGCAATCGAGGAGTTAACATCTTCTGATGATGCCGTTCACACGTGACGGCGAAACGTCGAGAACCTCTTCTCGCTCACATCGGCCGAACAGCCTGAAAGACAATGATATGCTGAACGATGGCCGTGAAAGCCTGACAAAATTTAATTTTCTTCGTTTTTTCACAATTACCGTTTTTTCTTTGCTCCTATTAGTCACAGCACGGTGTTATAGCGTATAGGCTTCGGATCGGATCTATCAAAGATTTGGCTATAGAATTTATCGAGGAAGGCGATAAATTATCTAACAACACAGAAATAATTTTTCAATTCGAACCAGCAGTTCCTGAGATTAGCGTGTTCAAACAAACTAACTTTTTAGCTTTATATATTAGACTATTCTAAGCTTTGCTTCAAGCAATTACAAAAACCTAAATAAATAAAACCTACGTGTACGTGCGTGAGGTGAATGCCTCGCGCTTCTAGCGCGCTGCATACTGCCAGTCCCACCACTGGGGACACTGGCCGCCATAGAGCCCGAGGCCACACTGAGGTGGTGGCGGGCGCTACGGCCCCTCTCCATACTGCCTCCCTCTGCCCCAGTGCACATTGCGCTCAAACCGGGTGAAGCCCGACTGCGCAGCGCCGAGAAATCTGTAATTTATTTAAACTTATAAACATGATTCAAAATATCGTCCTTATTTTACTGATGGTGTCTACGCCCAAGTCGGGCAGTTGCGTCGTGGGAAGTATAGTATATCATACTACAACCTCTGTGTTGGAGCCAGTAGGAACAACCATACCAGACCTGAACTGTATCAACACTTAGTAGGACACCACCAGCTAGCTTCCTTTCTAGGGAGGCCTGGGAAGACGTTTGTACAACCACCAAAGCTACCAGCAAAAATATTGCTACGTAACATTTCATGTTTGTTCGTTTACCTTTAGTAGAACGACACAACCTCAATAATTTTTATTTTTAAATTAGTCATTATACTGATCTCGACTGTTGATGGGTTTGTGACCTTGAGTTATCAATTATTTATGAGTAAAAATGAAAAAAAAACTGACCTGTGTTCGGTAACAAGTCCGCACGACGCCCGCTAGCTTGCAGCGACCCGTAAGCTGAAAAGATTATGATTTGAATTATTCGTACTACTACTACTACTATTTCTAGTATATCACATTATTATTTAGTCAAACCTCGTATCAAGGAGAGTTCTATCGCCACCCTGAGCTCCTCCTCGTCAGCTCTGCTGCTACGGCTGCGACTGCGGCTGCATCCAGCGCTCTGCAGCGTCTGATCCCTATATTGCCTACTGCTTTGGGCTGCGCGCTCGCGTTGCGCTCGTGACCCTAAAGAGTAATAATACTTCAGACAAATATACACACCTAAATTAAACATTTTTTTTTATACTTTTAAAACATAAAAACATATTTATGGTATATTGAAGATAATAAAAAATACCCGGTCTTGGCGTATGCGTCGCCCCGTCTCCGAGATCTAATTGGACGACATTTGCGTTGACGCCTGCGCTTGCGCTGCCGTATTCTGAAAAAGTGCTCATTTAGTACTTCATTTAATCGCTTAAGTATTAGAGGGCGCTGTAATAATAAAGTTGAGTAATTACATTATGCAAATTAAATTATTATTTTATATGATTAATGAAAGCATGGTACCTGGGCGTGGCTGATGCGTTTGCGGCTGAGGGTGTGGGTGCGGTCTCGTATAGAGGTAGTGCGGGGTTAGGAGGTGCGTGTTGCCGTTCGGAGCCATCGCCACGTCTGGCACGGCAGCTGATAGCCGCCCTGGCACAGCTCTGGAAATTCCAAAATAGCACAACTTTAGCCAGTGTTCATATAGGATACTGTCGTTAGTGTACGCGAGTAGCACACATTTAGACATAACATTTTGCAATGCTTTAAAATGCGACACATATAAAGATTGGAGAGGAATAATATTAGTTAAAAGCGTTTTAAACCGTTAAAGTGTTTTATTTAAAATGTGTACTACTCGCGTAAACTATAGACAGTATTTAAGAAAAATACAAAACTACAAAGGAACAGATGGCGCTAACGCAGAAGTTTTTACTTTGACATTAGAGGCACTCCTTCAACTTTAGTCTCGCCGAGACCACGGCTGCTGCAAAGCGGCTGCTATATAGCGGACCGTAGTCAAATTAATTTTCTAAGTTTAACTAACATATTTCGCCTTTGAAACTGTTTTATTTAAATAGGATTCATATATATTTCCTGGTTTCATTTATTTTATGCACATAGTTTATTTATTTTTACTTAGAAACATATTTGCACAAATAAGACACCAAAAAAATATCTGATTTATCATCACATACCTGTGGGGTGTATCTGTTGGTCTCGCCGGCAGCTCGCGGCGGCAAGACGAACTAGCGCTCCGGTTTTCTGAAAAGTATAGTATAGTATTATTTCATAGTATTTCTTTTAAGCGCTGAATTATTTGTACGCGCGATTGTCATATACTTTCACTAACCTTTTGGAATTTCAACTCCGATGTCTGTATAAAAAAATATTTTCGGGCTTGCTTCTAAAATATAATGGATAACATTGCTTATGTATGGCTAATAAGTCAACGGGGCGTTGGTTAGATCCCCGCCGGGTCTCAAATGTTTATAATCTTTTCAAGAGCGTTCCGGTTTCCGTCTGTGGATTTCTGAATATCTAAAGTCAAAATAGGTCGGACAGCTCATCTTGTATGGATGTTATACGGCTGGGGTATTCCACCTCTCATCAAGTGAACACCAAGCTTGTCTGTCCTTCTCTATCATTAAAAAAAACGAAAACAGGTTTTATTTACCAATGGGAATATGTAATGTGGGCGTGGCTCGAAGACTTCCGGCTGAACCGCATCGGAGCGAACCCGTGCTGGACCTAAAATAAAACTTGACATATTAAAAATCTTATCTCGAGAATAATCGACCACTTCATCCACCACCACCACTTTTACCTTGCACAAAAAGCTGAGCAGAGCTTGTTAACATGCAAACAATTAAAGTTACCTGCAACAGTCGATATCGCAGTCTATTGCCCCCCTCGCCGCGTACCTTCCCTCCTCTTCTTCGCTCTCGCTTACGCACACACCGGCGCCCTCTCTGAAACATTTCGAACTAAATTATACGACATACTTTTTATGTGTATCGAGTGGGGTTAAGAGCTTATATTGTTTTTCGGTGGTAGCGATTATAATATTTACAAAAAAAACATAATTAGCCACTATGGTTGACTCTTGAATTTCAGACTATACGAAAGTCTTAGAAAACTATTTTTGATGAAAAAAGAACAACTAAATACCCCAACAAGGTTAGAGAATAAATGCAATAACCCGTGCTCCTTTTTAAGTCACTGATACCTGTTTTTTATTTATTCAAAAGGTTTAGTCTTCAGGTCTACAAAAAAAAATCTTAAAAAATAAGCTTCTAAATATGTAGGACACTACATGCAAATAAAGTTTTAACGTACATAGTGAATAAAAAATTAAAACATAAAAGATTAATTTTAGAAATAATAATAAAAATTAAGTATTAGTGTTCTAAAACGAACGGAGCGAGTGAATAAACTACCTGTCCGTATCCGCGTCTCGTTCGTCCAGCAGAAGATCCGCGCAAGAGTCCGGGAGCGCCATCTCGCGGACCGCGCGCAACGCGATCTGCTTGTGCACGGGCCGGGCGTCCGAGTGTAATGCGAGCGCTCGCGCAGCGTTCGGTGTCGCTCGCAGCTCGCGGGCCCGCGCCCGGACTCGCGCCATCACACGCGGAGGCACGCAAAGGCGTACGCCGTCAGTAGCTGCGCGGGATTGCTGCGGTTCACCGGCTGATGGGAAATAGAACATAACTTATGGCTGGTGAAGATAACTTAGCAAAGAAGTGATAAAAAATATTTTATATATAATTTATTCTGGCTTACCCATTTCCTACTCTACTTTCAAATGTAATCACTGCATTTCTTGTTAATTTGTATAAATTGATAGGAATAAATGATTTTTGATGATTAAATTAACAAATTAATAATTACTAGTGCATTGACACAATACAGAAGAAAAAGTCAGATAAAACTTCTCAATATAAAGTAAAGGGATTATAATAAAAAAATATATATGGAAGGAAAGGTCTGCAGAACAAGAAACTCGAATTTCGGAGTATATCGAGACGAGACATAAAGTATTCTATCAGAATAATGAAGGTTTCATTCCATTTCATGTGCCAAACTAAGCAATAGTAGTCTTTATGACAATGAAACGAAATTTAAACTTCTTTGATAATTATTTTTACCTACGGCTTGTTTCAAGGGGAGACTGCCCTCCCCGTGACCACGGTTGCTACAAAGCATCCGAAACTTCGGGCCGTAGTTAAAAATAATTATAAAACAAATTTAACGAAAATATAACGCGTTTGAAACCGTTAAAGTGTTTTATTTAAATATGTATTACTCGCGTAAACTACAGACAGTAACGAAATTTGGCAATTTTTTTGCATATGTTTATGTATGAAAATTATCTAAATGAAAGACTAGATGCAAGGAGAAACTATAAAAACACTATTAAAACGCGAAATATACCGCAAGGCATCCGAAACATCGAGCTGTAGTTAAAAATAATTTATAAATAAGTTTAACTAATATATTTCGCGTTTTACACCGGTAAAGAGATAAACCATAGTATGACCCCCGCTCACCTATATCCCTCAGCATATACAGCGCGTCCGGTATCCGATGCAAATACCTCGCCCTCCGCACGAGCGCTACTTCGCCCTCAGGCGCCGTTTGGTCCTCCAACAGCGCTTTTATCTCGTCCAGGTAAGGCAGAAAGCAGCGAGGGGGCCGAAAGGCACCGCGCCCAAGCCAGGCGTCCGCTGAACAAGCGCTCTCGAGATGCGCGGGCGCAGTGATTAGGCCACGTCTCATTGCCTGTAATGGAGAACATTAAAAGATTAATCAAAATAGTAACAAAAGAAAGACTTTGAATACCGAGTGATATCAATTGGAAAAGTGACAAACAATATAAGCAAACTTTTTGTATTGTATGTATTAAATGTCTATAAAGAAATTTTTACTTAAACAATACACTTTTAACAGTTTAAAACGCGAAATATATGTCTTTTTTTTATCTCCGACTTAAAATCAATAATAGGTAAAACTAATACTTTTCGCGTTTTAAACGGTTAAGTTTTTTTTTTAATTTAAAGGTCTAAGTGCAATCCCGTTTGTCCTCGTGGACCATGGGGCAAACACATTTCTATATTCGTTTCACAGATCGTTTATATTACAGACAAGTAGTGTACAGACTTCTGTGCTCCGACTGACCGAAACAATTGTTTCCCAGGGATCTGAACCCAGTGCATAACGCAATGCTAGGCAACATGGATACAGAGCTACAGAGGCGGTCAAACTACAGACAATATGTATTCGTTTTCTCCCATATACCTGATGCAGAAGATCGCAGTCAGGGGGCAGATGTTCGGTGCGTATGAGTGGCGCTAGGGTTGCAAGTGCTTCGCGCACCGCTGCGTCGTTCACTTCGCGTCGTCTCGTCGCTCTGCTGCGTCCTCCGCGTCTCGATATCGAGTGCGCTGTATGCCACACCACGTTCGGCTCACTCATGCCATCTAATGGGAAAATTTGGAGAATGGATTTGTTATCAATTTATAAAGCATGGACCATAAGCGTTTTTTGTCACTGTATATTTAATGACAGTATAAGAAAAATTTAAAAATCAAAAATAAATTGAAAAATTTTTCGACTCGGGCAGGACTTGAACCGGCATCGTCAGCGTTCCGTGCTGTTGCTCTACCAATTGAGCTACCGAGTCCTACACCTCATCGTCGAATTTTTTCAACTTATTGATACATGGACCTCTCGCGCAATGTAAAAAAAAATATTTTCGATTTTTTAATTATGTAGTGCCTTCATGTGCAAAATAACATGTAAAAATAATGAAGTTTTCAAACAGTATAAGAATATTCATGGAACGAGGCGCTATGTTTTTTTTTTTAATATCATTAGAGACTATAAACAAAGAATATGCTTGCAATTTCTTTAATTTTATAGAAAACTATACAATTATATTGAATAATGACAATTAAAATGAAACAGTAATAACTGTTTAATACGCTAAATGTAGTAGTTAGTTTTAACATCTTTTATGCAAAGCACTCGAAACGTCGGATCATACTTAACAATAAATAAAAAATAACGAAAATATATAGCGTTTTATATCGTTACTACTCTGTTATTTAAGTGTGCAACCGGATAAAACAATGCTGCATTTTAGAAATAAAGAATGTAGTTACCTCTACAATCTGCAGCCCGCTCCGCCCAGCGCAACGCAGCCCGCAGCGCCTGTGCCTCGCTTGCCTGCAAAAAAGGCGAAGCAAGCACCTCAGCAAGCGCCGAGCGAGGCAGCTTGGCAGACGCCGCGCTCGACATTATGCTCGGGAACTCATCGCGGAGGTAGCGCATCGCTTGCCTGTTAACAATTGATGAATTGTGTCATACAGAGCGTAGAATAGATAGTGATTTTAATATTAAGCTACATATATAAATAATAAAAGACAGCCGACGAACAATGTATACCTAAAAAATTAAAAAAAACTATATTTTTTTAAGGACAGACAAGCATGGGTCGTTATCTGGATACTTTCCATCCAGACCTTTGTCCATAGAAACGTGATTAAAATTAACGGCTTTTTCATCTGTGACGGTGGTTCGTGACTGGGACGGAATTCCGATTTTCCTACTATCCGTTTACGATCCAGATTGTAACGTGTTTCAGAAAAACTATAAATTTATTAGAATCATGTTGGACTCAGTGGGGTCAGTCCCACGATCCGTGGATTACCATAAATAGCCAACGAGTCCCTCAAAAAGTAAAGCGTTCTGAACAGTGATGATGGCGATAGTCCTTTGAGAAGAAACGTAGAATTCACTATAAATGGAATTTTGGAGAAAATTAATAATGACGACGTACTGCATAAATGGACGTACTGTATATGGTTAAAAGTATTGCCTAACATTCGCAAGCGCAAGAGGTCCTGGGTTTGACTCCCAGGGAAACAAAAAATTGTTTCAATTGGGCAAGGCACAGAAGTCTGATCAACTACCTGTTAAAGAACTGATCAGTGAAACGGACACAAAAATGTGTTCGCCTCGAAACGGGATTTCACACTGCATACATTCACATGCACAGTCGTATGAACAAGACCAGCTCTTCTTCCGCTTTCTAACAATGTAAAATGAAACTTGATGATAAAAGGAGAGCCGGCGAATTTATTGCCAGTTCTTTTCATTTCTCTTTCTTTTGATTTGAGAACTGGTAGTAAATGTAAACTAAGATTCTTTAGTTTTGTGATGTTCATAAGTATACCTAGCTACCTACAGGAATAATTGATAATTGCCAAAGACCTAGTAGTAGTCCATAACTCACCTGTGTACCCAGTGGCTCGCGTGAGGCTGTGCACACCAGCGTAGAACATGTGGCAGGGTGTCTGCATTTAGCGCGAAGACTATTGCGTCCTCGCAGCCCTGAACCACTATTGGCATTTCTAGGAATCTGAAAACACATTCAAATTTCCTAATGTTTTTCCCACAATTAATTTAAGGCAACCTCTCTACAAAAGGTTTTGTTATTTTACTCTCGGCATATTTTTTCAATCGTAATAAAATGATATCCTCCAACACATGTTTTTTACTTATTTATTAATTTCTACCTCCTTTTGGTTTAATCGTGGACTTAAATCCATGATTACACTGTTTGAAAGTTGCCCACAAAAAGAACATTATAAGACAGATTATAGAAATATTTATTTATTTCACAAACTCAAAATCTCAAAAATATAAATAGCAACTCCTAAAACAGGAGCCACTCAGTGCAGCGCTGATTTGCCCCCAGAGTTGGCCCCAGGCGCCACCACTTCCAGAGTAACTTGAGGTAACAAATCCTATTCTAATTGCATTGTTCTTTTTTAGTTAGGCCCATGAAGATCTTAAAAGAAACCCACCTGGCTATCTCGTAAAGTTGAAATGCGTCGTCCAGTTGCATGGTGGCTGAGCCGCGCGAGCCTCGAGTCTGTAAAATGAAAAAATTGTATCGTAAATTGGTAAAATACAACAGAATATTTGAAAACTTTAATATTTTTCACATGATGGCACTATATAAATTAAAAATCGATTATAAATTGAAAACACAAGGACAGAAGTACTCGGCAGCTCAATTGGTTAGAGCAGCAGCAAGCAACGCTGAGGATATTGGTTCAAGTCCTCCCCGAGTGGTAAGTTTTTCGAATTTATAATCGATTTTTAATTTACAAAAGAATATTATAAATGCACTTACATTGGTCCCACTAACACTGCTGCTTGTCGATGATGGTGATGAAGAACTTCGGCTGATGAGAGTCAGATCCACCTGAAAGTAGCGATTAAATCTTTAGAGATCTATTTCAGAAATTTATTTAATTAATGTACGCAATGGTACAAAACCCTTGCTTGCGATATTCCGATGTTGCTGATAAATATAAAAAGGTCTATGTTATACCGGTTAATTCAAATTTAAATTTAAATAATAGTGACCCCTTTCACTTATCCTAAGCTTACTCAGGACTTTGGATATACCTGATCGGTGTAAGCTGCGTGAAGAAGCGCCTGCGCAAACCGTCGCGGCAGAACCTTCTCGTCTACGCACACGGCGCCCGCGCCGCCTGCACCGCCCGCGCCCGCCGCACTTCGTCGTGACATCACGCTCCGTAATGTATATGATATATGCATGTCGGAGATAACAAGGTTTCCATATCTAAACACATTAAAGGGTTAAAACGCGAAATATATGAGGTAGTTAAAATATTTTTTTAAACAAGTCTAACTAATATACTATGTTTGTAGATATTGCATGCTTCAAGAATCGTGAAAAATTACAGATACAACCTACAACCATTTCTTTTCACCAATTTATTGCATTATCCGATAAATAAGTATTTAGTACTTTGAAAATATATAAATGTGGAATACATACAAAACATTTAAAAAAAGTTTTTTAAAATAGATTTTAATCGAGACCCATATCCACCATTCTATTCGTTTACAACTATAGCCCGACGTTCCGTGCTAGAAAAACGTATATAGAATTATTTTGTTATTAAAGGATAATTGCGGTATATTTTACCTAAAAAATCTCGATCTAGCAGCGAGGATTATGGTGTGGCATGGCAACTCCAATGCACTTCTAAAGCCGTAGGCGCTTCCTCCGCTCCCGCTCCCGCCACCGCTCTCAGACCGCCATGAGAGGCGCGCGTCGCACATCTCTCCTAATAAACAATGATCACCTTTTAATGAAAGAAGAGGACAGACAAGCATAAGCTTTACTTAATGGAAGGTGAATACCCCAGCTACACAACATCTACACAAGATGCACTGTCAACCTATTTTGGCTTTAGATATTGATAGCTAGAAACCACAGACTGAAGCCGAAACATAGCTTCACCGGCGGCGGACCCGGAACTCGATATTGTTACCACACATTTAATATCCAGATTTCCAGACGGTAGACCAATTCAGAAAAATTTAAATAAAAATTAGAAACACTTGAGCCTGGGAACATTAATTATAAAAACAATACATTATGTACGTTGTGTTCTTACTATTTTATTTTATTGATATCGAGAGAGAGACATTAAATTTCGTTACGTAATGGGGTTAAAAAGGAGAAAAACAGTCACTGATTTGATTTTAAAGTTTGGTTCTTTACTACGAATATACAACAAAGATCAAATCAAAATTACTTTGAAAAATTGAAGCCAATATCTTATACAACACATTAACATTTAATTTATTCGAAATAATGGCGGACATCTGTACCAAAGGAAACTTAAAAAAGAGAATATTGTATACGAATTAGAGAATATATATTTGTGCAAGGATTTCAGGGACCAAAAATGGCGAACCATTTCTCAATCACGACGGCCGAACAGCTTGAAAACCCGATTAAGTCTTAAATATTTTTACCAGAGTCGAGTAGATAGCGCATGTCCCGGTGAAGCGAATCCAACGAAAAGCCAAGCAGACCAGCGAGACGTCTCACGGAGGCGGCCTCGCGACGACAAGAGCACGAACGACGGTCTGGAAGAGGCGAGAGGTCCAGTTAAATTCTCAACGATTTTATAATAAAGCTAGTAAAGTTTTTTTAGTATAAATGTTTATACTAATATGAAAAGATAAAGAATTTGTTTATGTGTTGTAGGCAATAAAACAACGCGTTGTGACTAATAGGAGCAAAAGTATAGTGAAAAAAAAACTATTTATCCTTGAGGGTTTCCGTTGCGTACGCTGTGAAAACGATTCAAGATACTTCAAAAATAAGTATAAGGGATGATTCCTCTTTAAATTATCTAAAACTATGTACGCGCGTTATGCCCGCATAACGATTGGTTAGGCACTGAGACATAATATGGTGTCGTGTCGATCATATCAAAAGTGCACATTCACGTAAGATTAACTAAATGAGGCCGCTAGAGACAGAGTAGCCTAACTGCAATTTTATGACTATTTTTATTTCAAGCCTAAAAATTTAATCTACAGAGTCCAGTGACCGAGGAATGTTAACATAATTCTTACGCAAATTCATTTTCGCTTATATTAATTGCGCATTTTTATTTTTTTCACATTACGACAGTTTCACGAAAATCACGTTTTTGTAATTAGGCCCCTCTGTCTCTAGCAGAATCGCATTAGAAATGTTTGATTTCTTCAAATTAATCGTTTTATACTCACAAGTGGAAGTATTCTCTATACTGATGATATCCAGGTCAACCTCGGAACCAACTCCTCGCTCCCATTCTGACATGAAACAGATCATATAATTACAATTTTTACCTCGCAATTCTGTTTACAAATCGCTGTTGTCCCAGGTCTATCTTGCCAAACCAAAACAACTGTCTCATTATTGATCTCCAGTAGTGTTAGTAGTTCTTAAAGGAACACTAACTTCAACTTATTTGTTGGTGTAATGGTGGCAATGTATGGCTAAACAAACGGGTCGTGCATTCGATCCCTACCAGGCAACATTTTGCTAATAAATTTATAATTTTTCTGAAACATGTTGGTAGGAACATCGAAATTCCGTCCGGGTCACGAACCACGGTCCACAAATGGAAAAAGTCGTGATGTTTAATCGAGTTTCGGCTTCAGTCCGAATATCCAAAGCCAAATACCAGTTATAATAATTCTATTTATGAAATATGCTTATACGCCTTTGGCTAACCCGATAGATTGAGAAGTAGTCCCAGAGGTGGTAGCAGCTTAAGGGACAATGATATTGAATACTAACTTCGACAAGCATCGCAAGGCGGTGGAGTTGAAGGGGCGGATCCCGCGTACAAAGCTAGTAGCACCGCCTCACACTCTTCGCGACGGAGCCCCGAACACACGCCATCTAGCGGGACCCGCGCACACCTAATAACATATACAGTATATAAAGTAAATTTTAGACACCAATAACTAAAATCTTATATTTAAATCTTCAAAATACAATTCTTATATTTTCAAAAGTTTGTGTCTTGACAATGTTTTGAACTACTACTAAATGAATTTGGATAATCTTGTTTAGTAATTAGAATTTGTAGTTTGGTGATCATAGATTCACAACATCTTCTAACAGCAACTTACTTAGGATAGCGGTGTAGTAGATCCCTAAAGTAAGTGCAGCGCGCAGCTAGGACAACTCTGTGTGCTGCGAGGGACCACCCTGCCCCAACCAACTCCACATCACACCACAATCTGTCAAATATTTGTTATTTTAAAATTCAATACTGATTGCCTAGTGGGTACCATCTGGTATATTATTGTTATACAAATAACTCCGGTTGCAAAAAATAAGAGAAGTTTTTATCTCACCTGTCTCTGTATAGCGCTGCAAGGTCCGCGTGCAGGGCCGCCGCCGGTTCTCTGGCCAACTCGGCCTGAGTCAACAAGTCCCTGAGCGCAGCCCCACTCTCCAACTCCTCACACAGCAGAAACACCTCGGCCAAACGCCACGTGCTCACCACGGAACGGATGAACCGCGCGTGTTCGCAGCCACGATCCGGTCGGCAATCGCGCGGGCGCCGAGCAGCAGCAGCTATGCGCCGGCGCAACGTGCCCAGCGGAGCGCCAGCCTTCTTCTTTCGCTCGCGTATCACGTCGGCCATCGTTGGCGTGGGTGCGCCGGGCTCTAAATGTTATTATTTATTATGAGACACGATATTATCCTACCAAGTTTACTTTTAACTCTGACATATAAATAATAATCAGATGGTTTTTTAGTTTATACTAACGAAGGTAATTGAGATAGGACACACATAAAAATAATGAAATAAAATATGTTAGATAAGTAATATCAATCAATAGCAAACCATTGGATTAATACTTTAAACATTATTTATTTACAATACAATCCATAAAAAAAGAAGATAAAAAAAACAATAATATAAGAAACCAGTTAGGCAACACAGTTCTAACATTTACATATTACTTTTATCTTTATTCCCTGTTGTAAGCTTTTAAATTATTAATTTTTATAAGTTATAAATGAAAAATTGGGTTAGATTTGTAACCAAATCTATTTAAACCTTATACGGAAATATGTTACATATAGATATACATATTTTATATAAAATGCCTAGTCAAAAGTTGACCCAGTGTTCTCTAACCTCTGCCAGGCTCGCAGTGCGCCGCGTCGTGCGGCTGCGAGAGCGCTGCGCCCATGGCCGGTTGGCGCGCGCGCAGGCAGCACAGCAGCCGGCTCATCCCCCGCCATGCGCCAAGCCAGACATCACCGCGCCCATGCGCACACGCGGTGCGAATCTAAAATACCGTAATTTTGTCAATTAACATTTTTTCCAATACTATTTAACTTCAATTTAGAGGAATCTAGGTAAAGCCTTTTATGCTGTTAGCTTTTAAGTTGTAATTTTTTCTAAAAAATGTTGGACTTCATCTGGAAAGCTGGATTTTAAATGGGTGGTAGGAACACTGAAAAACAGCGTCTACAGATGAAAAGGCCATGAAGTTTAATCGTGTTTCGGAATCAGGTCGTGGATTTCTAACTATTCAAAAGTAAAATAAGTCGAAACCACATCTTGTGCAGATATGGCTGGAGTATTTCACCTGCCATCAAATGAATCCGATTGTTTTATGTCCTCCTCTACCATTAAAAAAATAAGCCATTGATAGAGATTGTACATATAACTATAATATACAAGGCACTAAACAACCAAAGAGTAATGTGGGTATAAACCGTTGACTACATACCTATTGTGTGCATGGTTTAGATTTAAAACAAATAAAACTAGATCAAACTTAGTTCATTCACTTTTAAATTCAAATGTCAGACTACAATGATCTAGTGACCTATATTCAAGTTTATATATTAGCTAGCCAGACAAGCCCTAACTTAGATTTCTAAATAAGCAGAATAGCAAAATATAATATAAATTTGAGTTCCCACAAAACATACTTTGGTTGGACCAAATGTTATTCAACATTAAACAGATACTAGTGATATCAGATTGTAAGATTCACAAAATTTCGTAGAACAATCCAGTCAGCAACCCTTATCAACATAACACTACTCCTATTCTCATCACACAAACATTGCACATCACTAGTATTTGTGAAGATTTCTCATAATGTAGTTACATTATTCAATTTACTTAACAGTGCCAATATTCATGTTTTGAATGTATCTAATGTGGTACATAATATAGCATCTGATAAGAAATAATTATATATACATAGGGGTCACCTGTGCCTCGGGTTTTATGTGACAAACAGCTGTACCAAATACATACAATACACTTATAACTATGTATATAGTTGGCCTACTTATTATAGAAAGTGAATTGGGGGGTGCGGTTAGGGGATGATGACGTCACTGCGCGCGCAAAACCAAAACCAATGACCTATTTTAGTCTTTGCGACACACCAAATACATTACGCATTGAAATGTCAACAGAGGTATTGACCAATGCTGCCCTAGAAATTAATTGCACGAATTCGAAGGTTGCGACGCTAGGTACTGATGATGTTTTATTATATAATGTTTATACTCACAAATACTCCAGTGCATTACAACAGGGAAATCCGATTTAGTACACTTCTCACAGAAACATGTATTGGGCCGCCATTATTAACACTGATCTTAAAACTGGAACGTACATTACGGCATTGTGTGATTACTATACTTTACAGAACTGTATGGGACGCACAATAATAAAACACAGCTAGTGAACCCATAAAATCGAAGATGTCGACGTAAAAAACGAGAAATTCAGAAACGGGAACAACCCGTTATTCGTACTATGTTCGCAATTCTGACAGCGCGATGTTGCTATTTATTACTTTGACAAAATGATTACAATAACTTCACAGAGTATTACACAAAAATGCATGTCAGGGAAATTATACTTTATAGGATTATAATCAAAGTACGATGTTTAAACCTTAATCTTATTTAACATGAAAATTAAATAAAAATAACTTTTAGAGAGTTAAAACACTTGTATTTTTTGTCATCACGCAGTTTTTTGATCTTTGTTTTCATATTTCTCTAGATCTATGGTCTGACAGATCTTGTTCATACATAAATATGTCATAAAATAAAATTCTCTGTTTAAATGTTACTGAATTTTTATTGATCTATTTTGATAAAATTATTCTTTTAATTTTCTAATGACAATAATAGGTTTAATTTTAATCAATATATTATAAGCATGCGTAACGATGACAGTCGCTGGATTTAAAGTTGTGCTTTTGTGGTGAGTAATATAGGTTGTAAACATCATCTATTCTCAAAAAAACATAACTATTTATTAATTACATTTCCAATTCTTAGTATAGTTTTAAGTATATTTATCACTTTTGTTGTTATTTTTAGGATAAAAAGTTAATATGGAGGAGAACTCAAACAGCTTCCCTTCTCCGAGTAGCCCTAATATCTTGGAGCCTGACTCACCACCAGATCCTGGACCGTATGTCCCAATGATTTTACCATCACCGCCCAACATCATCACCACATCATCTGATGACTCCTCTCCATATTTTGATGATGTACTTGATGTATTGCATGATAGCAACTCAGCACCATTGCCTATAGATGCTATAATACCGTGGAGACCAAGTTTATACAGTGAAAACTCTGTCACTAGAGACTCTGTACAGTCTGAAGAGAGCGTACGAGTCTCACACAGTGAAGAATCAAATTCACAGTTCCCTGACTCAGTTCAAAAGGATGATACTATTGAGGAACCACCAGCAAAATTACGGCGGTTGAGTTCACCTAAGAAAAATGATGACGGTGATGGTGAGACTTGCCCCATCTGCCTGGACTCATGGGGCAACTCAGGTGATCATCGGCTTGTTGCGTTAAGGTGTGGTCATCTGTTTGGGTCTCAATGTGTTGAACGGTGGCTGAAAGCACAGGTGGCCAAGAACAGATCTTGTCCAACTTGTAAAAGCAAAGCAGCAATCAAAGATATAAGATTTATTTATGCTAGACGATTAATAGCAGCTGATACCTCACAGATAACTGCATTGCAGAAACAAATTGAAGATTTGCAGGCAGAAAAGAGTAGAGTAGAACTTGAATTGCAAAAGTCCAAAATAGCCCATCGAGCTAGATTGTTAGAGCTTGAAGTACTTAGAAGAACTCTCATGAAAAACCAATTTAGCAAGGAACAGCCTCCACGAAGGTCATGGAGATTTGCTCTAGAGAAAAACCTCGAAATATGCAAGGACAATGGGTGTCGTGTTTTAACATACAACTGCAGAACATATGAGTTATACATTTCCCAGAAGAGCTCAAATAATCTCTTTCCTGGTTATGGTATCAGGAAAGTTAGTTGTGTGGACTATAAGCTTGGACAGTTTGTACACTTACATCCAAAGCCAATAAGAGATATAACCTATTCACAGCCCAGAGATTTGCTCTTAAGTGTAAGCTTGGATAGTTCAGTTCGTATTGTAGAGAGAGGAATACCTAGCTCTACTATAAACTGTGGGGTTCCTCTATGGTCATGCTCCTGGGACTATTTGCGGAGCAACGAGTTTTATGTAGGTGGTGTGGGAGGAGTAATTTGTCAATATGATGTTAGAAACCCTACCACATACCTTCAAAGGTTAACAGTGCCTGACGATTTGTCTCCTGTAGTGTCATTGTGCTCCACTGAGTTCGGACTCTTGTCATGTCAGTTAAACTCGTGTAGATTATGGGTTGGTGGCAGGCAGTGGGAGCCAAGACCTTTACCAGTTGAAGGACCATTTATGTCACTATGTTATGATAATGAATCTCACCGAGCATTAGTCTCTGGACGTTCAAGTGGTGCTGAAAGATCTAAACTGACATTGTGCAAGTTGAAAGCTAGTATGCTAAGTGGTGAAGTGTTGTTTGATGTGGAACAGACATTTAGTGGTTCAGCTAGGTCTCCCACTATGTCCAGATCAACATGGGTGAAGGCTCCTGGGGCGTCATGGGTTGCGGCGCACTCCGAGAGTGAGTCAGCACTTTATTTACATGGTCTAGATGGTGCTAGAACTATGACTCTGCCAGCAGCCGAACCGGCTTTGGACGTATGTGCAGCACAACTAAACGGAGACACAGTTTTAGCGGCATTATCTGCATCACGGCTAAGGCTATACAAAGCTGTGCCAACTAATTCCTGACAGAGGGACTATTCCCTTTAAAGACTGATTTGCATTTTTAGCTTGTAAATATAGCGTGATAGTTACTTTCAAGAAGATGTTGTCATAGGAAATGTATAAGATTATGTTATAGTATTTCAGCAATAACATACAACAAAACATGATTAATCATTAAAAAAAATATTGTATCAATCAAATCATTAATTGTTTCACATCTGCTATGCCTATTAACTTATAATTTTCAATCAAGCATTTGAGTCAATTCCACTGCCCAATCGTGCCAATATTAATATATATTATACACTCTTAACTATTAAATTGCAATTTCAAGAATTTCTCGTCAAGTTACCCAATTAGTTTTAAACCAAAAATTTTATGTACTGTCGCGGATTTTATGGCTTTAAAAATATGTATGTTAATCTTTCTTCACACATGAACATAATTGAGTATTTATAGGTGAGGCTCACTAAATATATACATTTTAGGTTGTGTAAAAACGCTTATAAGTGTATAAAACAATGCAATTTATGTAATTATAGATAATTAATAATGTAGGTACTTTATGAAAGGACATGATTTTGAAGATTCCATTTTAATTTATTATATACAATATTTGGATATTCAAATATAACATTTAATGGCAATCATTGTTTTTCGGGCTGTTCGGCCGCCGTGAGTGAGAAGAGGTTCTCGACGTTTTGCCATCACGAGAGGCATCATCAGGAGATGTTAGTTCCTCGATTGCTCGAAGAATTCAGGCTTCTTGAAACAATGATCTGTCGCATCAGGGCCGTGAAAGGCTTACACGAAATATAATTTTAAACTATGATCCAACACTACAGCAGCTGTGGTCTCAGGGAAAATTATTAAGAGTGTCATTGCACCATTATAAGTTTGATTTAAATGCTTAAAATAGAGACAATATTTGAATATTTTTGTATTGAAGTTTCTTAACTTGATACGTCTTGCTTGTCAATAATGTATTGTGGAAGTACAATTAACTTGACTGCTTGTTAATTAGGGTAGATTATTATTTGACATTAATTTGATTTAATTTATACCTTAAATGTGAACCTTCTATGAGGGCTGGTGTTGTCTTTATTGTATGTATAGTATTTGTAAATGATTGTAATTTGTAATAGTTTTATTGTGATTAAATAATAAAAAACAAATTGTTGTGGTATTCCTTTTTTTTTATTTAAATGGATTTAACAAGAATGAATTACTATTTTGATTGTAATTGTAAGTAAGGTATTAATATGATAAACTTAATTCTAATGTAAGGGCAACAGAAGACAACACAAATTGTGATGTTCTGAAATATTAGTATTAATATGACATTTTGACATAACACGTTCAAACTATGGATAATAATGGAATATAGTTTAAAATAAATATTGCTTTTAAACACTAAAATTTTAATATGTTCAACTGGTCAAATACATGCAAAATCGCAGATAAGAAACTATGTAAGTAAATACTGTCTGTAGTTTACGCGAGTAGTACACATTTAAATAAAACACTTTAACGGTTTAAAACGCGATATATTAGTTAAACCTATTGGTAAATAATTATAACTATATAGGTGTTTTTAAAATTTAAATTTTTTTGGGTTTAAAACCCTTTTTTGTTTAAAAAACATTTTTTTTTTTTTTCCCTGTTGGGGGGTTGGGGGGGGGTTTTTTAAAATTTGAGGTTTGGGGAACATCTTCGGCCGGATGTTTCGGATACTTCTCCTCGTGACCACAGCTGCTGCAAATAATATTTTTTTCCATTATTTTAAATCTACATTAACCTCTTGGTGGAAACTACAGACTCAGAAACTCCAATTTTTTTACTTCATCTAAATTAGTTTAACTAATATATAATTGAACCATCATCATGTCATTTTCTGTCTCCCTCCCCTATTATACGTGAGCACCACCATGGTGCCAACGATGGTACGCCATGTCGACCTCTTTTCGGCACAAGCAGATCAAGGTTTTCGTCGGTCCAACGCACTCTTCAGTAAACTTCGCTGGTAAACAGCATTTTTTCTTTAATTATTTGTTTTTAACCGTTAAAAGTATCTATTCTTAAATATTGTTTACTACTCGCGAAAACTACAGAGAATGTTTAATTAATTTTAATGGGATTTTAATTTAACTTAAAATTATGAAGCATTACTTTTTATGTATATAGTATCATGACATCTATCTTTAACAGTGTTTAATTGAATATTCATATTTTAGACGAAATGACACAATTTACATAACTACACCGTTAAAAGTCGTAATATATTTATGTTTATTTTCTATTTATACCGCATAAAATAATCAAACATCTCTCAAACGTTTACTCTATTTATGTTAAAAATTTATAGATATACAAATAATGTTCATAACATCTTATATACACAGTTAATCTTTAATATCATTCACTAAAGTTTTGTTGCATTTGTAAATAAAAGGTTATCTATGGCAAGTCTATATATATAACTGTCAAATGTCAGACGTCATTTTAAAAGTCGATTTATATTGTCAATCAGTGTCGGAAAGCTTTTGTTTTGGTTCATTCGATGCATTCAATGCGTGCTTCGAAAGTTTATAAGAAATAGTCAATTATTATCAATATATCGCTAGTTTGGTAGCGAAATCCTTGATTTCGTCAATTTTTGTCATATAATATTTATTTTTGGGTACTATACCGAGATACAACCGTGAGTTTTTATAATACTGATTGTTTTAAAAGCATGTGTCACTAATTGCCCGTATATGCGGTCACCGACTTTCGCTTATAAGAATTGTTTTTTTTAAAGCGCATCATTATAAAAGGCTGAGGATAATGTTATATTTGTTTGCAGACAATTATGGAGCAAGCAATTCAGCAGATAGCACAAAATGTGGAGAAACAACTTGATCTTGAGCTCGATAGGTATGTGTAATTTCTTAGTAATATGAATCAATTCTTGGTTGGCTTGGTGTCATATTAAAATCTTTAAAAATTGGTTCTTCTATATTTACCATTAAATGATGCTGGCATCTTCAGATGTTGACTGTACCTTGCTTAATTGAAGTCTGAATTAAAGTGCTAAGAAATATTTTAGATTAGATGTTGCGTTTTATTTTAGATTAGATACCCTAGATAGCAGTGACTTGGAGGCCATAAGACAGCAACGGATCAAAGAGATGAAAGAGAGAGCTAAACTTAAACAGGAATGGAAAGCTAATGTAAGTGTTTTGTAAATTCTTTTTAGTATTATACATTACTAGCTGTGCCCGTCCCGTCGCTCTTGGGAGTCAATCTTAATTTTCCACATTTTCTACTGCTTCTTTGCTCCTATTAGTTGTAGCATGATGCTATAAAGCCCAAAGTCTTCCTCTTTCCAGTATTTCCTTAGATCATCCTGTTCAAACAAACAAACTTTATAATATTAGTATAGCTTATCAACTGTCTTATATTTAAAAAACACATTACATATTACAGAATAGCCATGAATATATGCTAATATATCTGATATTACTATATTCATGTACAATTTAACTAGCAACACTTTATTATATATTTACAATTTTTTTATATTAGCTTAAAGTAAAATTTACCTTGAATAAATATGGTCATATAATTTAGGGCCACGGTGAGTACACGGAGATTGATGGTGAAAAAGATTTCTTTGGGGTGTGTAACAAAAGCGAAAATGTTGTATGCCACTTCTACCGACATGACACACCTAGATGCAGGATTGTGGATATGCATCTCCGTATCCTCGCCGCCAGACACTTAGAGACGCGGTTCGTGAAGATGGACGCGGAGAAGGCGCCATTCCTCACAGGTAAAGATGGACTATAATAACAGTTCAAAACTTTTTCATCTACTTTTCTTTGTGGAGAATCGCTCAATCGTGATCCTTCAAAGTTACTAATAGTTTATCTATGGGTGCAAAGTTATTTATATGCTGTTAATATTCAGGTCGACTTAAGATACGAGTGATCCCAACGCTGGCCCTGGTAAAGAGCAATAAAACGAAGGACTTCATTGTCGGGTTCACGGACCTCGGGAATCGGGACGATTTCAGCACAGATATCCTGGAGTGGAGAATCGCTAGGTAATACTTAATTTTAGTGATATGCCCATAATTTATGAAGCATCATAGGTGCCGTAAATTAAAAATATTGAATTTCGGCCATGTGTAATGCTTCCTTTACACATCATGTCAATGGTGACGCGAAAGAAGTTATATGAGTATATTTTATTGTTTGAACTTTAGTATCAGCATATGAGAGTAGTTAAATAAAACACTAACATTTTATAACGCAAAAAAAATGTTAAACTTATTTACAAACTATTTTAACTATCGAAGCTTTGGATGCTTCGTAAGTTTTTCCGTTCCGTTAGTTTATATGGGTGTGCTACTCGCGTAAACTTTAGACATTATTTTTATATACAAGAGTAATAAAAATTTAAAAAGCTGTACTTGTTACTTTCAATTCTAATCCGTTAAATCGGAGGTAATTAACACTAACAGCCTTAGACAGACTCCATACAGTGTACCGTAGATGGTGATAAATACATTTTTCTAACATAAAAATGCGTTTATTTCAGAGCGGAAGTTATAGAATATTCGGGCGATCTCTTAGTCCCCCCCCGTAGAAGGTAAGAAGAAGACAATACACGTGCAAAGCAAGAAGACAATACGGGGTCGACGTGATTCCGACACGGATTCAGATCTTAGCGACTGATCGTATCGTGTACGGGCGTTTAAATTTTATGTGCCTATATATTATGTAAAATTTAGGGCGATCTGACTCGAAGGTCCATTTATTTTTAATCTAAGGTACCGCTCACTAAACAATATAATAACCCTAAAACAGGTGGCCGCCACTGAGTTACAATTTCATAGAGAAATAGTAATATTGATTTGTTAGGAAGATAGAAAAGTGTCAATGTATAATATGCTAATAATATAAATATCTTTAGTGCTGTCTCTAATTTTGAATATTGTTAACTTTTTTTATTTATTACATTTTAATTTATTGATCACTATTAAAATTCAATCACTGCGATATAGTTCTTCACATATTCTGAGCCCAATATTTGCTTTTATCTATTGCACCCTGGAGTCTAACAAGAATGTTTAGATGTCTTGATTGATTCTAACCATTTTTGTTTCGTCGTAGATACAATAGCAAAAAAGGTATTGTATATTTATCAGTTTTAATGATAATTAAATTATTGTAGGTGATTTTATTACATCTTTATGTATTTGAAATAGATGTGAGATTCAAATATGATACATGATTGTGGAGTAAAGAATGATTGTTTAAAACTTTTCAAGTTCTAGAAGTAATGCTAGTAAATTTCTTTGATTTTATAAAAGCTGTGACGCAAAAAACAAATCCTTAGATATTTTTTTAGGTTTTGGCCATCAAATAGATGGTTTGCAACTCGGTGCTTGTACATGCTTAATAAATTAATACGTTTATAAATATTTATTTCAGTCCTATCCATTTTCGTACATCATTCAAATAATTCTTATCGTAATATTACTATTTTAGGTTGCCTTTTCATCATTAGGTACTTGTTTCAGTTTTTCAAAGAAAATCTAACGACAAACCAGTGCTAAGATTTAGTCAGTGTTTCATAACTTTTACAATCTCATAATTTGAATAATAATAATTCAATTTGTATATTTTACGTTAGTGGACCTTTAATTATAAGTAGTTGTCTGGTGTAGGTAAAAAAAAAATGAAAAGCATTTAAAGTATAACATATAAAAACATATCACTAAAGTTGTTGCTTATAAGTCAAACACCCCAAACATATGGAGAACAGATACTTTAATCTCTTTGGTTTTATTTATTATTGACTTTCAAATTACTTCAAAAAAAAAAATATTATTTATAGTCAAATAGTTGTGTGTGTGTCCAATTATTAAAAAAAAATGAATGTATATAATACATACATTACCAACTATGTACTATAAGTTATATCTAGCATCGATTATTGAAGTTGCTATGCCGCTAAGCGCTATGGTACTTTATCATTTTTCATAAACTATCGACTATAACATTATCTTAATAATGTCATGGCTTAAAGGTCTCGTTACCAGGCCATTAAATATTATTAAAAAAAAAAATAATAATGTCAAATTAGATACTGTCAAGTAATTTGGAACTGTCAGTTCTTAAATGTCAAATGCGCAGTTTGATGCTTATATTCGCAAGTACAGGTTTACAACACTTTCTTTAGAAATGCTAAAGTTTCATTAGTTTTCCAAAAGAAATGTTTATTAACAATAAATTTAATAAGCGTATTATTTTGAGTGTTACAAATAGTGAGTTAATGAAGTTTTATACATTTTCGTTATATAATTAAAAAAACCTTCTTTGTCAGAATTTCGTAACTACGCAGGAATACTCAAAAGTTAACCGAAATAAAAAGCATTTTCGACAATTTGAAACGTGATTGGTAAGTACAAAATGTTTATTACCTATTTATACTGATATGGTATTATTAATGCCAGTTTGGACTTTGTACTCAACTTTGTTTTGAATAATTACGCACGTTGTTACTTTTAATAGATTTTCTTAACAGAGACCTCACCAAATAATTACAAGGTGAAGGTTACCTGTTTACTGACCGTTATTAGTCTCACTTAGGGTTTGGGGATGTTTTAAAATTTATTACAATTTAATTAAGCTATTCATTATAATATGCAATTTATTGAAAACGAGATAAGCAATAATGGAGCCAACAATAAGAAATTTTTGGAGTCCTAAACAAATTTTTGTATTTTTCATGTTACTTATACTTGTCATTGTCTTGCATAGAAACAGAGTGTAGATATGTATTGCAATAGAAACCGACTGCTACAAGTCATACTTAAAATAAATAAGCCAAGTAATAGTTGCGGCCAACGTCTCTAGTTAGTAAAATACTGTCTTTCTTCCCTTACATGTCCTAACAGCAGAACTCTAAACTAGGGATATAATATTAAGAATACCAACCACTCTCTTGGTTATGATACCAATTAGTTTTTATTGTAAAAGCATTATACAAATCTTATAAATAATTTATATGAATGTATATTTACTCAAAACATGCACCAGCTTAAAACATGAGATATGTGACCTCAGCTACTGCAAAGCATCTCAAACTTTGGGCAGTAGATAAAATTGTTATTTTATAGTATTAAATACAAGAATATTATAAATACATCAACATTTAATAACTATATTTAGATTTTACGTATTAAGCATACATTTTTTTAAAGTCCAAGTGCATCCTGTTGCTTCACTTTGGTGATTAATTAAAAATTTTAAAATTCAATGTGGTATAGATAATGGCTTTAATTTGTACAAACAAGTTGTGATAATAATCGTTTAAATTACAATTGATATACTTATGTAGACTTTGAACACAATCCATTACAATTAATTGAATAATTGAAGAAACAAGACATAATTAGGTCCTGGGTTTCATTGCTATCTACTATGTATAATATAGCTTATGTATTTTAACACTATTTAAAATATAGTAGTACCAGGGTGGTTATATTGTTGGACAGTGTGAGACATTGTGAATATAAAACTGATTTAATATTTTTTTCAATTTCAGTTAAATATAGTCTGATTTGACTTACCTACCAGTAAATAAAATCAAACAGTATAACAGACATAGAAATGTGTCTATTTACCCCACTGTGGGTTTACACTTTGAATATCACCCCATATGTTTATGTATACAAGTTTTATACTTTTTACAATGAAAAATTAATGATAAGTCAATAGTACAGATGCAAAAGTATGTTTGCCCAATCCAATTGGAAACATTACATATCATACAAAGATCAGTAACAAACATAAATTATCTATTACATAATCCTAGACATACTTGGCTAAATGCCAGGTTAAATTGGAACTACTGACAAAGACTAAGTTATTTCAAACAACAGAACAACAAACAACAATACGTGGGGGTACAGAGGGGAAGTGGATACATTGGTATAATGGTCAGTATTCATCTAGACTGATCGCCCAACCTTTATTGTCTCCAGCAGAAAATAATAAGACATAATACATTATTTAAACAAAGAGTAAAACTATGCTAACAAGAAGGAAATAAAAGAAGGTTCTTTTTTCTTGGACGAACAATGTGTTTAGAATATATTTTTTATCAGGTCCAAATATTTTTATTTAAGTATTTCAACAAACAAATAGTTTTTAATTATTTGTTTGTTGAAATAGGGTCAAAGTAACACGTTTTTTCTTTGTATTGAGAGTGTCGGGATATGTTGTTTGAAATCCACCTAGAGACAACAATTTATCAATGAGCTATCAGTAATGCCTTGAGAGTGTAAGTTAATTGTAATATTAGTTATTGTTATCACTTTTATCTTATCACTGCCCCTCCATAAACATTGAATATTTTTGTATAGAGCGCGCCCACTACCCATGTCAGTAAGATACAAATAGAAATGTCTCTGCATTGTCTGTTTACGTTAGTAGTGCAAATAAAAAAAACATACTGTTAAGGTTACGGTTGTTACGTAATATATATATGTTAATTCGTTTTGAATTTAATTATGGTCCAACGTTTCGAATACATTGCAGTAGCCATAGTCGTATTTCGCATTTTGAACCGATAAAAGTGTTTTATTGTAATTGTGTTTGTGCTTATATGAATACTATTATTAGAGATTTAAATTTTCATTTCTTTTTATTTTCTATTGAGCGTTGTGTTGTTGTTAGGTCATCGCGCTCTATAAAAAACATTGAATCCGTTCCAAGATTATAGTACAAGCGATATTGACACTTCATTGCCCTAAGGTTATGTTATGAAGCGATGTCTGATGTTTACCTACTACCGTGTTACAATATTCATAGCTGAAGAGTTTGTTTCTCGGTAAACAAACACACTCGGAAAGTACTAGTCGGTTGTAGCTTTCGCTGGGACATGGAAAACATTGTTTAACACATTTTGTTTAAGCAAAAATACAAGAGTGTGTAGTTTACGCAAGTAGTAATCATTTAAATAAAACACTAACGGTTTAAAACGCGATATATATATTCGTTAAACTTATTTTAACTGCGGCCCGACGTTTCCGATGCTTGGCAGCAGCCGTGGTCATGGGGTGACCCGTATATATCGCGGCGTGTATCGTTCAAGAATTCAAACTTAAGACTAATATTTACTTCACAGAATTATGTATGGCAGGTAGAATTACCTATCTCAAAATTATACATATAAAACAGCTAATAGCGTTTTGTACGTTTACCTTTCATATTTTTTATATTACTAAAATTACTGACCTCTTTGTTCTTGTTGAAGCAATGACTTGCTACTTTGAGAATAATTATCTGAAAATAAGTAATAACGCGGGTAAATTTTGTCGATTCATATTGAAACTCTCGATATTGTTGCAGATCGAAAACTACCGTCAAACTTTTTTTCTTTACCACTTTTATTATTTCATTTATAGTATGTTGCCTTGTTCAATATAATTAGAATATAGAGTGTATTTATTAAAAGATATGTATTATTTATACAAACTTTTGTTCATCAAGACAATGCAATTGTTTCCAGATGTGTACGCTGTAGTGACGCGATGTGATTGTAAAAATCCAAAATGGCAGTCGAGAGGCTGCCGGAAAATGGCGGCAGGCATGGTGAGTATTACATTATTGTAATCTTTTATACTTATACTAGCGACCCGCCCCGGATTCGCTCTGGGGCAATGCTGATACTAAATACACAACAGAAAAAGACTTCGTTTTATACTATGTAGGGATGAGAAAAAAATATTTATTTATAATTATCTTTCCTTCGCTGTCTTACGAAGTAGCAAATCTTATCACGAACGAATTAGTTTAAAAGACGGAGAGTTTTGTTCCTTAAAAGGAACTTTCGTCGTAGAAAGTTTCGATGGGGCTGGGCACAGAAATTTGACACACCTCTTTTTTTTTTAATGGTTGAGGAGGATAGACATGGCATTGGGTTTACTCGGTGATATACCCCAGCCTATGAAATCTAAACCGCCTCTGTAGCTAAATGGTTAAACGTGTTGCTTAGCATGGTGTATGGTCCTGGGTTTAAATCCCGGGGAAACAGTAAAAATGTTTCGATCGGACAGGGCACAGAACTCTCATCACCTACTTGCCTGTAAATAAAACTGATCAGCGAAACGGCCACAAAAATGTGTTAGCCCTATGCCCCACGAGAGGAAACGAGATTTCACTTTATGTCATCAAACAAGTGGCTTTCGACTTTTTGGCCTGGATATTCGTAAATCCACAAACGCGATTAAACTTCACGGCTTTTTCATCTGTGGACGGTGGTTGGTACGGACGAAATTTATATATTCCAACCACCCATTAAATATCCAGATTTCCAGACGAAGTCCAATATGTTTCGGAAAAATATAAATCGAATTAGAAACATGTTGGACCTGGTGGGGATTGAAACTCGACCCGACATTAGACCAACGAGCCCGTCAAATGCCTCGGATAGAAAAAGCTCGAGAAATATTCGCTCTATCTTATCATAGCTCTTATCAAACGTTTAATTGTTGTAATAATAATTTATTGTATGATAAAAAACCTTTTGTGTATGGGAGATAAAAAGATATTTAATGGTTCGTTATTATTGAATCGTCCAATAGCATTTTAACATATAAATATGATATGTTATGTTTTAAGGTATTATTTTGTTAATAAAACACCTTAAAAATATTTAAAGCCGCAATATATATTCGTTAATAGATTGTAACCTACGACCCGACCCTTTCAGCAGTTTTCAGTTTCATTCGTACTTATTTAATTTGCATTCGAATTAATTATTTTTGTAGTTCATAATACACATTTAATTAAAACATTCTTAACGTCGGGCCGTAGTTAAAATAAATTGAACAAAAGTTAATTAGCTTATTTAGCTTTTTAAATTTCCTAATACTAATAAACTTACTAAAAAAGGCAGTTCGGCGCTGAGCTGATGTCTTTATTGTTTTCTAAGAATATCTTATTACCTCCTCTCATATCTATCAGAGTACTGTCACCCATTCCAGGATCGGAAGGGGGAAGTGAAACGAGGAGACAGCTTTCAGGGGGAACGGTGGTCGTGACGTCACTTGTCGCGGGCGCAGCCGCCGGCGCCGTCGCAAAGACGACCATCGCTCCGCTCGACCGAACCAAAATCAACTTTCAGATCTCGTGAGTCACTATATCATTCTTGTAATTATATATCTTAATACATAATTACAATAAATTGTATATTCTTGTATTGTTGTCAGGCCATTTTGCAAAGCTTTCGATTTTGCGTGCTGTTCGGTCGTCGTAATTTAATTTTGTCCCTCGCCTAATGAATAATCTTCGCTACGACGACGGTCGAACAGCTCGAAATCCAAGAATACTTAAAACAGTATGAATTCATGTAGTTTTACGATATACATACTGCTTTGAGTATTTTGTATGACATAAAATTTCCATAATAATGAAAACATCTTTTTAAAATAAGATACTAAATTAAGTTATTATTTATATAACTAATAATCACAGTTAAAACGGTGTTAGTATAATTAATTGTCTGAGGCTTTCAAGGCCATCGTTCAGCATATCATTGTTTTTATATATGAACTGATATATCATTGTTATATGCTGGATTTAACATATTCCTTTGACAGTAACGGCGTGTAAAATCTATTGTTGTCTTTAACAATATATTATTACAAACTCTGTGCTCCGCCTTATTTTTACTCATTTTTATTTAAATAAATCTCTTTAACGGCTTCAAACGCGATATATTAGTTAAACTTATTTGAAAATGATTTTTAACTTCGGCCCGACGTTTCGGATGCTTTGCAGCAGCCGTGGTCACGGGGAGACCACGGCGGCAGAAAATCATTTTCAAATAATATATTACAAAACTAATATATCGCGTTTTAAACCGTTAAAGTGTTTTATTTAAATGTGTACTACTCGCGTAAACTATAGACAGTATTTAATGATTTTTAACTACGGCCCGACGTTTTGGATGCTTTGCACTAGCCGTGTCTCCCCGTGACCACGGCTTAAATGTGTACTACTTGCATAAACTATAGACAGTATCATTTTTATTTGTTTTATATAAGTTTGAAAGAAATTGAAATAGCACAAAACACACATTCTAGCAACACTCCGTACACGTGGCGCGGCGTGTTTATCTTCGTTCAGCGCAGCGTCCGGACGGAGGGCTGGACCGCGTTATGGAGAGGTAACAGCGCGACTATGGCCAGAATAGTCCCCTACGCAGCCATACAGTTCACCGCCCATGAGCAATGGAAGCGGCTGTTGAGGGTGGACACTCCACAGACGGCGCAGTGAGTAGTTTCGTTATTATTGTGGAGAGTTAAGCTTTGTAACCAGTCAAAAATGTAAGTGTCCTCTTGTAATAAGCTTTTATTTTTATACTTAGATATTATTTGCTGCCACCAAGGCTTGTTTTTCCCCATTATGCAAGCTCTTTAGAGGCACATCTCCCCATCACGACATTCCAGCGAGTAATAGTACATTTTCTATGCGAAGAGAGGCGCCACTGCGACACTTGGTGGCGGGGTCCTTAGCTGGAGTGACTTCTCAGAGCGCTACCTACCCTCTGGACTTGGCGCGAGCGAGGATGGCTGTAGCTGACTATCGCTCGTTAAGAGCGGTTTTCAAACGGATCATTCGAGAAGAAGGGGCCTTTACTTTGTACAGGTGAGTACCTCCCTTTTGGGCTTCAATTTAGATCCGACAGTGCCTCAGACCTAGAATTTTTTCTTTATTCTATAGTAAAGAGCCCTTTAATATCAATTTGTATTTTATTAACGCAAGCGCCATTACTTTTTTTTTAATCAATAATCGATTTATTTAACAAAAACATAAAAGTGTTAGTACAGTATGGTAAGTGGTTTATTGTTTATTTGGGTTAGAGAAAACTAACACACATATAACCAAACCACTTAGTAAAACGAGAAATATATTAACTTATGTAACATATATAAAATTACTAGTAGCCTTAGGGTGGAATGCCCCCCCCCCCAGATGATAGCTACAGTACTACTTCGAAATGTTGTTAAATTAAATAGATAATAGATTTCAGTTAACTAAAAGCTATACTTATACACCGATTAATAAACTATAAAATAGTTGATAATTCATTGAAATCGGTCTAGCACTTAAACGTTCATAATATACTTTTACAACTGTTTTTTATCATTTTAACGAGGACACATACACTTATTTAGATTAATATCATATCAATCAATATCTTCCAGAGGCTACGGTGCGACGGTGCTCGGGGTAGTTCCATATGCTGGTGTCTCCTTCTTCACCTATGATTCGTTGAAGCATTGGTACCTTGGTAAGTTGTTCTTTTAAGTATTTACGTTTCAGAAGATATTAAACGTTATACAGTAACGCCTCAATTTTAAAAATACAGTTATAAGAGAAGAAAATAGAGAAAATCTCAGAAAAGTGTTAAATATATATGTTAAATATATTATATAGAGAAAATCTCAGAAAAGTGTTAAGTATATATGTTAAATTTGTAATGGGTCCTGTGGAAATTTTTGTGTGCACTGTGGCGCATCCTGTTTAATGCTATACGATTGGGGTATTTCCCGTTCAAAGTAAATCTATGCCTATCTCTTTTGTCATAAAAGAGGTTTATCATATTTATATAATTTACATGATTCCGTAGACTACACGGGTGCTCTTCCGAACGGTATGACGAACGTCGTGTTCGGCGGGATAGCCGGTGCCCTCGGCCAGACGTCATCCTACCCACTTGACATCGTGCGTCGGCGCATGCAGACCGCGCGCAGGTGCCCCGACGGATCTTATCCGTACCCGGGGATATTACCCACGCTCGCTACCATCTACCAGTGAGTATCAAGATCCCACTTAGCCTTATAAGTTACACATTATCGATGCCATTACAATGAACTCTCTTTTACAGGAACCGGAATAGCAAAGCTTAAAAAAATATATTCGTCTGATTTTGTTGGTCTAATGTATGGTTAATAACCAACGTGGGTTCGATCCCCATCGGATCCAACGTGTTTCTTATTTTTCATGTTGGACTTCGTCTGGAAATCTGGATATTAAATGGATGATAGGAATATAGAAATTCTCTCCCAATCACGAACCACTGTCCATAGAGGAAAAAGCCGTGAAGATTAATCGCGTTTCGGTTACTGTGAATTTCCGAATATCCAAAGCCAAAATAGGTCGACAGCGTGTCCTGTTTCGATTATATAGGCTGGGGTACCTACCATTAGGGGAAGCCCGTTGTCTGTCCTCCTCTATCGTTTAAAAAATCTAATTCTTGAGTCCATAGTTCTTTTTCATGTTTATGCTCTTAAAAGTCAATAGAGATTGTGGATAAAATAATATTATTTAAAAAATTCTCGAAGCTACCTATGTCCAGTGGCAAAAACTACAGATGCTGCTAGATGAGATTTTATTCCATTATTTATATTCTAGATAAGTTTTATAAACGGTCTTTCATTTAAAAACTTCGTAACTTTCATATGACGGCATATCACATTATTAACTATTATTATTTTAAAATCTATTTAGATTAAAGAGATTAGACGTCTGTGCCAATCAATCAATCGTAAACCAATTAATTGAGCTATCGTCATCATACAATTTCTTTAACGCATTCGACTCTGGTGTAATGTAATCCAATATAAATAGTTTTTAATTGTCGTCCATGCTCATAAATATTGCATCTTTTCGACCCCCTTCTGTCAGTAAATGGTTAACATGCCGTTTAGCTTGAGAGCACAGAAGTTTCATTAACTAGCCTGTAAATAAAATCGATCTGGAAAACGGACACAGAAATGTGTTTGTCCCATGCCCCACGGCAAACGGAATTTTACCGATTTATTAATTTTTGTAGGACGGATATTGTCTATCGTTCACGCGAGTAGTACACATTTAAATAAAATACTAAGCCGTGAGAGAACCGTGGCCACGGCTGCACCAAAGCATCCGAGACGTCGGCCGGTATTTAAATATATTTTTTAATAGTTAGTTTAACTAATAATATACTATTTAAATAAAACACTTTAACGGTTTAAAACGCGATATCAGACTCAGTCAGTCTCCCCGTGACCACGGCTGCTGCAAAGCATCCGAAACGTCGGGCCGAAGTTAAAAATCATTTTTTAAATAAGTTAACTAATATATCGCGTTTTAAACCGTTAAAGTGTTTTATTTAAATGTGTACTACTCGCGTAAACTATAGACAGTATTTAATAATATAATATATGAGACTGCTGGAGGCAGCCTCATATAGTATATATATACATTCAATAAGAAGCAAACTTAGGCGAAAATAAATTTGTACTATATTTGTGTAAGAATTATGTTAAGTTAATGTTAATGTATTAAAATTGCAGTTAGGCTACTCTGCCGTATATAAACGAATAACATATCTCGCGTTTTAAACCGTTGTATTTATATATGACTAATATAGCATTGTTTGCAATTCCAGCACGGAGGGATGGAGGGCGTTCTTCAAAGGACTGAGTATGAACTGGGTGAAAGGGCCTATTGCTGTGGGAATCTCCTTCGCCACTTACGACCACATCAAATCACTCCTGCGAGACGTGGCCCTCACCTTCGCGACAGTCGGAGAGAAGTTATAACCGGTGTGAACCGGTTTTCAAAATCTTCATTACCGCTTTGGCACGCTTTTCTATTTAAACAACAGTTCGGTGAGAAATACTCAGATAGAGGTAGTTAAGAACCAAACATGTAATATTTTATTAACGAAGTAGGTATCAGTTTGACATTTCGTAATATGGTGATCGTAATTATTAATTTATTATTATATATAATTTGAAATGAAGAGTTTATTTAAAAAAGAAAAGAAATAGTCGACAACTTTAAAATTTTTCACATTATATACATTGAAAATCTAACTAGATTGACAATTTACGACACGTCGGGACTTGAACCGACATCCCGTGGTGTTCCATAGGGTACAGTTACAGCACAGAACGACGTGGATGCCTTCAAATCCCGACCGTGCCATCGGTTTTTTTTATGATGTAAACAGATTTTTAAACCAAATTGTTTGACTATTTTATGAGCATTGAATGTTTTAAAAATAATAGATAGTAATTTAAATGTCATTTAAACTTTTTTATATTATATAAATGTATGTTTATCCACATTTAACTTTAGGCGGTATTCGTCAATGAAGTGTGATATTATTTGTACACTATCACAGAAAGAAATAATTTATTACTATTATTTTGTTGAGTCATGTATTCTTAAAGTACTGTCTGTAGTTTACGCGAGTAGTACACTTTTAAATAAAGCACTTTAACGGGTTTAAATCGATAATTAGTAATTTATTATAACGACGCTCGTCGTTTCGGATGCTTTTCAGCAGCCGTGGTTACGGGAAGACTATGATGGTGTTAAACTTGTTTGAAAATTATTTTAACGACAGCCCGTTGTTTCGGATGCTTTTCAGCAGCAGTGGTCACGGGAAGACTAAAGATGGTTGGTGTCTCTGACGTCAAAGTAAAAAAACGATCTTCCGTACGCGGTTTAGCGAAACCATCTGGTTCCGTTGCAGAATTGAATTACGGTTTCGCCACGTTTGCTTGTATGCTGTTTTTTGGATTCAAAATGGCGCTAACGTAGCAGTTTTCTACTTTGACGTCAGAGACACCCTGCACCTTTAGTCTCCCCGGGACCGCGACAGCTGCAAAGCATTCGAAACATCGGGGCGTAGTTAAATAATTTTCAAGCAAGTTTAACTAATATATATCGCGTTTTAAACCGTTAAAGTGTTTTATTTAAATAATGTATTGTTGTACAAGACAATAGATTTATAAATACACTACAAGTCAAATATATCTTAAATTTTCACTCTAAACAGACATTCTAATTGTTATTACATGCTTAAACAAGTGTATTTAAATTATTTCATATACCTTAGCGGTAATAAACTATTACAATGTTTTATATGAGGTTATGGATGCTAATTTTGTTAATTATTTTAATTTTATATCGTTCTAACTGTGATATGGGTGTAGTGCAATTATTACTTCATATCAAATTAATTACAAGTCACCGTAGAATCTCGTTAATCCGGCACTTTACGTCTTAATAAAAATGGATTTTATTTGGAAAAAAAATTGACACTACCAGGCCCGGTGTAACGTGCGTTCTACACGTCATCGTCGAATTTTTTCTACCCGTTGATACATGCACTACTCGCGCAATGTAATATCAACTTTAACACTTGCGTGTTAAGGTTGTAATTACATACGCCTGGTATTACGTCATTTACCTCTACCCTTCCTCCCTCGCCCCTTCCCAAACTACTTCTGAGTTTAGTCTGCATCTTACTTTAGAATTCTTTATATCTCGGTAAAAACACTGAGTTGTCTTGGCAGATAGTTATTTAATGATTTTCTATATAACCCAGTTTAATATGCCGGTTTAGTAAGATTCTACTATACGTATAGTTTATAGAATTCAAGTTGTAATTGCTGTAATGTTATACTTATATAGGTTTTGTTAAATCCGGTTTTAGCCCTGATGTATTTATTTCAATTATTATATTGTATAGTAACTTTATTTATGAAAGATTGATTTAAAACGAACCACTTTTAGTATGTTTAAGAATCGAAAGTACAGGAATTGCTAGTAAATATCTTTCTACATAACGCACAAATAACAGCACCATGTATATACCGATGCCGCCAGAGTTATCACATTAAATGTAAAGAAGTTAATTCAAAGCTTTATAACCTAAACTACTGTCTATAGTTTTGCGCGAGTAATACACATTTAAATAAAACATTTTAACGGTTTAAAACTCGAGTTTAACTTATTTGAAAATTATCGACTTAGGCTTAGGTTCGACTTTTCGGATGTTTTGCAGCATCCGAAATGTATATACTTCGCGTTTTAAACCGTTAAATGTGTTTTAAATACTCAGTGCTTGCCAATTCATATTTTAAATAATGTGTTAAGTCTGGCGACAACCTGTGTTAGTGAAAGAGATTTTCAAGGCATTAATCATTTTATTTGGATTATGTATATTAGACTCGTGATTGACAATAATAAAGTTTCAGATTTTAGGAGGTTTTTAGACGTTGTAATAATCGCTTTTATACTATCTTTATCTAGATATCGTTATCCTTAAACGACTGAGGGTGAATTGTAGAAGATATAAACCTTATTATTGATGGATTGTGGAAATAAAATCTGATAAACTTGAAAGAGTTTATTCCAATGATGTTACAAAGTGGTAAAAGAATGATTTGACATAACATAAAACTACTCTTTAATCTGCGAGTAGTACACATTTAAATAAAACACTTTAACGGTTTAAGACGCGATATATATTGGATACCTCCCCTTGAGCGCGGCTACTAAGCATCCGAAACGTCGGGCTCCTAGTCATTATAATTTTCAAACAAGTTTAACTAATATATATCGCGTTTTAAACCGTTATGTTTTTAATTGACCTAAGAGTTGTACATAAAATAAAATATTCAACTCTTATACAAGACCTGAACACATTGTTTACCCAACAATTTAATTTATTCTATCTTTACATCAATTCATGAATTTCTACCGCTCAAGTTTGGATCCTATTGTATGCTTATAAAACTGCTGTATTAAAAATCAAGCTATTCTTACTATGTATTAGCTTTGTTATCAGTAAGTTTACTTTTGGAATAAATGAATAATCCATTTATCAATACTTAGTTGTATATAACTTACAATAAAATAAAAACATTAGAAAAAAATTTAGAGGCTCAGCTTGTATGGCGCTGATTTTCAGCCTGTTGTTCCTTACTTTAGGCGAGTAACTAACAATTCCACATTTACTGTACATAGTTGGGTTTTGTATTTTTGTAGTATTTGCGCTTAGGTAGCTAATATAAGTAATTTTCTTTTGTCTTATAAAACAAAGTCACTTGTATGATTGTTTTCTTCTATAGTACAGTAAGTACATTTTTTTATGATTGTTTATAAAAATAAAACCACAATGTGCAATATAAGCGTTGTATATATTTAAGGTAGTGTTGTAATAAACTGTTTTTTTTTTTTAAATCTGTATTATTTTGTATGGAACCTTGCGCCATACCCACGTGACAAGAATTTTCCGTGGCATCAGGTCTTATGAGGAGCGCGCCATACCCACCGGTCCCAATATTCAACTAACATTTAACTAGAAGTGACAATCGTAACTGACAGTTCAAATTCTTGAAGTTTTGTGTTTCAATATTCACAGATTGATTGGTTGGAACAATTGATTGCAACTGACTGTTGTGAGGGACAACTTCTTATCATTGATAGGTTCATACAAAAAGGAACTTGAGCGTTTCAATAACAGTTTGACTGATAACAATTGTTTACAATGGCGACAAACTGTTACAGATTTGGCTACGCGCCGATTTTGACGGATTTCCGAAAGATTACGAAATGGTTTACAGGCGTTAAGTACTTAATAGCAATTCTTCTGAATATTTTCTGCGTTGTTTTTTTTGCATTAATGTGACGCTGAAATTGAACTCGGTTTATTTGAATCTGAGGAGAGGTCGAGGGTTGCGAATGAACCTCGCTATTATTGCCGTATAAACTATCATAGTTAACCTACCGATTCTGATTTTGTCTATAGATTTCAATTAAGCAAAGCTGCAGTAGATTATTAATCTTGGGCGGCGCCGGCGCGACTACGCCCGGCGTCTGCCGTGACCTCGGTCTTAGGACCGAGCTGGAGACGTTATAACCGGCCACGTAGGGTGAGTTGCGCGCGGCATGCGGGTCAAGGTTAAAAAATATTTGTTACTGTTTCAGTAAGAAGGGGGTATCGCCTTTACATCAGTTACTCTTAACATTGCACCGTTCTTTTATCAGTTGCAGATTTTATTAGAGTATCGAAATCATCTGCAAGCCGTGTCGTAGCTGATATATTGCGCGCCATTGCTCGTTTATATCCAAAATATATAAAAATAATGGAAAATACTCTAATAATACGCAAATATTTCATGACATAGCAGGTTTTCACAGAGTTCTAGGTGTCATTGGTTGCAATCATGCACCTATACAATCCCCAGGTTCATCCTTTATTGTCTAATATATACTAATATTATAAAGCTAGGGTGTTTGTTTGTTGATAATTATTATAACAAATAAAAGCTTATTATATTTCAGATTCTAATGTTAGCGAAGGATTTAGTAATCGACGCCCCCGAGCAATAACCCAGTAATTAGCACATTACTGGATTTTTTTTTATTTTTATTAAATTTGAAATCTGTGGGCTATAATTCTTGTTGTATTTTTTTGGATTTTTTCTATGGATAATTACCGAAATATGACTATTGAAAGTTTTATTGCACGGAATTTCAGTTTGATTTTTATACGACAAAATAAAATTACAAACTGTAACTTTTTAAATTTTATGACTGAAAATTGGTATTATACCGTAAAATAATGTATGTTACGTTTTGGTTTTTGCCATTACAAGATTATTACAGTACAATAAGAAGCAGGCGTTTTCAGCAATAGTTAGTAACATTATTAATAAGGATTGAAATACAGAAATAACAAGACAAGTTAAGATATAAAATAATATAGAATGGCCCTACCATGCAAAAATAATCGTACTCGAACAATCAGATATTTTTTTTATTATTGGATGGTGCAGAACTTACTGTTTGTAAGAGACTATGATTTATACTGATATTGAAAAGGCTCAGTCAGATGAAGGTTTAAATGATAAAAGGGGGAAACATACAAATAGATCTCGGAAAATGAGCATTGATACAGAAACGAGTATATTAAACTATTACTAACACTAGAGTCACATTTTACAAGAAAATTAAAATACAAGAAAAACCTTTCAGAAAATATTAATATATCAAAATTATACCGTTTGTACACCGATTGGTATGTACCACAAAACTACAGGAATGTCACCGTGGCAACTAAACGGCAGTAAAAAAATATTTTTAATATTCAAATTTAACTACTCCTTTTTTAAACCCAAAAAAGATCAGTGCGCTACTTGCGTCTCATATGAGCAAGGTACTCCCTCAAAAAAAGAAGACTTTGAAGAGAATTTCATACGCCACATACGAATAAAATAAAGGATTAGGCAAATTAAAAACAAGGAAAAAGGATATTTTCGACCAAAATAGAGGACAGTAGTGATATTTGACCTACAAAAGGTCTTTAACATTGCACTATGTAATGAAGGGATTTTGCATTATAAACGGAAGTGTCCTGTTTACAATTTTACGGTATTAGACGCTTTACGTAAAAAAAGTTACTGCTATGTGTGGCATTATCGTGTGGCCAAAAGAGGCTGTACGGAAATTGGTAGTTGTTTGTTAAAGTTCCTAAATTCTGAACGTGAAAAGGGAATAAGCACATCATCAATCTACTCTGATGGGTGCTATGGGCAAAATAAAAATACATACATTTTTGCCTTATATGTCTTTGCCGCAAAAAATTACAACTATGGACAGTTGTAATTTTTTGTGCAACGCAAAGATTTTTTGAAACAGGGCATAGCCAAAATCAAGGTGATTCAATGCACGCTTACATCGAACGCAATATAAAAATAAAGTTATTTATACCCTAGAACAAATGTATAATATTGTATTATATTCAAGAGTTACCGAAAAAAATACACTATCACAGAAATTGACCAATCGGATATTTTAAATATTAAAAAGTTAGCCCTGCACATTGGTGTCGGGTTACTATTGAAAATATCATCCATTGGCCTGACGTCATGAATATTCACGTAACGTCATCACAACCACGAAAGCTTTTTTCCGATACGATATAGATGGTATATATAGGGTATAGTTGGTGTCTAACTCAGATACCCTCCGTACACTCAACCCAAACTAGACGACGGGGACGAAAATCTAAACCGGGTTCAACGACTGAAAATATAGCTATAGTATCATCAACCTATGCCAATAAGCAAAGCACTCAACACAGACTTAATATATTTATTCAATTGTGGAGTAAATTGAAAAATATTACCATAATTATACGTTGACGTATTTTGCGGAGAAAACTTGAAATGTATTAATAAATGTAGTTACTGAAGAAACCTCAGATTCTGATTACAATTAATTTTTAATGTCACATTATAGTTTCTTTTATTTGATTTTAATCATAACTAAAGTTCATTCGATGCCTATTTATTTTTCTTTAATAAATGTCTTATTTTTGTATAAATTCTCTTTAGTTCCTTTATCCACTTGACTAGATTTTATGATATATCAGCATGGGAAGAATACATTTCAAATTCAGAAAAGTGCTCTCTGGTACTAATTTCATATTATTTAGAGACGGTTTAGATGGCACGACAATAAGACAGTTATAGAACTTTACATTTACGCTCTTCAATAAAAAACTTGCTTAGATGAGCAAGTAAATGGCTATTATTGTACTATTCTGTTTTAGAAAATACCGCAATAATCTCGTAAGTTGATATTACTAATTTCATCTTTATAAATCAGTAAGGTAAAATAAAATTACAGTTAAAATATTACAAAATAATTTTACGTAATATATACTGGTCAAGGCAGTAGCAGGGAAACGCTGCTACTGCCTTGACCAGTATATATTACAACCGATTCAACTAGCGAACGACTGGTCGTACTGGAAGGCTATGGGGGAGGCCTATGTCCAGCAGTGCACACTGAACGGCTGAATCGAATACTTTTATGTACTACATAAATGGTTGTATATATAATGTATCTTTATCTTTTTTCTTTTTATTATACATCCGGTTCCTTTAGTAAAATAAATAGGCAGTGACTGTTTCCGTTTCCACATCATTTATTAGAATTTAGCTAAATATATTTATTTAAGTAATTAACCTTAGTTACAGAATTGAGTTAATTAAAAACAGTGCAGATGTATTTTATTTCTAATTGTTTTGATTTTACAAATAAACATCCGCTTAGTTTCCGGTGAAATTATTAGGATAGGTGGGAGTATTTGTCAGACTGCTATATTACTGCTTGTAACGTTGATTGTGGGGTATTCTGCCCTGTATTTGATAAGGAGTCACTCTGCTGGATTATACGTGTGAAGTGTCTATATTGTGTTATTTCGCTAACCTACGTCTTAACAATTGTCAATTTCAGATTACCATAGTCATAATACTAAGCGATTCAATTTTATTAAAGAGCAATGTGAAGGCGGTTTATATGGAAATAGATGGCTATTAAGCGATAGTGGTTACTCTTGCACTTCGTACCTCTTGACTAGGCCTGCTACTGTACCTGCTGCTGTTGCCACAGCCGCTACCGTTGGTCCTGCTGGCTGAAGAGAGAAGCTTCAGCCGAGGTTCAACTCATCGCAGAGGTGCTACGACTACTATGACTACGCAGCCGAGCTATATACAAGAGCTTCCAGTCTTTGAAGGAGATAGCACCGAGTGGACGGCATTTCAGGTCATATATGATAACACAGCTTCCCTATTTTCACCAGTTCATAATATGGCAAGACTTCGGATTGCGATAAAAGGGGAAGCCAGGGAGAGCTGCAAGAGTCTTCTATACTCCAGTATGAAGCCTGAAGATGTTATGAAAGCACTACGGGCGGCCTGACCTATTAGTGATTGCTGAAGTTAAGAAATCAGCAACAGTGTCGCGGCTATCAAGAGTTTGAACAGACCCCAGTTTCTACATGCACCTGCGGCTGTGAATTTTATCGTTGAGAAGATACCACACGGCTTGAGGTATGAATATGCATTGGCGTATCCAGAGGAGTCGAAGTACAACGTAGAATTGGTCAGTGCTTTTCTCAATTTAGAAGCAGATAAGCGCAGCGCGTTCGCAGGAGCTGTGGCATAAGCCGCAACGTCAGAGCACGACTGTGAGAAAACCATAGAGGTACACCACGAACAATGTGACGCGGGTCGCCGAAACCATGATATGCGAGAGCAACCACCGATTACTAGACTGTCCTGAATTTTTGACGATGAGCGTCAGTGACAGATGGCATGCTTGAAGAAGGCAAAGGTATGTTTTAAATGTTTAACATTTAAACATCGCAAGGAAGTTCCTACCATTTTCATGTATCATTTCTCAACAAAATATAGAACCAAAGTTTAAAAAAAAAACATCGCAAGGATACTTTTAGGAAACCACCATGCAAAACCTGTAAGAGGAAGCATCACGATTTGTTGGATGTTTTTAAAGAACAATCCGCAGAATTGGTCAACACAGTTAGAAATTCCAGTGCATTGCTGACGATGCCGTGCCCATTCCTGTACCCACCAAATGCACCTCACGGAGCACATTCTTCACGGTTTCGGCAGTACGAGGCGCGGCCGACTCGCGACGGCAGCGCTCTTCTTTGATGTGGCGAAGGCGTTCCACTAAGTCTGGCACAACTGGTTTCCGATGGTACTGAGGAAAACGTCAACAATTATTTTCATATTTTTGGCAACTTAACAGTAACCAAAGAAGAAAAGATTGGATAGCTCAATGTGCTGTGAAAAGGTCAATCAAACGACCGAACCAAGATAATAATACACGTAGTTGCTCTTACGAGTATTTCATAAATGAAAGCGAAGGAAGAAGAAAAGTTTGTCAGAAATATCTTATAAGTACATATCTCAGAGATTCATTCTGTACACATTGGAAAACACAGATGGCGGGTATGCAAAAATGGATGGACGTTTATCAAATGGTGGATCTAATAGAACTAACGAAGCAGTTACAGAACATGCAAACAACTTCATAGAAACTTTACCAAAAATGCCATCGCACTATTGCAGAAAAGACTCAAACCGATTGTATTTTCCCGAAGACTTTTTTAAAATATCTTATAATATCGATTTCCACGTGCCGAAAAAAGATAAATGTGTCATTTGTGTAAATAACAAAGAGGAATCCGGAGAAGAAACAGAAAAAAGTAGAACAGCATGTTAAGGAAAAGGATGCATCTTATAAAAGATTTAAGTGTCATCAAAATATACATCAAAAGGATAAGAGTACAATCTGTGCAAGTTTTGACATGCAAAAAGTTCTAAATACACCGCATGGGGATGCATTGATGCTCTACTATAGTTGCAAATTAGCGGTTTATAATTTTATGATAAATGAAAGCTTTACTAGAAGAGGATACTGCGATGTGTGGAGAGAAACGGTTGCAAATCGTGGAGCTAACAAAGTTTGTACTTGCTTAGACAATTACATTAAAAAAATTGACTCATGTGGCTTAACAAGAACTTTGTTACTATAAGCTGAACTGGAGAGAGAAAGAAGGGCTATGACGGTGAGGGATAACATGTTGGCCCGAAGGTTTGCACGAAGCTCAAACGATGTCAAAATCGTCTTATTTAAGGCTTATTGCCAATCATTCTACTCGTGCAGCTTATGGGCCTCCTTTACTCAGAGAACATTGAATGCTATTCGTGTGCAATACAACAATGTTTTAAGGTTGTTATTGGGCTTGCCAAGATACTGTAGTGCGTGGGGCATGTTTGCGGATGCACGCACGGATGGTTTCCACGCCATCATCCGCAAGGGAAGCTACACCCTCAGGTATCGACTATCGAGTTCGACAAAGCACCAATGGCATTCTGGGGGCATTGTGTGAAAAGTATACGGTGCTGCTAAAACGATGGAGTGACGTCCATGCTCCCCCTTAGCGCCTAGCACCTACTCTGTATATCTCATTCTGTCTACTTAATTTTAGTGACTAACACATTCTAATATACATTTTAAGTTAAAAATTGTTACTAACCTAACTAACGCACATTAGAATTAAATAATTTTAAGAAATGGATTTATGGTCTGAAAAATAAATTATTATTATTATATTGCGATTCTTGTTATGGCCAGAACAAAAATAAATTCGTCCTTAGCATGATACGTTACACCCTGTCTCAATGCAAAAACATAAAGACAATTCAAATTAATTATTTCTATTATCTAAAAAATAATTTATATGTGACAAATGATACGTATATTCTACGTATTTATTATAAACGACAGATAGCTAATGCGCTATCATACTTTTTATTGATAAAAGCCAAGAATTTAGCTAGACTTGCTCCTATTGAGCAAATTGTAGGTAGTAAGACTTTGGAAGAGGTTCTAAATAATAATATTTATTTAAATTAAACTCTAAGACAAGTCTCAGACCTCTGGCATAAAAGAATAACTGAATAATTTATACAAAACCAGTGATTTGAAACTAATGCATCAGAATATTCAAGGTATTAAAAATAAGGAACTTCAAATTAAATTATTACTTAATAATGATCAAATTGATATTCTGTGTATAACAGAACACTGGTTAAAGAAACATGAAGTCATATTCAACTATTGTAAACACAAAGTAGGTAGTTCTTGCTGCAGAGAAAATACACAGCGAGGAGGCTCATTAATTTTTATTAGGAAACATTTAAAATATAAGGAAAGGAAAGATAGAGTGAGCCTATCTGTGGAACGAATTATTGAGCTTTCTTGTATAGAGCTAGAGCAATTTATAGTTGTTAGTTTGTATAGTCCTCCATCGGCTAATTATAATTATTTAGAAAAAAACCTAGAAGAAATCTTGTTTAAATTACAATTAAATAAAAAAATCATTGTCTGTGGGGTCGGAGTGCCCTGCGTGGCGGATAGGGGAAATGTCGTCAGATAATGGCGACTATCGGCAGTTAGGCTGCCGGCGCGGACCAAATCTGGTGGGTTTCCACGGGCGTACCCTAAACGGCCAGAAAGGGAGCGTTTCATCGCTCGGGCGCTCAGCGCCTTTTGTCGTCGGGTCTTCGGACTCAGTGGTGCTTCGGCACGGTGGATGGCGTGTCTCCAAGACCGCGAGGTGAAAGCTCCTGATTGGTTTAGAAGGTGAAAGCTCCTGATAGAAAACCCTACAGGAGGCATTATGCCTCCTGTAGGGTTTTGTGGCATGTTTTTCAGGCTGATGGCGCCACGAAAGTACAGGCCTGCATCATAACAAAAACACACATTCCCGCGATCACACTCGCACAATTCACCACGGACGACCTTCGCATTATTTCCTTCCCCACAAGAAATCATAATATATACCTTGTCTCTATTTACATTGAACCGCGTACAGATACACATAATATACTTAACATATTTTTATTTGCTTGATTATATCTTCAATTACATGTTTATGTTGTAAAACAATGAAAATTACTTGATGCTACTGTCGAATTCCGCGAAATCTGGTATGTTGTAGGAAAACTACAATGCGCATTGCCTGCTGATGAAGTGGATGCTGATCCTCCTCTCGTAATTGACAACGATCAAAATATGCCAGACCCTCCTATTTTGGAAGCCGGAGAAGCAGTACCCCAGAGTAGATCACAAGGGATTTCTAAGCGACCTCTGGTTTGGCGAAAACGGAATCTTGTTACTGCTGAAGACAGCCTTATTTTTAGGGGAGAAACTCAGATAACGGAAGCATTGATGTCTTGTAACACGCCGTATGATTTTTTTTTCATTTTATTTTACATCAGATCTAAAAAAGCAAATTGTAGAACAAAGTAACTTATACGCGGCCCAGAAACAAATATCCAATCCTGAAATTATAAATGAAAATATCTTAAATAAATTCCTAGGCATTCTGATTTACACCTCAGTCATAAAATTTCCAAACACCAGGGCTTACTGGAGTGATAAATTTGGTTATGATCACATAAAAAATACGATGCCGTTAAAAAATTTGAAAAAATAAGATCCACTCTCCATTTTGCCGACAATACGCTATGCTTACCCAAAGATCATCCAGACTATGACAGGCTATTCAAAATAAGACCTCTTGAGGAAATGCTCAACTGCCAGTTTGGAAAGGTTCCCTTAGACCAAAGGCTTTCCATAGACGAGCAGATGTGTGCAACCAAAATGAGCCATTACATAAAACAATACATGCCCAATAAACCCCACAAGTGGGGGTTCAAATTATATCTCATCTGCAGTCTACAAGGATATGCTCATAGATTTGAGGTTTACAGTGGAGGCGGCTCCAAAAATAACATCTTACCTGGTGAGCCAGATTTGGGAGAGTCTAGAAATACAGTCGTCAGGTTAGCTAGAATGGTACCACGCAATGTAAATCACATTATATACTTCGACAAATTCTATACTTCTGTGCCTCTCGTCACCTATTTAGCTAAGGAAGGAATTTTCTCACTGGGAACAGTAAGAGTAAACCGATTGAGAAACTGCAAATTGCCTGACAAAAACACTAGTGAAAAAGAACGTACCCAGAGGATTCTATGAGGAAAACGTGGCGACTGTGGATGATATTGACGTAAGTGCTGTTGTGTGGAAAGATAACAAGCCCGTTAACCTTCTTTCCATTTACGTAGGAGCAGAACCAGCAACCACAGTCACGCGCTTTGATAAATTGAAGAAAGAGAGAGTTGCTATTCCATGCTCCAAAGTCATCAAGGAGTACAATGCTCACATGGGGGGCGTGGACTTATTAGATTCATTTATAGGTCGTTATCACATCACAATGAAGAGCCGCAAGTGGACCATGCGCTTATTTTATCATTTCCTGGACCTCGCAGTTATAAATTCATGGGTTATGTTCAAGAAGGTAAATAATATAAAAGGAAATGATCAACTTCTCAATTTGGGTACATTTAGACTAGAACTTGCCGAAACCCTCTGCAAATTGGGTCTACCTGCAAATGGCGCTAAACGTGGTCGACCTAGTGGGAGCACAATACAAAGAGAACTTGTAATGAAGAAGTTCCGAGGACCAGCTCAAGCAATTCCTTTGAAAGACGTCAGATTGGATCAGACATGTCATTGGGCAGTTTGGCTGGATAAGCAGCAGAGGTGCAAATTCCCGAAATGTTCAGGATTTATGTTCAAAATGTGCCAAAAATGTCGTGTATCTTTATGTGATACGAAAAAAAGCAATTGTTTTTATAAATATCATAATTTAGAATAAATAAACACATTTCAAAAACAATATCCACTCTTATTTTACCCATACTTGCAAAATGTCATTGAATGCGCAATGTAGTTTATAAACAACACTCACATTATTGCAAAAAAAAAAATAGTAAATTCATGTCTACATATTTTTACTCATTCAGATCGGTCTCCGAAGACGACGCGGAGACCGATCAAGGAGACGCAGCGCTTACCTCAGAGCGCTGCGAGCGTGCCTCCGAGCACGGGAGGAGAGGTCAGTTGTGATCGGCGGCCTTTATGGCGTGGTATGGTGGTGAGGACACCACGGACGGCGGTAGTGGTGGACCGCGGCGCGGCGGGCCGGGCGTGGCGATGTGCTGCGCCTGGTTAGGGGTTTCGGCCCTCCGTCGGGCAAACCTGTTTCCCCGGGTGCGTGTCGTGGATCATGTCTCGCGGCGCATCTGGGACCTTGCCTTAATCGGCCGGCCCAAGAGAAAGGAAAACCTCAGAAAAACCCTGAATTTTGCGTGGTGTTGGGGCGTCTTCGGACCTCTGCGCGACACCGCGCCCCCGCTTGCCCGCAGGGTGAGTGGGTGGTCCGGCAGTAACCGGGCCAGCTAGCGGCCAACCTCTGGCGACCGCCCGACCGCCAGTTGTATTAGGGTTACCCGGGTACAGGGCTCTGCCCGGGTGGACTTTGCATTTCCCTTGTAACAAAAGAAATGCCGTTGCGCCTTGTAGCGAGGCGCAACATTTTGTTAATGAAAAGAAGAATGGAAGGAGATAAATCAAAAACATAAAATAATAACAGTAGTGGTAAGTAATGTGTTAAATGCTAAGAAGAAGAATGCCGAAAAAAAAGCTAAAAGGTAAAGCAAATCCTAACGTAATAGTGCGTTTGTTGCAATCGTTAACTTTTTGAAAACCAGGGGTTGTACAAATGTTAAGAATTAAACATTTGAATTTATATTACTTTTTTTATCATTTGTGTATCATTTAAAAGGTTCTTTCCACTTTCAGATAAGTAAATGTAAACGTATTATCGTTACGCGTTCGAATGACAAAATTAAAGACACTGGCGAAATTTCGTACAGAAACAATTTCGGAAATAGTGCTTCGTTATTAAAAAGGAAAAAGTATGATCAATATTCATCCTCAAATTAGAAAAATTAGAAGATGTAAATAAAATATTTCCCACATCCCTCAGTTGAAATATTATACAAATATCTTGCAAAGTAACATAGAACTAGTTGATGACAGGCCCGGGTGCCACCTACAAGCTTTCGCAGATGACGTAGTGCTACTGGCCACAGCATCAGACAGACACCTTACAACAAATCACTAACACTTCACTCGACACCATCTTTCAGTGGGGCAAAAGCGTCAAATTAGAATTCGGTCCAGAAAAAACACAATTAATTCACTTCACAAAAACAAAGTCCAAAAAACTCAAATTAAAATAAATAACATTATCTTAAAACCGTAACATAATAAAATATTTAGGTGTCATTATTGATCGCAGAAACCACATAAACTACATTATGCAAAAATCACAAAACTTATTTAATAAACTTTGCAATTTTATAAGACCCACTTGGGGCATACACTCAGACATCAAAACAATATACTGTAGGGGATGTGTCAGCGCGTTTCGGTAACAAACCACAGGGCGGCCGGCGGGTGTGCCAGTCATTCCGATAGTACCTAATTGTTAGGACGTGTGCGGCTCCGTATAATGTAAATGCTGTTTCGTGTAATGTAAATTAATTAACAAATTATTTTATAACAAAGTCGGACTTTTAGTGGTGCACGGTTCCCTAAATTGGTGACCCCGACGTGATAAGACATTAATACTAATAATAATTAACAAGTGATAAAAAGAATTTCGGAGTGAAGCCCGGTTTACTTTTTCCCGACCAAACCGGACGTAAACGGGAAAATGGCGTTACCAGGGAAAATTGGGACCGCTATTGGCAGCAAGAAAGAAGAGGAAGTGAGCGAGATGGCTACGATTTCCGTATCAACGAGGGTTCCAGAGTTCTGGAAAGAGCAGCCCCGGCTTTGGTTCCTCCAATTCGAGGCAATAGTTTTTCAACAGAAGCAAGGAACGATTATAAATACCAGATGGCTATTTCGAAGCTGGGCCGAGAAGCACTACAGCAAGTGTCTGACATCGTTTTCACGCCGCCAGAAGCAAATAAATATAACGTGTTAAAGGAACGGCTTCTGAAAGTGTACGAGGAATCGCCGGAAAGACAGTTTCAACGGTTAGTCAGCGAAATGGAACTAGGCTCACAGAAACCTACACAGCTATTGAGACGTATGAAGGATCTAGCGAGAAACTGTCAAGCAAGCGACGAAACAGTGCTTAGACTTTGGATGGCGCGAATGCCACCATCAGTGCGACCTGTCTTATCGGCGTGCCAGGACCAGACAACGGATAATTTAGCTACCATAGCTGACAAGGTAATAGAAAGTTTAGCATGTTCTAATGAGATGGCGGAGGTCAGTAGCAGTAATAATTCTCCGCAAGTATGTGCGATGAATGAGATGATGGCCAATATGAGCAAACTGACCATGGAAATAGCAGCGCTGAGGGGACGTATGGAAACAGCGTAGATCGCGCCAGTTTGCAAGGAGAGATGGATCATCACCAAGAAACCGGACCACCACACCAACTAGAACCTTCAGAAAACGAACCTGTTCTATTGATTTTAGACAATCATGCGAGTCACATAAACTGCTAAAGTAAAGAAAAGAATTCTACGGGAATCTAATGAGTCATCATCGTCGACGTCTGAAGTCAAGATGATATCGACGATGATGCAGAAAACCCTGGAAACCAATGTCTCATATGTGGTGAATTCGGAAGAGACAACGAATTGTGGTTTCGTTGTACCTCTTGCGGGCTTTGGGCACATTCAGAGTGCACTGGGTGGGAAACTGCCTGTAATTATGTGTGTGACATGTGTTGATCTCCATTGTACATACGCTGATCATTGGAAACCGATGTTGACAATGGTGATCAAAACTGTTTTTTTTTTAAATGACTACTGTTCTTAAAATAAGTATTATATGTGATTTAAAGTGATCTCAATTAATAGTACTCTAACCAAAGCATGCAAATGGCCAAAAGTAATAAACGATTTATTAATAAACATGGTTTTATTTCAATAATTGCTTAGGTGATCCCAATTATATACATCTCCCCAACACTGGGGAATTTACTGGAATTGGTTCTGCTGGAGGCAAAGCATTTGGTGGTGGGAAAAATTGCCACGATTGGTCCCATCGCCAAATGCTTCACGCTCTTTAGTTTCTGGGATCGGTAATAATTCTAAGCACTTCTTGGCCAACATTCAAAAATATAACAACTGTTTCCAGATGACATCATTTGGTGCTAAACATAGTGTACAGGACAATTTCATGCCCACTTTTAAGGTGTTATACCACAATATTTTTTTATAATATTCAAGTTTGTACAAAAATATATATCGGAAATAATTAATGGACCAATTTTAAAATATAACAGATACAAGGACAAATTTATCAATTAATGGGGGCACTGTTAAAGATCATCAATTGTTACAAATTTATTTTATGGGCAATTCAGAAGCTGAAGTTGATAATTGTTACTGAAAATCCAGCAGTGAAGAGAACCGTTGTCCAAGAATTACATATGTTTCTTCATCAGAAAAACAATTTAGTAAACATGTTCAAAGCAGCATAGGATCGAATGCCATCTGATAGCCATAGTATTATCATTCGAGCTGACAAAACACCTGCCGGTGAACACACAAACAGGTAAATAAATTGAGCAGGATTGCAGAATATTTTTAAATTCAAGTCATCTAAGTTACATTTATCATTTTTGATTGCAGGTGCTGAAACCAACAAAAAAGTGCCATGAACTTCTATTCATACAGACTCATGGTACGTCAAGGTGGAAAAAGCATTTTCATTTTTTCTGTGGGATATGATTAAGGAAAATTATATTTAATTTTCTATCCCAATAATTTCTGCGGCCAGCAAGAGAACTTGCATTTTACATTATAGCTCTTTATGTCTATGCAGTTTACCATCTCAATTTTCTTAATTCTGTAACTCACAAGTACTAATACACACTCAAAATGAGGGTGACAATGTTCACTCCCTCATTGAACAAGGAATAGGTAAAGCTCTAAAATCAGGACCTAAATATAAACCTGACCAGTATGTGCACATTATAAGAAATGCAAAAAAATCTGGTAAAGCATATCAAGTAAATGAATTAATATACAATAGCTTTTGATATAAAAGGTTTGTCCTTATAGATATAGGGCACAACTTTTTCTAAGAATATGGACGAGAAAAGATAAAACAAGGAGAAGTTAAAATTCTATTTCTTTAATATACCTTTTTATACGTTTTTCATATAAAACATCGTACAAGGAGTTTAAAACAGTCGTGATAGATAAAATCGGTAAGACAAGAAACACTATCAATAATATCACTGTCAAAAAAGCATCCAGGGAGAAATTTCCACTATGTGAGAAGCAGAAGGGTTTGCTAGACCTTATTAGGAAAAATATTATACCAAGTTTTTATGAACCGTTCTTTGAGAAACTTAAATTTCCACTATGTAACTTAAAATGACTGATTATTGATTAGTTATAAGAAGAAGCACAATAATTATGTTTGCTACTTTTTATGTTTATGTTTCCTAATGTTGTTTTTCCTAATTACTTTCATGAAGAAAGATTATGTTAGTTAGATTTTTTTATGTTTGTTGCGTTTAAGATTTGTAATTTTGGGTGGTCAATTTAATCGGTCATATTATGGCAAATTGTTACAAATGAAGACTTTTTAATGCTTCTATAATTTTTTATGCAATATGTTTGTATGACAGCAGTTGTTAATTAGCTGATGCACTACTGTACTAATCAGAAATGTGTGTGTGAATACGGAAAAGTTTGTAACAACGGCTTCAACATATTCACATCATTCTTAAACTAAAATTGAGAACTAATCTAGTATAACATTTTGATTTATGTTCCCATTCATGATAATATACCCATACACATTCTGTAACAAGTCAAACAAAGCAGAGTTTTTATTATTTCATTATTCTATTTACAGTGGGAAATCAAAATATGTATTGTGTTTAATTAACCCTTGATTAATGTTCCTTCGATTTATGTATCCCATTTTCCAATTGCTTAATTTCCAATACATGAGAAGTTATGACAGTAAATATTTTATTTAAATTTGAAATGTTTGCCCAGTAAAATCATGCAAAGCAGCGATATACTGGTTTGAATAAACTTACATTGATTGACACAAAAATTGTGAAAACAAATCAAGAGAATGCAATGCTTGGTGTTAGCATTAAAAAAACCAACGTTTTAAACTTCATATGTTTGTACGACTTTGCAATATTATATACAATCATCAGATAAACCAATTTTTTCATACTTTTTTAGGTTACAACTCTCCTGAAAAAAAGGGAGAAATTTTTGTCTAAAAATTATATATAAATTCAAATTGTTGTTTTTGCTACTTCAAACACTGGAACTATCCGTTTTATTCACGTTTCTACTTCCAACAGAAATACACTGCGACACAAATACAGAACCTCCGAAAAGATAACAAGACATTTCTTACTCAACTCAAACCTATTAATGACCAAATTCTTCATGTAACAATCGACAAACACCAAAAACCTTTAAAGGACCAAAAGCCTATCAAGAATACATATATCTCACTTTATAAGGATAAATAACTTTAAAACCCACAAGACATCTTATATCGCACGACATTTCGTTAACCAAATTTTGACACTTATTACCTTTAAACAAGAACTTTTTCTAGTTAAAATGGATTTCGAGGAATTGCGTTAAATATAGCCAAATCTGACAATAATTATCCATAAACGAATAAAGAGTCACAAAAAATTTGGAATCTGACCAGCTGGGATTAAAAATATTTAAAAACGGCGACTACACACGTGACACATTGATGGCGCGTGGCCAGTGTTGCCATTTCGAATAATAAAAAGGTATAAAACACAAAATTTACAGATAAAAATTTTGTAGAGAACGTATATTAAGTGAAACGGAATAGGCAGAACTCGTTGGTTTTGGCTATGGTACGATATCTTCGTATTATAAAAAATAAATATATACTTACTACTTACTTAATGTGTTTGTAACATTAGGTTTGTAAGTACCTCAGTAAGTGTTTAATAACTATTTAAAAAAATATATTTAATTACTCTTTCGTTATTTATTTTCAATGGTATGGTAGAAAAATTGAAGTGCTCGCCAAATTTTTAATGCAATGCTGTGAGGCAATCATTTAACATATGAAATATTTGACCATATTTTATTATCAAAACAACGGTTCTTGCTAAAAGATAGACATATGCTATCGCGTACATTTTTTTAATCCTTTAAACAGGTGTTAGGGTTTTAAACATATTTTTGGGTATCTTGAACTGCTTTCGCAGCTTATGCATTGGAAGCCCACAAAAATTTTCCATGTTTTTTTTTACATTACTGTTTCTTTGCTTCTACTTGTCACAGCGCGATGTTATTTTACTGTCTAAGGAAAATATCTGAGCAGCAGAAGTTAGTCAAGTTTAATTTGTTGTTATTGTTTTACACCACATGTAGTTAACTAATACATACACAATTTTAAGTTTCCATGCTAAAAATAAAACTCACTTCACGTTCTTAACTATTTATTCATAATATTACTATTACATTACAATAATATTGCACATTCTAACCGTATTGGGTACATATATTTAACTATGACTAGAAAAATTTACTAATTGAGATCTTATTGAATTGAGATTGTTTCTGCATTCATATTTGTGTACTGTCGGTAACGATGTAACATTGTATAGTCTTAGCGTTTGAATGTTATTTCACAATTCGTCGCTTTTACTCTATCTATCGCAATTGAAAGAAAAATAGCGTGGATGGGCTCTTAGTAAAATCCGTGTTGGTGACGTCCGGCTAAATTTACTGAACAAAAGAAGTACGATAAATTATATTGGTAATCCCTTCTCAAAGTCCGTAATGTCAAAATCCGATGTAAGTCAACACCGCATTTAGATGTTTACAGGTAAAATAACCTTATAATAAACTATAAACATGCAAATATCGCATAATAGAACAATCTGTATCAATGTTACTGATAGTAGCGTCATCCCTTGAGATCGAAAATGTCTCTTTAATTTTTACATAACGTATATTATACGTTATACGGTTTTAGGAAGGAGATAGTATATGGGTAATTAATAGATAACGGAACAAATGTATTATTTCCTAAATATTGGTATATTCAAAATTACAGATTCTTAAGTCTATCACCATCTAAGCCCAGATAGTAGACTAGTACTGAAAAGTACTACTGAAAAAGCGTAGTAAATTATATTTTGGTGTGAGCAAAAACTCTGTTAAATAAGTTACTATAAAGAATATTTATAGTACCGAAAGCTTATTGTAAAATTAATTATACATATATACTATATTGTAAAATGAATTTTAAATATATATTATATTATAAAATTAATTTTTGGCAAACTTTTTTAACCGACTTAACTATTTTTCATAGACTTCAGGGTCTAATTTTATAAAATGTAAATGCTGTAACTGTCTGTAGCTTACGAGCGTAGTACACATTTAAATAAACTTTAAACCGTTTAAAACGCGAAATCTAATACTTAGTAAAACTTCCCGAATTACTTTAACTACGGGTCGACGTTTTAGATGCTTTGCAATGGCCGTGGTCACGGGTCACACTTCGCGTTTAAAACCGTTAAAAGTGTTATAACATGTAATTCAGGCTATTGTATCTGATTAATCATAGACAAAATACCCGGGGAGACTTAGTGTATTGTTAAAAAGCAATCGTTTTAACTCACCTTTTACCAATATTGATGTAAATTGCTTGATCATTGTTATATCATCAGTCATTGAGCGTATAAGACTCTGCATTTGGTATACAAATAGCTATGATATTGGTCTAGTGGCTTGTACATATGAGGCTGCTAGAGGCAGAGTGGCCTAATAAGAAAAAACATGATTTTGAATAAGAAGGAAAATAAAAATGCCCAATTAACTTAGGCGTACATAAATTTTTTGTGTATGAATTAACATTTTTAGAAAATGAAAATATAAATAACTCAAGTCATAAAATAAATTGCAGTAAGTAAGGGTTCGACTCCTGAATAAAACAAAATGTTCATTCGGGAGTAGGAGTGCGTTCGTGGTTCATCCTTCTGATGTTCATTTTATGATTATTGTGAGGGTAATCCACCACCCAGGACCAGACCATGATGGTTTTGAGGCTTTAAGTCATCTTTCAAAAGCGGTGCATTGAAACGATGTAGAAATTTGTCCATTTCTTATTGATTAAATAAAACCACTTTAACGGTTTAAAACGCGGTTCGTTAAAATTATTAACTGCGGCGGGAATAAGCTTAACTTGTCGCGTTTCGAACAGTTAAAAGTTTTTCATTTAAATGTGTACTCGCGTAAACTACTAAAAGGTTTTTTTTTTGTTTTAGTGTTGTTAATAATAGCGCGGGATTATTTTTGCGACTACCTTAACGATTACCTTTCAACTATTATTATAAGAGAAGACAGGATACATTAAACGGGTTTAAAAAATTTATTATTGTTTCTCGTATGGAGGCACACGTTTTTAAATGAAAATATTTTTTGTCTTATCCAGAATAACGATTATTTCTTCTCGCGGAATTCATATAGCCGTTTGTCCGTTACAAATTAACAAACTTACTTATACAATTTTACAATTTTTTATATTAGTATTGACATAGATTACGTATTATCAAACTGCGTAGTGCCATCATAAAATCGTCTAGTAATACTCGTACTGGGATAATCTGTCGTGGGAGGAGTAGCTGTGGGGGGTAAATAGGGGGGATAATACAGATGGGAGATGACGTCATAGCTTGGAGGGGAGCGCGCCATGTTGAAGAGTGCTTCTGGGTCGCAGACGAATTTGTAGACGTAGCGCTCACCTGGAGAGGAAAAACAATTATTCCCCACACATATAACAAACCGTTATTTAAATACTGTAGTTTATGCGAGGAGTACACACATAAATAAAACACTTTAACGGTCTAAAAGGAAGTCTCGCCGCGACCACGCTGCTGCAAAGCATCCAAAACGCCGGGCTTTAGTTAAAAAAATCGTCAAATAAGTTTAACTATTATCGCGTTTTAAACCGTTAAAGTGTTTTATTTAAATCGTTATTTACGTCTGAAAATAACACAAGAAAAACGGATGAAAGTACTTTGCAATTTGTTAAAATCGATTAATTAATGTTCATTCATTATACACGGTATGAAAGTTTTACTGGTGTAAAATTAGAAAAGACTTTACATTTTAAATATATTTTAGTTTGAAAAAACACGGGAAGGGCTAGAAACGGCATCCATGGCGTTACGAGCTGTTTGCTCTAACCAATTGAGCTGTGGTGGCCTATAGGAATACCTTACGCGCAATGTAATTTCAAACTTCATAGTTGTATTAAGGTTCAATATCCTATGCTTCGTAGCTTGAAAAAATCATTGAAAATGAAATTACAGAGTCACGTTTGAAAACATTAATATTTTTTATTAGTTGCAAATAATGGCATTATATAAATTAAAAGTCGATTTGAGTTAAAAAAATTACGACACTGGCAGGACTTGATCCGGCACATTTGTCTGTGGGGTAAAGGGCATTATCTCACCAGCTACTTTCTGCATTATTCCCTTCTCGTAGTAGTATCGAAGTGAGCGAGACAATTTGTCGTAGTTCATCGCTGGCCGATTCTTCTGCGCGCCCCAGCGGCGTGCCACCTGTTACACCAAATGTATCAATAGTGTATTTATTCTAACTTGGCAAATTAATTGTCTCAAAGTGTTTTTAGTGTGGATCAATGTAAACCTTGTGAGAAAATCACGATTTCATGAAACACGAGAATTTTTAAGAAAAATGCAAAGTAATAAAAAATACACTTTATGCCTATAGTGTTCTCAAATAAGTTGTCTATGTAACCACAAAATAAGAATCTAATGAGGTGTTTCTGAGAGCACCACTTTAACTAGAGCCTATATGATGAAGGTTTTCTTTTAATAATAAGTAATGCAGTTAAGCAATATTAGTATACTTTTACCTCCTCAGGTTCATGTAGTTTAAACTCTAAACCTCGTCCCGTCCAAGCCACGCATCGAGCTCCTTCAGCCAGTAGGGAGACCAGGAACTGCCAAAGCTGTAGAGCACCTCGTCTCCCACCTGGAAGATAAGACATCAGTATCATATCTTTTTACATTTGAGAAAATGTGTATAGAGGTGTACCTATAAGTAACGAAAAACAGCGTATTCGTATGAGTTCGTTACTATTACAATTAATACCAGTTACTAACACATCGTTACCTCTGTTACTTCTAATACCACATACTATTAGCCTGTGCTTCTGGGCTATTGTATTTTGGGGTCGGTTTGTCTTAATTTGAAGAAATCGTATTTTTTTATAATATAATATTATGTATATCTGCTGAGTCAGCGACGTTGTCCGCGTCCCGTAGTTCTTGCGAGTTAATCTTAAATGTTCGGACAGTATGAAAAATCATACTGTCCGAACGTTTTTAGATTATTTAAGGTGAAATCATTCGTTTTTACATATTTTATGGGCATTTAAACCTTTTTCGCAGCGTACACAACGGAAACACACAAGGATGAATGATTTTCCCCGTTTTTTCCACATTTCCCTCAGTTTCTTCGCTCATGTTCAAAGCCATGTTTATAGCCTTCCTCTGGAAATACTTTTATCAACACAAAAAGAATTGTTCAATTCGAACCAGTAGTTCATGAGATAAGCGCATTCCAAACAAAAAAACAAACTCTTCAGTTTTATATATTAGTATAGATGTATTGTACCTGTATGTGTAGTGGTGACTTGCGGCGAAGAATTATCCTTCCTGCTAGAAGCTGATGCGTGGCAGAGAGAACTGCTTACTGAAAACAAGTGTTAACATCTAACTTCTAATTTAATTGTACTTTAAGTTTACTTTTTAAGCGTTTCTCAAGAAATTGTCTATCCAACACAAAAAAAAAAAAATTCAAACCAGCAGTTCCTGAGATTAGTGTGTTCAAACAAACAAACGCTTCAACTTTATAATATTAACACAGCTTATCATCGTTTATACTATTTAAAGAAGTAATAGACGAATAAGTTTGTTTATCCTTTGTGTCGAGTAGACTACATATCACGTGACTTAATTTGGGTCCTAAACGGTCTTTCTAACCTAGCCTGTCCCCCCACGGATCCACAGAGCTGGTGACCGTCTCCTCACGAAGCTTCTCTTCATCACCACACTTGCCATAATTGCTACACCTGAACATAAAAAAAGTTATTTTCATTTAGCAAACAACGAAAATATGTTTCACTGCGCCTCTGTTTTGTGCGTGTATTTTTTTTGTTTTACGCCTTAGTTTACCTCCAAAATTTTGAATTTACCTAAATATTTATAATCTGGAGTATATGATTCTGTCATCTATATATATATTTTTTTATTATATATATATATCATCTACAATAAGGGATGACAGATTAAAAATATTAACAACGTTTATGTGCATTTTGATACTGGCTATAAATTTTCTTGAAAAACATATTAATATGTTACATGCATTGTCGAGTTAGCATAGATTTATTTATATTATTTATTACAGCTTTATTATTTATAGCACATACCACAAAGAAGAAAACTATAAGAGAGAAAAAAGTCTTACGGGAAAAGAAAAAGAAGGCCTTTTTATGTGAAAAGAGACAGAGATAGGGCTGATATACTTGAAATATATGATAGACGAGAAGAGAATAGGACCTGTGTAAGTGGTAATGGCCCCGGTAGTCACTGAATTCTCGATTTTCTTCTGTTTCTCCTTTGGATCTGAAACCGACAGTTTTTTATCTAAGTGTCGGTCTTACCCAACGACAAGTTAATTAAGTTTCATTTACAGGCACGTAGTCGATCAGACTGCTGTGTCCTGCTCGAAACAATTTATTGTTTCCCCGGAATTCGAACCGTTCGCGCTAATGCAATGCTAGGCAACGCGTTTAACTATGTTCGCTCCATGTCTCAGAAGGAGAATCAGAATTTTACTTTTAAATCTATTACAAAATAGTCTACTAATGACTTTTAATTAGAACGTAATATTATAGTTAAGTTTACTTACTGCGTTTCTATGTGCGTCTGTTGGTATTGAGTTTGCGCGTGAGTCTGTGTTGGTATTGTTCCCTCATAACGGCTTGGGCCTTCCCTGTCAACAAAGTATGTAATATCTAGTATCAAGGAGTATCTAGGTCATATTTAAATGACAGTTGCGTTATTGTGGCGGTAGCAATAGTAGTATGGCTAGTAATCATCGTAGGTTGGACCCCCCCGGGACCAACTATCTAATTTAATTGTAATTTTTTAAAACATGTTGGTCCGAATTTTGGATATCAAATGGGGTGGTAGGAAAATCGAAATTCCGCCCAGGTCACGAACCAGCATCGACAGATAAAAGGCCGCGAAGTTTAATCTTGTACGGTTTTAGTCTGCGAATTCCTGAATATCAATATACAGCCAACAGCACATCTTGTTTATATGTAATATGGCTGTGGTATTTCACCTACCATCAAGTGTATCGCATGCTTGTCTGTCTATCATTAAAAATACATAATAGAAGCGTCAATAAATTTAGAGACACGTGACGCTTTAAAGTCTTTGCTACCACCGATTGGGACTTCCATCCTTGTGATAGAGAACTTTAGGAAATCCGACACCAACTATACGACCGTTGGCTGTCCCAGCTGTGGGACGTCTTACCTGTTCTGATAGTGCAATCCCCAAGGAGCGCAGGGCAGCGTAAAGGGAGGTTGAGACATCTCTCATCGTAGAACAGTAACAAGGGTCTCACTGAAAGAAGTTAGGTTTAAATAAACTGTTTTAAACGCGATATATATTAGTTTAACTTGTTTGGAAGTTATTTTAGCCGTTTTTATTTGCAGTATCCCAAAAATCCGTAGTTAAAATGATTTTCAAAAAGGACAATAGCGTTTAAACCGTTAAAGGTTTTGTTTAAATGTTTACCTACATCTCGCGGAAACTACAGACAGAAGTTAGGTTATTAAATAATATACTAATATAAAAGACAAGCTGTGCCATCGCCCCCCGTAGAAAAGTAATTTTGGACATAAACATTTGTTTTTGTCCCCCCCCCATTACACCTTACAGCAGTTACCTACGACGTCGCCCACGTACCGTCGCGTATTTCTATAGTAGTATAGGTAATCTTAAAAATTAGACATATACCTACTGTCGCGGACATTTTTGTACATCATTTTCAGGAATCATTCTTTTATATTATTGAGTATTTCGACTGTCTATTTAGCGCTCGCAACGGAAACTCTAGACTATGATAATTATTTTCCCCATATCCCACTGTTTCTTCGCCCTTATTAGTCGCAGCGAATGTTTTACAGCCTAAAGCCTTCCTTGTATTTTTTATTACAAAGTACTCGAGATTAATGCATACAAACAAACAAATTCTTCATCTTTATAATTGTACTATTGTTGTCTCCCTCACACACCGTTACTATCATTTCGTAATGCGAACAATCGAATTACTCCTGTCAGCGTGATACCACTCAAAGTTTTATTGAATTTAGCAACTAACATAATTATCTCAACCATCTATTTCTCTGATGAAGCGAAAGGCACAATTATCTTACACCATACCCCAAGTACCACCCGTAACGTCACTACTCCCATATTTCTGTGTACACCGATGTTTTATAAAAACTCTTTTAACGGTTTAAAACTCGAAATGTATGTCGTAACTACAACGAATGCTAACTATTATTATAAAAAAAGTTATGTTTAAAAAAATTGTAATTGTTAATGGGGGGACAGACCGACCGAAAATAATTTAAATATAAGTTTAACGAATACGTTTCGAGTTTTAAACCGATAACAGCGTAAAAATCGAATTATTTTTTTTTTAATTTCGACTCGGGCAGGACTTGAACCGGCATCGTCAGCGTTCCGTGCTGTTGCTCTATCAATTGAGCTACCGAGTCCTACACCTTACCGTCGAATTTTTTCAACTTATTGATACATATGCACCACTCGCGCAATGTAATTTTTTTTTCAATTTAACTTCGATTTAATTAAATAAAAATTATAGTAAGTTGTAAGTTTTCAAACGATAACAGAGTTTTATTTAATGTGTACTACAGGCATAAGCGCGACAATGCTTAATGTTTTATTAGCAAATTAAATAATATGTCTGCATAATATTGTGTCTTATACCTGTGTGTACTTTTTTTATATGTATGTATAAAATTTCTCGTCTCAAAACGTTGTTACCGACGCGATTCCGGGATATTTGCAATATCCGCCGCGTTTTCATCTGCGGTGGGAAATTTAATTTTTCACCAAACAACTTCAGAGAATTGTTTTTGTGAACATTAATTCTCTTTATTTATGTACATCAGGTATAAATAAGAAACTTCACTTTTCTTCTGATTCATACAATTTTATCAGAATGTATTACCCAGCCAGTCAACTATTAATTATTTCTTTATTATTCAAAATTCATACCACAAAACAAAAACTATCACAGATAAAATCTTACGTGCTAAACAATAAATAAAAGGTGGCCCTATTAAGTACAAAATAAGCAACTTTTTAAATTAATTTATAATAAAACAATTAAAATAGCTGAAACATTAAAAGAGCGGTAGTACAACGAGTAAAAAGGTTATACTAAAATAGATTTAATACAATAACATTGAGAATGTACCTACTTTAAGGCAGACATTTCTTTTAATATTGACCATCCTGCAAAGCGGTCACATTCGGATCTCAACTTGAGGAGAGTGTCGATGTGGTTAAGCATAAATCTTCGGGTCAAAGTTCCATTTCCAAGCATGAGGTTCGCTTCATGGGCGATTGAATACCCCAGCCATATAACATTGACTTATTTTGGATTTGGATTCAGAAATCTGGTGACTAAAACCGAACGCGACTAACTTCAGGGCTTTTTTGTCTGTGGACGGTGCTTTGCGACCTCTTTCGGAATTTCTATACTCCTACCGCCCGTTTAAGATTTTTTCCGGACGACGTGAGATGTTGCAGGAAATATACCAATTGCTTAGAAAATGTTGGACCTAATGGTGCTCGAACTTACGACCTCGCTAACATTACACCAACGAGCCCGTCTGTGGTACAAAAAACAAACACTGTCATATTTTGCGTTCATTCGAACTCAGGACCTCCCCTAACGCAATTGAACACAGTGAAAATTTGTATTCAATAGAACCCCATACCTTAATCAATATTCACCTGGCGAGCGCGATATTATTATTAGATTTTTGAAAAATTGATATTCCCACGAAGAGACGACAAATCCGCTACCAATTTAAATAAGTTTGAAGCTGCATACATTTTCAACATTCAAGTGGATCGTCTGTTTACAAAATTTAAACATGTTTGCGGTTTGAAACTCGAAATATATAAGTTCAATTTACATTTTATTTATTTTAACAACGACCCGGTCGGTCTCCGTTGCTGTAAAGCATCCGAATAGATGTTGCGTTTAAAACCGTTCAAAATTATATTTTTGGGAAGACAAATGTTCTCTATCTCAGAGAGTGCAGTGCAGTATCTGGAATAGTGCAGACGCAAGCTACAGACATTCTCGGTGTAAAATACATTTCTTAAACCTGTAAAATATTTCTACTATGTAAACAATTACTTGGTAATAAATATTTGAAACGAATAAGCCGTGGTTACGCTAATTAGATGTCGATACTTGAGGCCTGACAAGCGGAAATGATTCCGCGGCGGCTTCCGCGCCAAAGGCACCGACATTGCGTCATTTCCGGCGCCATTTTCAGGAAATATTGCCACAAATCGTCTTAGCGAGGAGTCGATTTGTTTTTCCATTGAAATGGTAATACACAACTACACCACAAACGTTGTTTATTTAATTATTACAGGCACCTCATTTTGTCACTCCCTAACGCCCAAAGCATAAAACTAATTTAAATAAAACACTTTGACGGCTTAAAACTATATATATTTGTTAGACTTATTTTAACTAGGGCCCAACATTCGGATGCTTTGCAGTAGTCGTGGTCACGGTCATATTAAAAACTGACTTCCAAAACACAGAGACACCCTCCATAATTAGTCTCCCCGTGACCATGGCTGCTGCAAAGCATCCGAAACGTCGTGCTGTAGTCAAAATAATTGTCACATAAGTTTAACTAATATATATCGCGTTTTTATCGTTAAAGTGTTTTATTTAAATGTGTATTACGCGGGTAAATTACAGACAGTATTTAATAAAACTGGTTGATGCGAAAATCCATTCATAGAAGGAAATATGAATTATAAATTCCAAAGGTGCAAAAAATATTGGATCACAATAATTCGTTATAATAGTCAACCCCTCAATATAGACCAAGAGTCGTTGGTTATTTTTGATATTTCGTTTTTGAATGAAGTTATGGTATATGTTATACGAGTATAGTGGATATTGTATAGATTGTAATGTTTAAAACTGTCTTTTTATTTTATTGTTATTCTTTTTAATTTGATAGTTAAAGCAATAATGAAAAAAAATGCCTGAATATTAAAAGTGTGGTATAAATATCGAAAATTTGATCTGCACTATTCACAAGAAAAATCCGTGAGTTTTACTCGTACTTTGGTTTCAGTATTTGAATTTCCGAATATCGAAAGTGAAAATAGGACGACGGCGGATCTTGTGGAGATTTTTTGACTTCATTCTATTCAATTAACTAAACCCTATGCTTCTCTGTTTTTCTCTATCATAAATATAATACAATTTTCCAGTAACATTTTGACATTGTCTTTTATACAATATAACTATACAAAATATTACAAATCTTGCATCTTTGCTTATTGATTAACGTTACAAATATACTAAGTTACATAACTCCCTTATTCCGTCATCATCAAATGATAATAAAAGAATATATTTTTTCTACGTCGGCTCTTCAACTATTCGTCGCATGTTTAAAGTTGCACGTGACACGAATTATTTGCTTGTTAGATTGAATTTTACGCCTCACCTCAAATCTTAATACCGCGAATAGCTTATATTGTTTGGAAGATTCGGATAACTGGGGTTGGACGTATAATATATTGACAACACATAAAAAAGCCGCAGAGGGTTTTGATTCGAAAACAGACAAGTATGAGTCGAAACATGATGTGCTGTTGACCGATTCTGGTAATTTAAAAATCCACTGACTTAAACAAAAAAAAAAAGTAATTTTATTACTTCACGAACTTTTCCTCAAGAAGACATGTTTTAGAAAAATTATAAATATCATTGTAGAGACGTGAGAATCGAAGTCACAACTTTTTGATTACTAGTCATAACAAAGTATTTTAAATACTACACACACACACGCACACACATACACACACAACACTCACTCACTCAAAAATAATATCCTTTTAAGCGCACAGATTGTTTTACACTAACTTCCTTTAATTGTACCAAATAGTAATTTAGAAGAATGTTAATAGTAAGTTGAAGAGAAGAATGTTAGTAGTAAGTTATTAGTTTAACTTATCTTATCATACGGGGGTGGGCGCTTGCCCCTGTGCCACAGCTTTACAGCTACTACAGGTCCCATCGAAATACTCAATTTATAAATAGTTTAAAAGCTAACTAATAATAAATAAATCAACTAATATATTTAAATTCAGTGTGAGTGTAACAACCACGGTGTTATTGACGGGTAGAGTAATGGTAGCCATGTACCTAATAATCAATGGGACGCGGGTTCGATATCCAACGTGTCCGATATCCTTCTAATTTGGATATAAAACGTTTGGTAGGAAT